AGCCTGATTTTTGCTTACAAGGACTTACCTCTTTAGAGTCCTCAAGACTATTAATGTTAGATCTGACTATGGACTGATGGCCCTGCGCTGTCTCAACCCAGTAGATATAGTTGCCGTCGTACGATACGCCGTGAGCCTTGATGAAATAAAAAAATTAGATCACAAGTCATCAGTTCAGAGTCGGTGGCTCATTGGGTAAGCATCGTATTTGTACAATCCGGGTTCAATCCCCGCCACGAACCAATAATTATATCAATTTTTCCAAACTCATTTGTACATTTATCCCAGGTTCTTACGGTGAAGGAAAACATGGTGATATAATCTGACTGAATCAACCACATTTGGCCTAGTCTAAAGTCTAGTTACCCCCAAATTTTAAGGCTTAATTATCCCACAGGTTAAGGCCTAGTTGCCCCAAACGTTAAGGCCAAGTTACCCCAAACGTTAAGATTTTGTTGCTCTAAACGTTAAGGCCTAGTTACCGGAAACGTTAAAGCTGTTACTCCAAACATTAAGGCCTAGTTACCCTAAAAAAAGATTGCTCGTGGCCCTCGGTGGCGTGAACGAATTGATGATATTATAGATAATAAATAAATAAATACCTGTTTAATATCAGATGCGAGGGTTATCCTAACATGTTGTTTGGATTTGAGGGTCACATATTGAATGTCGTTGCGGGTACTAAAGAATAATATAGCTTCTGGTCCTATTACAAAGAAAAACACAAGTATTAAGTCTTCATAATGTAATAAATTAAATTGCTATAAGCTAATCTTACCTGGAGCGTAACAGAGATATTCCAGAGCGTCTTTTACGTAACCCGTGTCGCATTCACAAACGAAATAACCGTTTTTGTTCTCGCATGAATGTGAACATTGCGGCTTTGCTTGCTGGCACACGTTCACGTTCTGACAATCAGATAACATACTTAATATTTAAGTTAACTGAAGAAGGATAATTAGAGTATACAACCGATTAGATTACAACTGGCCAGTAATTAATTAAAAATAATACTGCAATATAGGTAGCTGTTGCCCGCGACTCCGTCCGCCTAGAATTTAAGCAAACAAAATTTGTAGGCTATATATTTTTCAAAGTATGTTCTATATCTATGCTAAATTTTAGCGTGATCCATGCAGCCGTTGAATAGATCTATACATTCGCATTTATAATACTATAATAGTAAGATGTGCCAACCATAACCATATAAAAAAAGGGCAAAAAAATTGTATAAGAATACAATATTATGAACATAACTATTGTCTATGGTTTATAACAGGACAGATACCTCGCAACGTTTCGTAGTATTATTGTATTGCATCATAGAGTTAGAGAGTAGACAAATACACGTGGGTCCCCCGCGCTCCGGACTGCAAGCCGTGTTGTTACCTCCGCAAGAGAAGTTTGCGCACATAGTATGCCCTGAGAACAAAGAAAGGTAATATACATATACTAGCGGACCCGACAGACGTTGTCTGACAATTTGACACTGCGATGGTAGCGCCGTCTGTCGGATCCAATGTAAAACATTCCAAAATCAACAACTACTAATAAATTAAAAATTAATTAAAAAAACATTGTCCAGCGGACAAAATTGTGAATCTAAACCATTCCCAGATCCCCTTGAACACACACAAAAAATTTCATCAAAATCGGTCCAGTCGTTTGAGAGAAGTTCAGTGACATACACACTCACAGAAGAATTATATATATAAAGATATATATAGTATAATAGAGGCTATACTCCATCAGAGAGTCTAGTAATCACCTTGAGCATATCAAGAAACTAGCTGTCGCCCGCGACTTCAACCATGCGGAATTAAAAAAAAACTTAATTAGTAGCCTATGTTCTATATCTATGCCAAATTACAACGAGATACATCCAGTCATTCCGGAGATACCTTCTAACAAACATCCATTTATAATATTTAATAAAGTTGTTCTTAAGATGTCCTTTTCAGTGAAGCCCTTTCATTGTTCTCTTTTCTTTGCTATTCTCTTCAACTCTTGATCAGACACAACGTCTTTCTCTTATATTTATAGACTAACTTTTTGGTCTGGCCCTTTTCCTATTCTCCTTTATTAATCTAGTTTCATCATAATTTATTCAACTTACATTTATCACAAAACTTTCCTTCGTCACTGCCATCTCTACAGTCATGTATTCCATCGCACATCTGATCCTGTGCCAAGCAGAAGGACGAATCCAAACATTTGTAGTTACGTGAACCAAGTTCAGGAAACTCTCGACATTCTACGCCATCATTGACCGTGTGGGCAAGAAGAGCGTGTCCTGGAAGAACAAACAAGCGAAATATTATTATATATATGTACATTCTACAGTAATGGAAACACATGTATAGAACATTGTCCTGCTCATTCCCGTTAACAAAATAAAATACATTTTTAGTGGTGTGGATTTTCACGACATAAGAAGTAAAAAGGTTATGCATTTGTCAAAAGTTCTAGCAATGTTTTATCTTTCTGCTATCGAGATGGATGACGATTTTTAGAAGTGTACACATTCTTATAAGTTAGTCCTTAGTAGGACTTTTAAAGCGTCGGTGGCTTAGGGGTTTAAAGCACCTGACTTCTTATCTGCAGGTCCTGGGTTTGAATCCCGCCATTTACCAATCTGTTTTGATTCTGTTGCGATTTTCGATTTATATGATATATGATGATGAGGACTTTAATTCAATTGGAAACTTATTTGACATCTTTATGTTAAATGGTGTACATACTGCAAGTTGTGTCAATATCTTCATCGGTCCTGTCTTTGCAGTCATATGTTCCATCGCAAGTCCACAGGCGAGAGATGCAGCGACCGCCGTCGCACACGAAGCCCTTGCATGTTGACTGCAATGATCAAACATTTAAAACTACCTACATAAGTCAGCGTGATGTTATTAGGTTTAATTACCTTTCTTAATTCAGGCACAAAAGTTTTTTTTAACAAAAAAAAAACAACTTGCGTGTGCTTTCGTGGTGATAATTTTCTAGTTAAAGATAATTTTCTAGATAATTTTCAAATAAAAAGTACAACTTTTCCGTTCTATATTTAAAAAAAAAAACTATATTACCGTTATGTACTTAATTAACAGATCAACTGTCGCACTCAGAGATATTAATTGGCCGTTAAGAAAAACTTAAGCTTTCACTGAACAGAACTTACAACTCTGAATGAGCATAATCTTCATAAGAAGTATGTCAAGTAATTAGTGTATACGATACGAACATTCTTAGTTATCTCCGGTAACCTGGTACAGTTCATTTCATCGCTGCCATCTTCGCAATCGACGTCTCCATTGCAGATCCAAGTGTTGGGTATACAACGCTTCTGGTCCAAACAGAGGTATTGGTGTGTTTGATTGCATAGAATCGCGTCAGGACGATGATCCGCTGTAAAAAGGCGGGAAATGCATGACGGAAAAATGAGCGGAAAATTAGTGACAGCATCACACGAGTTTTCATTCCATTGGTGGAATGAGGATGAATAAAAGTTTTTTTTTCATAATAATTGAAGGTATTTTAGCAAAATATTATTTAAATTCAATCTTCCAATTTTATCCAGTAACCCCCATTCAGCGTATTCAACGAAAACCACTTTTATCCATAAGAGAATAGAGTACATAATGCGATGTGGACAGAATATACTTACTACAAAAATTCTCATCGCTACCATCATCACAATCAATGTTGCCATCACAATAATTGTACGAGGGCACACAGCCACCGCCCAGGCACTGGTAGATTTCTTCTCCGAGGCACGCCGGCTCGAATATCTGCATGTCGTCTACGAACTGACTGCAGCATGGTATCGTGCAAAGCGCTAACATGAGGAATAACACCTTCATCATCTGAAAAGAATAAATGTGTACTGTATATTATTACATTCTAAAAAAATAACAAAGAAATTCGTTGAAAATGAGAAGTAAAAAATAATTTTCTATGTAAATGAAGTCGAAGTATCGACTGCCTATTACGAAATTATAATCAAAGTGATAACTTGAATAGATAATAATTTAAAAAGCTAGTGAACTGTGTTGGGGCTTTAATAAATAAGCACCTTTGACTTTGACCTCTGTATATTCTTATGGATAACAAATACGAGGTTTAGAAACCTACCGACCGAACTTGCACAACCGAGGTCTAAAGGCCCATGAGCATACGATAAAAAAAATAATCGACCTATTTTATTTTTCTTGAACACTAGAAACATACAGAATAATTGTCGCTAATGCCTATAAACTATATTTTATTTTAATAGATTTATGCTTCTACCTACATATTGCGAGGGTAAAACGCGACAAAAACTAATAAAATCCCAATCTTAATCATAAAAGATGTGATTCTCATACTTTTATTTGAATAAAGTTGAGTACCTTAATAGTTAAACTAAGAATAATGAGCAATATTTTTTGGTTTATACTAAATTAATAAAGAGAAAGACCCAAATGTGGCAAGAATAGGAATATAGACTATTTCTAACAAATTTCTACGATAGATATAGATAAGATTTCGGATTTAATAAATCGTATACGATGTAACAAAAAGCAGACTACACCGAAAAAAACCTTTTTTTTCTTTACATCTAACTATGTAACTGTACTACAAGTTTATAAGTATGACTTACCTATTTAAAATTAATATCACTTCATCGAAAATTAAATTTATTTCTTCAATTAACTAAAATACTTATTTTGGATAGTTACCACGCTCTTTGTGGTGGACGGTTAAATGAATGAGTAATGAATAATTTAACGGTTAAATTTAGTGAAATTTTTGAATACCCTCAGATTGCACTCCTTTAATTAAGTTATACCAGCAGTATATTTACAAATGCTGTAAAGCTACCAAATAAAAACTTATTAAATGTATGTTAGAATAGTAATTTTATTTCAATTACAAGTAATAAAATTGTATTTCTTGATTCAAATTGTGTACTTAGTTATTTTTAATCTGTTATTATCGTTTGACGTCATCTGACGTTTTGTTTTGTCTTTTGACAGGTCAGAGTCCAACTACTTCCGAAAGTTTATCGAATTTAAAACTTCAATTATTTATTTAAAATCAATTAACTACTTTAGTGTTGTTTTATTACAATTTAATTTAGTTTCTTCCTAAAATATGGCTTCCAAAGTAGCAAAATCTTTATTAAAAGTTTCCTCTCCGAGTTCAACTGTGAAATTCGGTATGTGAAAAACTTTAATTTCTAATTTTAAAAATGCTAACAAAACACAATCTTAATACATTCAAATTATATAAGTAGTTTACTGTATATTTAAATAATATGTATAGCTTTCTACAATTGAAAAAAACACAATTTGCTTATTATGATAGTGCTAAATAAACTTTGGACTTTACTTGGTTATTTGGCATCATTACGGTATTTAGGAAATTCACATCTATTTATTGGACTTTGATCTTAAATTATGATTATTTGTTTAAGTACGACAATATAATCAATTGTATTTTAACTAACAAACGACTTAAATCATACCTTTACTTTGAGGAAGAACTGTTAAAAAAAAATTTAGTTCTGTTTACCAGCATATCTAAATTACTAAAATCACGAATTCTTTCCCACATTAAAGATAATGCACATATTTTCTTTTAATCTATTTTCTAATTAGAGTGCATTCAAAAATATAATTCACTCTATCATTCTCTTTGACAAAAATAGAGATGGCTATATGTCTGTCAACAATTCAAACTCAGAGTAACATAACAGAATTATTTTTCATAAATACATGTAATATTTATACTTCTAGATACAGCTAGAAGAGCACTGAGTGTCAGTGCAGCTTTACAACAGAAAAAGACACTACCTGACCGCACTGGCAAGAATGTGGTGCTGGTGGACGGAGTCAGGACTCCATTCCTGGTATCCTTCACGGATTACGCTAAGATGATGCCTCATGAGCTAGCCAGACATTCACTGCTGTATGTATTCTATAATATTACATAAAACACTGACTTAAAAGGAAAATCTGAAACTTAGACTTTTTTTGTCAGATTTGGTAACCAATACAGTTGATCGTAGTTAAATACAGAACTGCCACATTAATAATACAATAGAATGAAGATGATTATGACCTCATAATTGTTAATTGGTTAAGAAAATCTATGATTAACAGTTAAATACCTGTGCCACTGGGCCTGGGATAGCTATATTTTTAGTATAACGCACAGTGAAAATCCATTTTAACTCATTTTAGCTGATTTATAAGCTCATTCTTATGAAATTACTAGCTATTACCCGTGATTCCACCTGCGTGTGGAATTAAAAAAACATAATTAGTAGTCATTGTGTTCTAGACAGATGTTCTATATGTATGCCAAATTTCATGGAGATCCATTTAGCATTTCTATAGATACCTTCAAACATACATCCATCCAAACATTCGCATTTATAATATAAGTAAGAGAACACTTTTTTTTACTAATATTATAAATCCGAATGTTTAGATGGATAGATGTTTGTTAGAAAGTATCTTCAGTGTGGCTGCACTGAATTTCGCCAATATTTAGCATAGACGTAAAACATATGCTATAAAAAAAAAGATGAACATTCGTTCTTGACTTATCCTGTTCAATTTTGTTACAGTGGCTTACTGCAAAAGACCGGTGTATCCAAGGATGTGATAGACTACATTGTATATGGAACCGTCATCCAAGAGGTGAAGACATCTAACATCGGTCGGGAAGCAGCTCTAGCGGCTGGCTTCAGTGACCGTACACCTGCACATACAGTTACCATGGCTTGTATATCTTCAAATCAAGCTATTACAACAGGTTTGAAGAATTATTCAAATATTAATTTGAAAAGTCGTGTTAGTTACACTATTTATAATTCAAGAACGGCTTTACCGATATGGCTGAAAATTGGTGAGGAGGTAGCTTGGAGCCAGGAGACGGACATAGGATACTATTTATTCATTTTTTTTCGAATTTATGCCTTGAAGAGCTGCTTTTTATTTAACTTACTAATATAATAAATGCGAATGTTTAGATGGATGGATGTTTGTTAGAAGCTATCTCTAGAACAACTGCATGGATCTTGCTGAAATTGGCACTGATTTAGAATATAGTATGGTAGAACACATAGGCTACTAATTAAGTTTTTTTAATTCCGCGCGGATGGTTCATTTTCTACATATATTGAAAGAGCTTTCTATTTTTATAGAGTTTCAATCAAATAGACAGTGTAACTTAATCTCTATATAGTGAATTTTAGTTATAATCTCATTCTTCAGGTGTGGGTATGATAGCAGCAGGTGCATACGACGTAATAGTAGCTGGAGGTGTTGAGTTCATGTCTGATGTTCCCATCCGGCACTCGCGCAAGATGAGATCATTGTTGCTACGTCTCAACCGTGCTAAGACACCTGCGCAGCGCCTCTCCCTAATCGCCTCTATAAGACCGGATTTCTTCGCGCCTGAGGTGAGATTTTAGTTAATTTTTTGATAATGTCACCAAGAGATGGCGTTGGTGGTTAGTGAAAACATGCTTATGACTGACATTGTTGTCTTAAAGTGTGAAATTTATAGATAAATTGTGATTGTAAGAGCTCGGTGACCTGCCAACCCGGTAACTATAATGAAGTAACAACCCGAGCCGAGGCTCCTGAGGGAGCCCTCGAGTCTTGTTACTCTTAAACGAGGTTTAGGCTAAGTGCCATCTGCGCTCGGCCACCTCAAGCCCGGTGAAGCTGTAAATGCCTCCTCAAGGCAAACAGTGGCAATTCAGTCACAAAAAATAATATTAATATGAGAGTTTTTACATGAGAAAAACTGTTATTTAGTCGATTCAATAATCGTTGCGTTTAAATAAACCAATAAATTTTCTAAATCTACTGCAATTGCTTGTTTGTTATGTTTAATTCAGTAGCTGTGTTAAAGTATTAGGTGGGACGACCGCCCAGGGCGTAAGGGCGCCCCTTAAGATACTAAAAAGGGTATTGCAAAAATCTTGCCCAGGGCGCATGAAATACTAAAACCGGCCCTAGTTAATGCACCATACATTAGTCTCAAATATGGATATCAGTTGCCAGCAGTAGCGGAGTTCTCATCGGGAGAGACAATGGGGCACAGCGCAGACAGACTAGCAGCGGCATTCGGCGCCTCTCGAGCTGAACAAGATGAATACGCACTGCGCTCCCATACTCTGGCTGCAAATGCCAGAGATAAGGGATATTTTACTGACCTCATCCCGGTTAAAGGTAATTAAGGAAATATGTTTTAAATTCCCCCGAATACAGATTATATTGTAATAGGCAACAAACTGATGTTGCCTTAATCAAATTTCATAAAGTTCCCATTGTTTCTGCTGGGAGTTGTTCACTTACCGTGGGTTTCTGAGACCAAAGTCTGCTTAAAAGATATAATTATCTTTGTTTTGTCAAACATAATGACAGGGTTGATAAAATGTTCTATACAGCAGTGTTGTGGAATAGGCTGTCCTTGAAGGTATTTCCAAAACGCTACGACTTGGCGTCCTTCAAGAAGCGAGCGTATTACCATCTCAAAGGTAAAGCATCTGTGGTTCCTCTGGTACTATTGATGTCCATGGGCGTCGTTGAACACCTCGGTGTCTCCGCTACTAATTTGCCCCCTTTTGTTATTAAAAAAAAAAACAAATTTTGGTCTCAGAAACCAAACGTTAATTACCTATTTACGACTCAGCGTGACAGTAATTTTAATACTGATTTTAATAATCATTGGTTAAAATTACAGTTGATTAATCTGATTAAAATGTTCTGTTAACATTTTCGTGTCGTGAAGTATATAGATATACTTAAATTGTGCATCTCTCTCTAGTGGAAGGCAAAGACGGTGTATTGGACAAGGACAATGGTATCCGTGTGTCCACTCCGGAGCAGCTGCAGAAACTCAAGCCGGCATTCATCAAGCCACATGGAACTGTTACTGCAGCTAATGCTTCATTCCTGGTAACGTTTACACATAATATACTAACTATCGCCCGCGACTATGTCCGCGCGTTAAAAAAAAAACTTAATTAGTAGCCTTTGTGGTCTTCCAGACTGGTCTACATTTATGCCAAATCCCAAAGAGATCTTCTAATAAACATCCATCCATCTAAATATTTGCATTTATAATATTAGTAAATAGCAAGATTTTTAATTGATTGTTTTTATTCAGACTGATGGTGCATCCGCTTGCCTGATAATGTCAGAAGCCAAGGCCAAGGAGTTGGGCCTCAAGCCAAAGGCCTATGTACGAGAGTTTACCTACGTCGCACAGGTATAGTTCATTTAACACATTTAACAGCTGCATTTAGTTAATTTGGTGACTAAGAAAACGTTCTAAATTAAACTTAAATTAAATAACTCTGGGTGTGATAGTAAGTATTAATATAAGAGACTAAAAAGATTTAAATCTTTTTAACATTTTTACTAAAGCTTAATAGATATTTAGTCAGGGCGTGGTTGGGCGTCCGCCCAGGGCGTTCGACAGAAAGGGCGCCATAGATCAGCCAATTACAATCTCGAGTAACTATTTAAACCCCCTCCAAATGCATGCGACAAAGAAAAGGGCGTTGTAGAAATCTCGCCCAGGGCGTTAGTAGAGCTAAACCTATTACTGTATTTAGTTATACTTAACTTTAAAGTTTTTTTTGGTTCTTTATACTTAGGATCCAGTAGACCAGTTGCTGCTGGGCCCTGCATATGGTATCCCCACCATATTGGACAAGGCCGGCCTCAAGATGAGTGACATTGATACATGGGAGATACACGAGGCCTTCGCGGTAATTATTTTTTTATTTTACTCTTTAAAAAACACGGTATGATATCAAATGAAGCTGTTTAACAGTGGGTTTCTGAGACCAAAAATTTCGTTAAAGTTATTTTTATCTTTTATGCCAACATTTGGGTCTCAGAAACCAATAACTTTTTATGATTAGGAAATGAAGCTGTCTATCATTTCCCTAAACTTGGACTAATTTTGGATTATTATTAGAGTAGGCTTCTATGAAACTTATATTTAATTGACGTTTTCTTATACAGGGTCAAATTCTAGCTAACTTGAAAGCGCTGGACTCTGATTGGTTTGCCCAAACATATCTTGGACGTCAAACAAAGGTAATATAAAGGAAATTGTTATTTTTCATGTTTAATTAATTAATTTATACCATTCTTTCCCAAAGTGGGCGATAACGTGTGTGCGATAATGTGGGCGCTGCAAGTCTCAAGTTGCGGGTTATAGTAAAAGTTTCCTTTACAATTCTCCGTTAATATACATATATAGGTCACAATAATTAATTAATTTAATTTAAATTTATAGTGGTTTTTAAATATGTGAAAATATGGGGGGCTAAAAAAATATTTATTCTGAAAGTGGGCAGTAGACAAAATAAATTTGGGAACCACTGATTTATACGTAAGAACATTTGGTGACCTTTGTTTTATAATTTTTTTTTATTATTTATAGGTTGGTAACCCCGATTTGAAGAAATGGAATGCTTGGGGTGGGTCTCTTTCTATTGGACATCCCTTCGCTGCCACTGGGGTAAGATTATTTAGAGTTTTCAATATTTTACTGTTAATTTTTTACAGAAGACAGGTTTGAAGTGGAAGCAATTCTGCGTTTCGTCTGATGAGTGTGCGTCCCGAAGGCCTAATTTAGTCCTCTTTCCCTTCCCACCCTTTTTCTTATAAGAAATGAAAAGAATTCTTATAAGAAGAAAAAAGAATGAGAAGTGGAAGTGGAATTTTCGGATGAGAGGATGCATGGGAAGGGAAAATATTACTGTGCATCCTCTCCTCCGTCGATTAAAGGTAGGCAACGCAATCTTTTTCTCAGGAAGGCGTGAAGGTATCAAGCTGGAATTTAAGTTTCAATTTAGTTTTTGTTTGCTGCTTTTCTTTTTATCAATAAATCTTTCTTAACTTGATTTCTTATAAGAATTTTTGTATGTATTTATCAGGTTCGGCTGGCGATGCACACAGCGCACAGACTGGTCCGTGAGGATGGCCAGTTGGGACTGATCTCTGCGTGCGCGGCTGGTGGACAAGGCGTCGCCATGTTGCTTGAGAGACATCCCGATGCTAAAGCTGAATAATTGACTAATGTTGTAGGAGTAACAAGACAACAGTTGTATACAGAGGCTACAAGTGTCGAGACACTTGTATTCTTGTGACTTCAAGTGTTGTCAACCAATGACTATATCTCATTTTCAACCAAAGTTGATATTAAGTAAACAGAGAAACATAATTCGCGGCTCATTTTACTTTATTTTAGGAAAATAATGAGATTAAATAAATTTATATTACAAAATAAGTGTAGCTAATGTTTGTGTAAGAAAGTGTTTTACACGAACTTTTGGAATTTACTAATTTTGCGTAATTTGCAGTTTATTTAAGCTTTGCATTGGAAGAAAATATATATATAGTGTTGTCATCTAGTGACTGCAAGTGTTGTCATCTAGTGATTGCAAGTGTTGTCATCTAGTGACTGCAAGTGTTGTCATGTTTTTAAGCAAGTGTCGTCTAATTAATGCAACTGTTGTCTAGTTACACTAAAACAATTTGAAACTTATATAGTTGATCACTTCACAGAGGCAGGGTAAGGACACGCCAATAATCTGTAAACTTGAACTGAAATTACTTGAAGGCTTGAAGGAAGGAAGATTTTTACATATTTATTACATCATTTTTAACATCAATCAATGGTATAATGTTACAAAAAGTAAATATGTTTTATGTTAAATATTTTTCTTTTTAGTAATTGAAGAATATTTATATATTTTTTTTATATTAGTATTCTAAAATCAATACGCATCAACTAATATAAAGATTATCCTTTACATTAGTCAAATTTAAATATAATTTGGATAAACGTATTAAATTCTTCAACATTTTGATTTTAAGTTCTTCAAAATGCGGTTTTGTTTTTTTTTTTCATTTGAGAATTATTCCCACTGTCATGTTTTCTGTATTTTCTTGATATTTCTTAGTTATTTCAAATAGTTGCACGGAAACTGTAAAACATTAAACTAGATAATAAGGGCAATAATTTCTATTTATACACAGCTATTGTTAAATAAAGTATGAAAATGAAGTTAAGTTTCATTTATGCTTCCCTTTTACGGATTAAAATAGCTTAATATTTGTAAAAAGAGCTAAATTTTTTTTAGTTATATAAGAAAATTTTACCGTAGAAGTTTGTTATCTGATAAAGACTGCAAGATATAAGGTAAGAAATAAAACTCAATATTTGGCAACCAGGTTTATTAGTACAGTCGCCTAATAATTAGAACTATATATAATTAGCCTAACGAAGTCGGTCTTCGGACTTGCGAAATTTATTTTAATACATTTTTACATAGAAACGATGTCTCGGAGACCGACTCCAAAAAAATTAATAACTACAATATAAAATACCAAGCATCCGTTATACTCGCCAACAATCTGAAGTTAGCTGTTAGAGGGAGAGGATTAAACTCAAGAAGTGCGAGGGAGATAGATATATGTAATCCGCTTCAGTTTTGAGCTACGCAATTTATTGCAAACTTCAGATCGCTCCAGTTTTGCGGCGAGCACAATACAAAGATTATAAACGGTAAGGACATGTCTAATAAAGCTATGCTTTTTAGCAAATAAAATAGACATATTAAAGAAAATAAACGAAATATAATTTAACTTTGACTTGTTTGGAATAATTAGCCGACTGACTACAGACAGAAGGGAAATATTGGTTAATATTTGAATGTCACTTTTATTATATATTAAAAATATATTGCAAATAAATAACACTAAATAAAAGTTGTTTGTATCGGTAACAAAGATTAAAATTTACAAAAAAAAAATCAATTCCAAAGGAAATTTAATGTCAAAGTTAGAAACTTTTCTGTCATAAACAAGTCTATTGAGGTAAACAAAATCTATGAAATTTACTGCAACAGTCAAAGGCCACACTTAGTGTAGAAATTCACACTAAGTTGATTAACCATCTAGAGACTGACGGTTACTCTTTATTGCTTTTTATCATCATGCATGAATTTAAAAAGTGTATTTATGGATAGACAGAGAATCAATTTCGTATTTAAAAAAATATTATTTCTTTACAGATATTATAATTATTATATAAGATAAGTAATTTTTAATTTATTTTACTTTAAACTTTATTGGTTTTTTTCCGAAATAAAAAGTTGAAAATAAAAAAATTTCGACATCGTTTTTTAACACAAATATGTACAATTTCGGTTAATAAAATTTACTTTTTTGTTATTAATATCGTATCGTGTTTAAAATTTTAGACAAATAATTAAAAAAAATTAGCGAAAACCAAAACCATATAATAAGGGTGTACATTCTTTATATTAAGAAAAAAAAAACTATGTTGTACTTTTAATACAATATACAAATCTAAAAAAAAATATATCTCTTAATGTTTACATAATTTTCTTTAAATCCAAGAACAATTATAATATACGACAAAAAAATATGTAATACACACAAAAAAAATCGAAAAAAAAAAACCACTTTATGCCTCTTTACGGTATTTCCATAAAACAATGTATAGGCACTGTTCATTAATCTAGATTTTAATCTAGACTTTATTTACAACCTTACATATAAATTTATCTCCTAATATACTTGATATATATAGTTGTTTTTATTAAATGTCTTTGATATAAAACATTTTTTTACGAACACCGTTGGTTACTTTACAGTCAAGTCCAAATCAATTTTACAACTAAATATTATAGTATCCAAATTTTTTCTCTTTTAAAAACATCCTTTATATTGACAAAAAAGCCTTAAGGTGGATACACACTAGGGTATTTTCTCGAGCATTTCTATGTAACGTTCTTACGATTGTGTTGTTCGGTTCGTTTTATTACAAGTAAACACTCTAGTCTAGACTAACCTTTATTGAGCCAAAAGTTGAATAAATTGCTAAGGCCATTCGAAACTTCAATGAAAAATCTCAAATTATTGAATCCTCTGTGATTTCTTGAAAGTACTAAAAAAACCTACAGCCTTGTTTTGTATTGTTTTTTTCTATTTTTTTCCATGTAAGAAAAATATGAATAATATGATTGAACAAATTATTTTTTTCACATTTTAGTTACAGAAATATTTTAAGTAAAGTTTCTGATACCTAAATCTCGATATGCTTTACACATATATTTTAGTCTCAGAAACTCGCGGTTAGTCTATAAATTTACCATGAATTTTCCGTACTAAAATCATTTAACAACTCTTTAATACCTTTTTAAATAAGACAAAGAAAATTTTATACTTGAAATAAAATTATATTTATAATTGAAAACTACAGTATTAAGACCATTTTCTTTTCCTAAATGCTCATCCATACATCTCTATCAAATGTCTCTGAATGAATACCTTTCTTACATCTTCTTTCATACAATCCATACATTCTTCTGTCTTCCTCTATCTTTGTAAACCACAAACAAAATGATTAGTATTATAAAGAAAATGTCTAATATTTATTAATAGGGGTGATTTTATTCCAATCGGCCCAACGGCAATCGGGCCGATTGACCGGTCCAATGGGCAATACTAAAAAAATAGATATGTCACTTATGAGCAATGATACTTTAGTGTTTGGAAACTCACAGTTTATTGAGACGAATATGTTTTCGAAAGGCTTCAAATATATTTTTTCGTAATGAAATTTTCTTGTAAAAAAATAATAAAATGTCTCATTATTAGCTGTTTAATTCACAGCCATATTTATTTGCAATTTTCGATATTTAATTTTTGAAATATTTATAGGCAATTTCTTTCTGTCGTATTTCCGTTATAAGTCTTAATAGGTTTGTCAACATATTTGACGAATTAAGGCAAAATGTGTTTTAAATCACATCATGTATAAGAAAGAATAATTTATTATTGGGTAAAAAAAATTAATTCTTTCTATAAAATGTTAATTTTGTATGTTAAAATACATTTATACCTAAATTGAATACTTCGTCACCGCCGACTTGAGTCAGACATTAGAAATTCTCGCATAAAATCAACGAGAAATATTTTCAAATATATATTATATTTTTATAAGACTTAAAATAAAATCAACATGTGCATTGTATAACTTGCAACATCCCAGTGTACGCTGCGTGACATGTCAGTGACGTGTGTCCGCGGCGACGGCGGCGATGCTACTGGAAGTCTGCGAGCGATTGCCGCCAGGTGGCGTGGAAGGGGATGCGCAGGAGCTTCAGCTTGGTGTTTGGCATCTGTGCTGACAGCAGCCGCTGCAATGTCGGCAATGGTAGAATCTCCACCTGACAAAATAAGACAAACTTTACATCTATTTCATTAGTTTCCCGTTGGGCCGATTCAGTCTTTTTAATCAATCACTTATTAGGGTAACACTAAGTGTATATTTAGTGAGAGTAACCAATACTAAGAGTCTATTTAAGTAGTCTAATCAGGCAAAAGTCTGAAAATATTGTTTGTTCGTGCTTACATATGTATGAATGTGTTTGTACGCGTAAATTTAGAATGAGTGTCTATGAACACGCGTGCGTGATTGATTTGTGTCAAGTACAATCAGGGAAACTGGCGGTATACCATAGACAAGACAGTAATCTAAATATTTTGTAAGTATTAAGACGACGTGGTAAAAATAACCAATAAGATGCAGTATAAACGAGTAACTGTTTACTGTGTAAGAAAAGCAGTCTCTGCAAGAAACAGCAATTTGAAAGTGGGTCACCGCGAAGTGGTCTGACTGTACATATAAGTTTGTCGTACTTGCGGAGGTCCGGCAACATGGTCCGCGTCGTCCGGCAGCCTGCACCCCGGCACAGGCTTCAGTACAGGTATACATTCACCAACATCACGCCTCTTGTCTCCGCCCTGCTCGCACTGGTCTATGAACAGCTCGGTGACACGCAACAGTTCTATTGTCACGCCCCACATTAGATGTGTAAGAGTTTCCTTCAGCCGCAGAACTCCACTCAGCACCTGGACACAAGTTTTTAATATATATAATGGGTTTTTATTATCTATACTAATATTATAAAGATAAAAGATATGTTTGTTTGCATTGATAACACTATTGAGAAGCTACACTACCCTCAGGTGCATTGGCTATATTTATTACTAGATTTTTTTTAATCCGCGGACGAAGTCGTGGGCAACTACTAGTAATAAATAAATCATACTAATATTATAAATGCGGATGTTTAGTTAGATGTCTGTTTGAAGGTATCTCTAGAACGGCTGCATGGATCTCGATGAAATTTGGCAACACATAGGCTACTGATTAACATTTTTTTATATTCGCGCGAAGTCGTTGGCAGCCACTAGTTATAAATATATTATCATGTTTACCTGTTTATTCGTGGTAGCAGACTGTGACACATATGTCGGTATAATAAGTAGTCTTTGTATATTTTTGCACTCCGCCAACGCGTCGTCGAAGCCAACCTGCCGACAAACATATAGATGAGGTTAGGAAAAAAAGAACATTTACGTGCTATTAGGATTATTTATAGAAATTATAAGCATAAAAGGCGTTTGATTAATGTGTTTATAAATTTAGTATTAGGTGCGCAACTAAGTACTCGCTTTTTTTTTTCGATAAAAATATATATAACTTTATTATTAAAAATGGTTACAAATGTTTGTTTGATTGTTTGGCACGAAATTCGACATTTTACTTGACCAGAAGTTGCTAATGCGAAAACAAAATCACTCATGTGTCGCAACGGTTTGTTTACCATATGTCTAAGCTTGGTTCATGACGTTCTGGATATGTCAAAATCGACCAGCTCTTACTGCTAGAGCCATCTACTGATAAACAGCGAGAACTTAGTTGCGCACCTAATACTATTAAAATATATATATAAAAGATAAAATAGTGTTATAAAAAGAGCATAGGTTAGAGATTCAGTGAAGATTTTTGAAGATTATTTCAATGATATTTGATGTAATACCTGGTTTACATTATTCCAATCCAGCGATTGGAATCAGAACTGGCTTACAACAACTTATATTGGAATCAATACAGTGCTTTCATCCTAGAAAAGCAGTTGTAATCCAGTGATAATTTTGATTGCTGGACTGGAATTGTGTAAATGGATCATAACTGATTAAATGATTTAGAGACAATACCTTAACATCAAAATTAACCAGCTCAAGCCTGGTGAGTCGTGGTAATGTTGCCAGAGCGCGCAGTAAGGCCGGCGCTGCACAATGCGCCACACCTCGCTCCAGCCGCAGTCGGCGCAGGCGCGACAGTCGCGCGAGCGCCGTCGCGAACGCCGCGCCGAACGAACATTCGCCTAGCTCCAGTGATTCTAATTGCTCCAGTTGACCGACAACCTCGCATGCACACCAACCCAACTCCTGAAACATTAAAATATAACATTTAATTTTATATGTCACCGACAGATCACGAACGCCGTCCGAGTTCATTCGCAAATTAACGATATTTCGACAATTTGTTACTAAACACTTTTGCAGATGCTCTGTCATCGGTGGCCACGACTCTTTGACTGCACAGAATATCTAAAAGATTTTATACGGTCTTAACAAATTGTAATTGAATCCCTGCCTGGTTAACATTATTCCAGTACAGTAGGACAGTACCGCTCAAAATCACCCCAGTGATCTCATATAATCCATGCATGCAAGCGTTACTGTGATACTGTACTGGCATAATGTAAACGAAAATTAAAAAATATGTTTTTTATTAATGTTTCTTGAATTTAAACTTATCACCTTGATAGATGTGAGTGATAAATGTTGTAGTCTAGTGAGTGCTGCGAGAGGACGCAGGTCGGAGGCGAGGGCGAGTCCCGCCAGTGACTTGAGACGCAGCAGCTCGAGGCGGGGCAGCGCGGCGAGGGGGGCGGGGTCGAGGCGGGCGTCGCGGATGGCGGGCGCGGCCAGAGCGCGCAGTGACGGCACACGCGCCATCGCCGCCTCCACAGCACGAGCTGGACACCGGCACAGCTCCAACCTAATCGCACAAAAAACATAAGAAATAAATAAACTTATCTGTCCTTGTAGATATAAGTTAAATTATATCTGACTAATGTCTCCCTGTAAATGTCAAAAAGTATCACAAGATCCACTTTGTACTGTAGCTGACATGTAATTTTTTCTTTTAAGCAATTTTCTGTCTACCTAGGTTTTATATATGAACTTAATACTAAAATGAACTTTATTCTATTGAAACAAGGTTTAATTTTAATATACTTACTCTTCATATCAATTCTATAAAGCTCAATTTTATTTGCGATATAAAAAATCTGCTTTGAGGGCCTAGCACAAATATTTGTGATACGCACCTTCGTAACATCATCTACCAAACATGGCTTGCATAAAATTTTAATACAAATTTTGTCGACTACATTACAAAAGACGTTCTCACAAATATTCGTAATCACCCTGGTCTGTGTGAACGAACCCTTACTAGAGTAAGATATATAGATAGATGATGTTAACAAACCTCTCCAATGTATCAACAGTGCCGATATGTTCAGCAAACTGGTCCCAGAATATGGTGTCGTTCTGCGGCAGCAGCATCTTGCGCAAGTCCAGCCACTTGGTGCCGTGACTCTTCAGAGCAGCGCACAGCCCGCACCAATCACTCACCTTACATTATTATAAACTTTAATAAACATATATTTTACACCATTCCTTTTATAAGTAAAATAAATTTGAATTTAATTCGATACTATATATACTAAATTTACTCTGCATTTTTCCACAAAAATAAAAAAAAATCTTTTAGGAACTTTACTATGTACTAGCTGTCGCCCATGACTCTGTCTACGCGTAATTAAAAACAAAACAAAATAACCTATGTGTTCTTCCGGACTATATTCTACATCTATGCCAAATTTCATCAAGATCAGTTGAGCCGTTAAGCCGAAAATATCTTCTAACAAAGATCCATTCATAAACTTAGGTATTTATAATATTAGTAAGATTATTTTGTACTCTTACATTTACACATACAAAAAAACTATTTTTTGTATGTTTAGAGTTATCTTAGACATGTTTCTGTAATGTAAACACAATAAAAACAACTTACATGTGAATTTTTCATTCTAACGTGTCTCCAGAGCGCTGGCGTTGATGCCAGCTGTTGCCACAACTTGCAGACGCGCGCGCTGTGCGCCAGATCCCTCATACCTAGGTATTGGAATATCTGGAAAGAAACACTAGATATTAAAATCTGAAAGAAAATTATATAGGACTAGCCAATAAAAAAAAACTAAAATTATGAATTTTTGTTAGATGTTATTACAAGACCGATTCACGATAGTTCATTATGTGCGTACACTCCGACACTACGATGTCTATTAAGTGCAACATTAATTCTCATACAAAATTAATACGATACTTTATAGGCGTCAGGTAAACTAATCATCCTTTAGACAGACCGATATCATGTTAATTTGACGAGTGTCGTATCATTTTTATTCTATCATAATTCGCCAAAATGGCGAAGTTTAATCTGTATATTTAAATTATTTATATTCACCTGTACAGCAACATTATAATTAGCTTGTTGTGCTCTGGTACAGAATGCTGTGAAATGATCAACATCTTCAGCTCTCGGGCGACCACGACGTCTCGGTGATGCCAGCGGTGACGCCGCGCCATTCGCCACCCTGCCTCGACCTGCCTTCTCACTGTAACACAACATGGATTATACATCATATTGCTATCCTCACATATCGCATGTCTCTGTTTTATTAAAGATAATGAAAGAGATGCATATATGAACTTCTATGATAATTTAAACTTCGAATACATTTGAGAAGTACCAACTATATTGTATAAAAGAAGCATAGAAAAAAAAATAATCTTGTCAAAATTGTATACATTTTACTCAAATATGTACTTAATAAAAAAAATTGTTAAATTTACCTTTTTTTTTCTTATATATTCCTCACGTTTCATAAATTTAATTACATAACAAATCCGTTTTATATATAATTTATTATAAAATATAACAAGGCGTAACATTACTATAATACAAAAAAAAAACTATTTGAACACATGCAATTCATAAGAATAAGAAACCTCTATAAGCAAAGAAAATATCGCTATCTCTTGGACTCTTGCTTATCCAGGTTTGACTATATTTTTCCATAAATTGTAGTTTGTCTATCGATTAGTTTTTTTTTTATTTGGATGATAATGTACATATTTTACTTCGGTTCTAAGATATTTCATTTGTGTTAAAACATTGTAACTTATATAATAAATACTTATATGACTATTCAATTTTATTCCGACCTTTTATACTATTTGACCACAAATACATTCAATTTCTAACCTAAATAATAGCCTTAAAATCGCACCACAAGACAATCAAAACAGTCTGAATTTCTATGAGTTTTTAATGTCGAAACATCAGTATAAAAACATTTTTCAAAGATAACATGTTTTTGTGAGTGTTTCGACAGTGTAAACCCATAGAAACACTTTATACTATGTTATATCTATCTTATCAAAACTAATTATTAAATCTAAAATATTAACACATTTTTATATGGCAATTTTGAATCAAGTATAAGTCTTTTCAAATATCTTGGCGGCTCTGCTGTCAACTCCAGGATATATGAACGCGTACGTTCCGAGCCGATAACATATTTGGTAATTCCAATACAGATAGTCTATATGACCAATATAGTTGTCGCCCGCGACTTCGTCCGCGCGGAACTTAAAAAATAAACTTAATTAGTAGCCAATTTGTTTTTCCAGAATATAAATCAAGCCTCAGCGAGAACCATGCAGCAATTCTGGAGATACCTTCTAACAAAAATTTATCCATCCATCTAAACATTCGCATTTATAATATTAGTAAGATTACTTGAGTGCAGAAAATTAAATATAAGACATAACAATACTACAAGGATTTTCTGACAGGTCGAGATTGAGAGGGGATTTAGTGTTATTATGCCTACAGGGTCAGATAATTTTATCGGACTATATAGAAAAACGATGAAAAAATCACTTTTGATTTCATAGCGGTTGTCAATTTAAACCACACTGGATTGCACTGATTTAAACCAGATTAAACCGGTTTTAGCCAGTTGATAATTCAATATACTTTTATTGTATAAGGAGGCAAAGAAGCAGCTTTAATCAAACAGAAAAATATTTTTTTCCTCCTTTCAATGCGTGAAAGGGAATAAAACTCTGATTTTAGTCTATCATCTGTTGTCACCTATATACTATATCTATATGAAATGTTATATATTCAAAAGTAAATAAGATATTTATACAACATCAGTGTGGCTCTGTGTGTACAAGAGAGCGGGGTACTACAATAAACCGTCTGCCGTTGAGTACGGCTAGTGACTGCGGTAGTGTTGGCCTGACGCCCGGCGGCGGGGTACCCGGCCCGCTAGAGGTAGGAGCTACTGCCCACACGCGGGTACCGTCTTCTTTACCTCCCGCTACCTGTAAAACAAGTTATAAGTGATCGTATGACTTAGGATGAAGAACAATGAAAAATTACCTAGATTTTATTTTTGTAATGATCAAAATAATTTTATAAACTTCCTAAATCCATTATATTGTTTCTAATTTAATTAAATTGTCTTTAGAGACTTAAAAAAATTATAACACATATTTTTCTAATCGTATTTTTTAATCGTTAAATTAAGAGTGTTGATGGCTCAGAGGTTAAGCACTTGACTTGTTCTTCAGGTCCTGGATTCGAATCCCGCCATGTACCAATGTGTATTTCGATTTACATATGTACATTTATACGACGTTCTTACGCTGTTCATATATTTTTTTTAATATAATTCATAATCCTCGTATTATTTTCAAGTTAAAATCACAATAAATTCATACCTTCATACGTAGCAGCACTCGTTTATCAGGTCGTACTTTAGCAGGCACTGGCAGGGGGCTGGGTATGTTCGCGGGGGGACGTCTTACTGGAGCCACGCCTCCCGCCCCGCCCTCCGGCACAGCAGAGGGGGTGACAGTCGCACCTGACTTGTGCGTTAATGGTGGAGGCTCTAATGGCGGGGATGTTGACTTTCTGCAGTTCTGTAGATATACAAAATAAATATAAGTAAGTAATTAGCAGTTGTACGCGCAAAATAAAAAAATGCAGTAATAAATGTCTATGTCACCAAGGGATAGTGTAATTTCCCAAGATTGAAACAATTTTTCAAATCGGTTCTGTGGTTTCGGAGGCTTATTCAATACAAACAATCAAATCCTTCCTGTGTTCCTACCTTCCCCTCTTCCATCAAATTCAATTCTCCTTCCTATTGTTTCTTTATAAGAAAAGGGTTAAGCCTCCTTCACGCACACTCATCAGACTGCACGTGGAATTGCTTCCACTTGACGCCTGTCTTCTGTGTGGTCGTGGTATTTCACCGGACGAGCCAACTCATTCGTGTAACAGATGCTAGCGTCGACCACTGTACTCTTATATGAATCTTCTAGTTTTGTAGTTTTCTACTATAAAAACAGCGTACCTTGCATAGAAAGTTACTGGGTGAAGGTTGTCCATGTGGCAGTCCAGCGCAGGCGGGGTGATACAGACAGAGACAGGCGACGCACGCTAGCGATGGTACCGCGCCACGCCCACATGCCATAGAGCACGGCTGTACCACGCGACGTACACTCTGCTGTATTAAGACATACATACATACAACTGGCATCATTTAAACACTAAATGGCGCCAATAAGTCCATAAAATGCCTAAAAGAGCGTCTGTGGCTAGGGGGCTTAAGCACTTGACTTGTAATCTGCAAGTCCTGGGTTCGAATCTCGCCATGTATTGTAATGTGTAATGTGTTTTTCAATTTTCTATTTACATATGCACATTCATCCGACGTTCTTACAATGAGGGAAAACATCGTGATGCTGCACATATCTGTGAAGAAATTCAAAAATATGTGTGAAGTCAACCCGCACTGGGCCAGCGTTGACTATGGCCCAGTCACCCTAACTTGGGGTAGACTCCGGGGCACTGCACCCATATACGGGCCGGCTCTACTGACATACTGTACTGGAATAATATAAGCCAGTAAGACAATTAAATGTAAGTCTTTAAATGAATAATAATACCTCTACAACAGCATCTGTGCGCGGCTGCTGCGGCCGGCTCTGCAACGGCGGCGGTGGTTGCGGCGGTTGCGGTGCGGCGTGCGGTTGCGGTTGCGGCGCGTTGTGCGGTTGCGGTTGCGGCGGCGGTTGCGGTGGCTGAGTCGCGGCCGCCGCCCTGGCCCCACACGCACACTACACTCGCGACCGCGCTCAGTACCCGTAGTAGGGGGGGTTAATTGCACCATTGTCAATTAACCCCCCACATCACTTGTACTGGGATTACATACATATTTGTCATTTCATATACAGTCCAACATGGATAAAAGAAAATCCAAATGTCAGGATTTGACAATAACTCTCGATTATCCTGGTTTGACTATAGTCATATAGTGTTCTGCAGTTTACAATAAAACGACAAATCGTACATCCGGCACATAAATAATACATTTTTATTTAATATTAATACAAAATTACAATATCACTTGCAATATTTCTTAACTTGTATAAAAATATATTAAAAATTATTGCACATCTTAATACTAAACTTAAAACTAAAAATAACTAAAAATACATTTTATGTAGATGTGGTCAAATACATACTAAGGTCTGTTACGTCAATAAAATTACCAAAACACAACAATATAAAAATATAAATAATTTACATTAAATAAAATCACAGTTTAAATAGATCAAGTCCCTAATTTAAATCAATATATTAAAAACTAGCTTTTTGCTCGCGTCTCTGTCCGCGGAATTAAAAAAAAACTTAATTACTAGCCTAAGCATTCTTTCAAATTATATTTTACATTTATTCCAAACAAGTATATCCATGCAGATTATGGAGATACCATCGAACATCCATCCATACATCCAAACTTATCATACTAATATACTAATATTATAAATACGAATGTTTAGATGGATGGATGTTATTGAAGGTATCTCCGGAAAGTCTCAACAAATCTTGATGAAATTTGGCACACATATATAACATAATCTGGAAAAACACATAGGCTACTCATTTAGTTTAATTCCGCGCTGACAGAGTCGCTAGAGACTAAAAAAATTGTTACCTTGGTTTCTTCCATGCAGCGGTGTTATTGTTATCAGGTGCAGCTGGTAATGTGGCAGCAGTGGCAGTGGCGGTGGCAATGGTGGCAGCAGTGGGTGTGGCAGTCGCAGCGGTGGCAGTCGCTGCTACTGCTGCTTGTAGACGTCGACTCTGTTTGGGAGCGCTCGCTACTGGTGGAGTACCATTGTTGCTTAGCCGAGAACCCAATGATTTCACCTATAAATATAAATTAAAGTATAATTATTATCAATTATAGAATACTATAGCCCGCGACTCCGTTCGTGCGGTATTAAAAAAAAACAATTTTTATTAGTGTATGTGTTTTTCCGGACTATGTTCCAAATTTTAGCCGTTCTGGAGATACCTTCTAACCGACATCAATCCATCTAAGCATTGCCATTTATAGCGTAATATTAGTAAGATTAAAAATAAATTTTAAATTAAAATGCAACCCTCTAAGAAACTTTTTGAAAAAGAAAAATTGATTGTGTACAAACTTAAACTCAAATTGACTAAAAATTCAAAGTAACTAATAATTTTGGTAAACAATAGAACAATGTTACAGCAATGGAAACTCACGTTAACACATACAACAAACACATATAACTGACCTTTAGTTTAGCAGGCGGTGACTTGGGTGTGGTGGGCTCGGGGCTGGCACCTTTGGGGGGCTTCGGTTTGGGTGTCCTCTTGCCCTCCAGTGCGGGCTGAGTTGCCGGCACTGGAGACTCCACACGACGCATTAACTTCGCATCTCTACAAATTATAATATTAAATTTAAAAAAAAAATTACAATAAATTCCTACATACAAAATTTTAAAGTTTTTAAATGTTCTCTCCGAGTACTTTTATGTAAGAAAATCTATGATTAGGAACTGCTAAAGTAATAATTTAATGATTCAAGTATGTTAGCAAGCCAGCGTGACTAATCATTGGTTTGTGAGACCAAAATCTCCGTGTCCAATTTGGTCTCAGAAACCCAAGGTAAATTGTCAATAATCAAGAATCCTTTTACTATTTACAAATTAATTCACCTTATTATTTCCTTCTCTGGATCATCAACACCGAGTGGCTCTTTGAAGAATGAGAAATTTTCCAATGTCAACCCTGTTCCCGCCAAATTTTCTGCCACCTAGAACAGACAATATTTAACATACATATATTTACATGAAAATTACATTTATTTATCTATAAAACAGAAACTTTATTCCTGCATATAACCCATCTTACTTTCTTACTAATATTATAAATGCGAATGTTTGGATGGATGTTTGTTAGAAGGTATCTCTGCAACTGCTGCACAGATCTTGCTGAAATTTGTCATAGATATAGAAAATAGCCAAGAAGACCACATAGGCTAGTACTAGTTATTTTTTAAACTAAAGGGTAAAAAATTCAATAAAATCTTACAATTGTACCAATTACTATATTATCAAATCGGGTTCAAAGATATGTGTGAAGTCAACCCGCACTTGGCCAGCGTGTTTGACTATGGCCTAATCACCCTTAATTTAGGGTAGGCTCCGAGCACCTCGGTGGGGATGTATAATGAGCTGATGATGATGACTATATTATCTCAACTATAAAACAGCATAACCAATGTGTCTCCACAACAAAAAAAAAAAGAAAAAAAACTCACCTCTCTACTAGATCGTAGTTTCTTTCCTTGCGGCGTATAATAGTATATATCAGCATTCCTTCTAGAATGTGCATCCAATGCTGCGCGATACACCAGCTCTCGTCTCCAACCTCGCTCCAACGGCACACGTAGTAGGGGCGACGACATCTCTGTTGTTGAACGACGTCCCCGCATACCGGGGGAAGCGCCTGCCTGCTAAAATATCACGTATTACTATGATATAAGGTTTATTATCGTATATGCTATACACCGTATGTTACATACTAAAATATGTCTTATGCTGTAAGACATAAGGTGTGATATAGCATAAATACTTTAGGAGTATTAAAAAGATTAGTAGAAAGTCGGAATATTTCAACAAAATAAAAAAATAAAAGAATTCGCATTGCATATTTAGTTATTTTTTAAAGCAACAATTCCTAAATTGCTTTTTTTTTTTTTGAGTTTTTAATTTGAAGAAATTTTGAAGACAGATTTTAAAATCTTTCATTGTATAAGTAATTAGGAAATGCTGCTTTAAAATACTTAAAATTATTGATATTTGGGAAATATATTTTACTTATAACTCAAGAAAAAAAAATCTTAGTGCCAACATTTTTCAAGGTAACTTTTACATTTCCTATGACACTGTTCAACTTATAACCTGATACTCCACCATTTTATAAAAATTCTAGATTTTTCTGTCAACAGTAAGAAATAATATCTAAATATAATAATGATTGTATGGTCATGAAATGAATGAACAATGAAATCAACAAAAAAAAATATTGAAGTTAAAAAAAAAATTAAAAACCCTATCACAAGCCATTAGCTTTAAAAAAAAGTTAGTATATTAACACAATCTACCAACATTGAAAAAAAAACTGTTAGATTATTAAAAAAAAACCACAATAATTAATAATTGTTAAGTCATACCCGAAAACCAGTTCCGATAGTTATTGTAAGTCTTGTTGAGGGCAAGCACTGAACAATATCAAAAAAATCACAATTAGATATTTTCATTTGTCAGCATGCTTATTACTAGCTGTCGCCCGCGACTCCGTCCGAGCAGAGTTAAAAAAAACATAATTAGTAGCCTATATGTTCTTCCAAACTATGTTCTACATCAATACCAAATTTCATCGAGATCCGTTCAATCGTTTTGGAGATACATTCAAACATCCATCCATCCATCCAAACATTCGCCTTTATAATATAATATTTTAATATAATCTAACGAGTACAATTTACAAAGCTTGCAAAGCAAATCACCTAAAATCATTGAAAACCGAACCACTGCCCATAAACAAAATTTTGTCTATCTTATAAGTTTCTGAGACTGAAATCTCCATTTAAAACATATTGTTATCTCTATTTTGTCAAAGATAATGACAGGGATATATTTTTTACAGAACTAATTAACTCATGGTTAGAAAAATGAAATCTCCCGTTCCTGCCAAACTCTCATCCTTTATTAGAAAAAGGGGGGTTAAGTAATGTTGAAATATTATTGGTCTCCATCACCATGTCATACAAATACTTGAACATAACTAATTATATTATCTAGATTATCTAGACTAAAAGTCTAGATTCGTCAAATGGTTGTGTAAAATCTTACATTGATTTTAAAGCCATTCCTTAGCAAAGCTGATGCTACCTGCTTTTCAACGGACTTATTAGATGCTAATATTTTTTTGTCCTAGAAGAAGAAATGTCATATTGGTTGAAAAACATAACTATATGTTTTAAATCATATTTCAACTGTGGTCTGAGACGAACCAAGATTCATTGAATTGACTATATCTTTTTAATAGGATTTAAAAAATCACTTTACATATAATTAATTTTATATATCCCAAATTGTATATAAGTAAAATAATGTAAAATGTAATTTTAAATCGAAATAGTTGGCACTTTAGACAATTTTAATATAGAAATTGACATCTTCAGTTGTTATATTAAGTCTTATATAAACTATTTGTTCGACCATAAATTTTTAAACATATTAATTACAGTTAAATACATAATAGCATTAATCAGCACATAAATCGAGTCAAAAGCAACATAATGGGTCTGAAAAAGGCGCATGAAAGTTATGTGCAAAAGTAATTGCAAGATATTTAAAAAAATCTTCATACACATTGGATTTTTTAATATAAATAACTTTAAAAAAAAATCTTTCCTTTAATTTATAAAATATAAATTAATTTGATATTAACATAGAAGTAATAACATTTGATAAAGCGAGTCTTCAAAACTGTAAACTAACATAAAAAGTAATATATGTTTTGAACTCATGAATTATTCGCCAGCAAACTTAATTCTACTCTTAAATAAAATATATCAAAATTAACAGCTATTTAGTCACTGATGTGACTACAATTCTCCGGACGGCATAGAATCTTGTTATAAACATATAACATAGTAAAATTCATTATAAAGGAATTCAAATAATAAATTTGAACTTCGTAAAGTAATGTTAAATTGTTTAAAAACAAATACATACATATTTAAAAAAAAAATTTAAATGCATAAAATACAAAGAAAATTTCCTTTCTTTCTTTAAAGACTTCATATATTAAAAAAAAATCAGCACTTTAAGTGCATAATACTGTATTTAATTTCTTAATCTCGTGATTTAATGAACATTAAACATAATCAACCCGCAATAGGCCACCATGGTTGATTATGGCCTAGTCACCCCTTACTTAGGGTAGGCCCCGAACACTTTAGTGGGGATGCATAGTGAGTTTATGGTTAAAAATAAATATAACAGCATTTTAAGCAAGGCTGCCAAGCATTGCGGGAACTATTTAAGGGTGGGCAGACTGAAAAAATAATGTAAACTCACCTCAGACCATTCACCATCTGACCTGGTTGATAGAGCCGATGATGGTCTTGATCCATCTGAAAGTAACAAAACAAATTAACTTGCTTTTTAACATATCTTTTTAATTATGTAGGAAAGATGTGTCAGTTTCCGGACAAATTTCTAGACAAAATTTCAATTTCAGGACGAGCAGTACCAAATTTTACATATTTTTTTGTAAAATATTAGCAGATTTTTCTTAATTTACTAATATTTCTTGTACCATTCCAAGTAAGCTCTAAGCTTGTGCTAGCTAGTTTACCATAATAGCTGAATGGCGGGATTCGGGGGTAAAGCAGTCTCAAAAAAGTCTCCCTATCACTGGAGAAGTATCGAGTAGTCACAATGAAACACTGGTTATACCTTGGTGCGAGTCAACTTTATTGAAATGCGATCGGCAAGTCGATAAATATAGCAAATAAATCAATATCGTGATCTAGTAATATGTACCGCCATCTGTTGATATAATAATGTAAACTAAATTGACATAGCGTTTGACACGAACTCTTAACCAATGATCGGAAATCCCTACACTTAACCATTCATTTACATTCCAGAGACTTGTACTCAACAAGGCAATAATTAAAAAACAAATAAGTATTTGCGTAAATGTTTCAGGGTTTTTTCATTTCGGTCAGATATTAACATACCTGTATCCTGCCGAGGTCTTTTACTTGCTTTGATTGGAGATATCGTAGCTTTCAAACTCTTGATTGGCTTCAAATCTTTAATAGCTGTTTGTACTTCCGCTTCTAAGCGTTCTGTTGATACAAAATTATACATACAATGTATGGAACACACCTATAATGTTAAATGTTATATTATTAAAACAAGCAGAAACTGTACTAAAAATCCCTTAGTTAAAATCAATGTTTCATAATAAAGATGCGTAAAAAAATATGCTTAAAAGCTTTTTGTCCTGAAAATTTAATAGCAATTCTTGTTAAATTATGATTGTCACTGGCACTTTGCAATTTTAGTATAAACCCATAAAAGTAAAAAAAAATCACACAACACTTTGAGATCCACTGGCCTGTGTTCATTTTAATTCCTAAGCTTTGTAGCACAAAATATTTAAATATAACAACATACCTAAAACACGGCTATATTCTTTAGACAAATCTGCATCCTTGGACTCTTCGAATCCTTTGAACTCTTCATCACCAGCCTCGCTGAATGCGATAGACGCACGACGTTTGGTCCCGCGATTCTCTCCGTCCTGTTCATCTACTTCTGGTGTTGTTTCTTCTATTTCTTCTTTTACTTCGGTATTTAATTTATCATTATCGTCTAAACTCTCTGTTTCTGGTTTATCTATAAATAGAAATTTAATTATTTGACTTACTACCATATAAGTTGGTTTTTATGACATCAGTTTTAATAACATATTAGTTAGAGTGGTTGATTAACATTGTTTTTATATCATATCGTAAATTCATGTTGGTATAACGCGGTAAGATGATTAAATTGAAAATTAACCTCCAATAACTAGACTTTTGCAGAATCCTTCGCGGTAGTTGGCATTGGAAGCAAAAAAAGCCATTAAAAAAGTATATTATTTAACATGATTAATTTATATATATTATTTAACATACGTTTGAATTGACTATGTTTTTATCATTATCATCAAACATATCTGTTACAAAATACGCCAATTTAAAAATTTGTTATTTCTACAAAACTTTATTGGCTTGAAATATAATAATAATCCTTTAAATGTTAAATGTGTTGGACAAAGGTGGACTAAAATTTATACAGTCGAACCTGCATAATAAGTGAGTCATTGCCCGGTCCCAATGCATGACCTCCATAAATGAGAAATTTGGGTTGGAGTGAAACTTCAAAAAGAGAAATATAGCACCTGAATAAGCATGAGTCCAAAGGACTCAGTCAACTGTATTTCATAAATTGCCAAGGATTTCTTCGAACATTAGTAACAAAAGTAAAAAGCAAATATAGATAGACTAAAATGCTAATTCCTATTTGTTAAGCAATTAAAGACATACCTCAAGGTACCCATTAGACAATAAGTTCATGAATCATTGACACAGTTACACAAATTACTCCATTACATCCCGTCTATACCTTTATATGTCTATATTCAAATAAAATCTACTTATGTTATACATACTGGCTGTCACCCAAAACTCAGTCCATGCGGAATTAAAAAAAAAAATTAATAGCTTATGTCTTCTTCCACACTATATTCTATGTCTATATGAGCAGGCATTCTAGAGATACCTTCAAACATATATCCCGATCAATCTAAACATTCGCATTTAAAATATTAGTAACATAGTATGAATAGGAGATTGCAAAATTAATTGGATATTTGACTTTCTATTTAAAAGTATAGCTATTGCGATGGTAAAGTGACATTCAACTATAAATTTTTACTTTTTGTTAAAACAAAGATAAATTATGCTAATGAATGAATTTGAAATTTGACACAGTTAGGCTTGGTGCTGACGAGCCACCAACTGTAGCCAGCAACAGGCAGTTCACATGATTTTTCATACATTTTGTTACAATGTGTCGCACATGTGTGGCCAGTCTCTACAGTAGTAGATAGATAGATAGATAAAGCCTTTAATCAATAGTGTCCTGATACAAATTCATACGTATGTAGTGGTAGCGAGCAACCACCTGTAGTCAGTGGCCTGTTTGCGCTGCCGAGCCTTAAACTTATCTGGTCAAAAAGTACATAAGCTTTTGATTAATTTTAGTAATAAATCGAAAATTATGTTTCAATTATGAATTGGAAGTAGTCACCCAATAGTAAAAGGTCTTAAATCTATGATATTAAATAAAATATTAAAAACTAATAATTTATTTAATTTACCAAATAGTTAAATTTCAATTTGCAACCACTAGAATCTCTGATGTAGCTTTCCTTAGCAAAAAGTAAAATTATAGTGCAGAAAGACAATCTAAAAACTGAATATCTAATAGAAGCCTACCCGAGTAAGTTGATTTTATTAATTTTCCAAAAAAAGTGTGCGAACCAAATTTACTTTAATGCAAATAAAATAAATTCAATATTTGTCTAAAGACTTATTTACAGTGTTGCAAATTTTTTTATAATTAATAAAAAATTTCCAATTCCAATTGGTTATTCTTTGTGCACATGTGTATGAGAAAATTTCCAATCAAACATAAAAGATGGAATAATATTATTGTTTCTCTTCATTCATGATGTTATATTGCTAATTAAATCAACCTCATCCTAAGGTTGTCCAATGTTGAATGTAAGCCTCACTCATCGATTGCCATTGCCCGAGCCTTTGCCGCCCACATTCTGTGTACTCCCTCAATCTCGACCAGATCATCAGTTCATCTGATCCATTTGTCTATTAGAAATTTAGTACTACATTTATAAATAACGATCTAACTATTTTACTTTAAAGACTAAGTTACAATTTCAGATGACTTAGCGACAAACTCGCTTAGATCATAACTTAAGGAATAATTATATAAATTAATAAAATAATAGTAAAATATTATTCTAGCCTTTAGAACTAATTCAACTTGACAATGCTAAACAAGTTTATTTTAATACACCATAGCAACAGACATTACTTATAAAGGCAGCGCATTAATTGTTTGGTCAACACACTTTTTTAACCATTCAGATACAATTTAAACATCAAATACAACATTAATTTCATGGGATTATGTATTTATAAGTGAAAATAATTATTTTCACTGTGCTATGAACATGAAAAGTAAATTTATGTCATCATACAAATATTAGGTTATGCGAAAGTACTAACCCTCAACGGAGGCCTTTGCCTCCTCTGTGACTATTGGAGGCTCATCCACGGGCTGTGGAGTAGCTTCACCAGCACCTTCGACGTCCTCCGCCGCCGTTTCGTCCCTGTTTACTTTATTCTCATCGCTTGTAGCGTTATCACCCACCGCCATTTCGTCTGACATTGTCAATTCTAAATATACAACACGGTTCCACTGTCAGAGTGAAGATAACCACATAACAACCTATCACGACACCTCAGCAGTCGACTCCGTAAATTATCAACGTTTGTGCGCGTCACAGCGGAGATTTCCCGCTATATTTCAGAAGAAAAAAAAACTTATGTTTAATTCGTCCACAGAACGTCTAACTCACTGTTTACACTTCTAACGTTATTTTATAAGGTTTAACATCATGAAATATACTCAATAACAGTAAAATAATAGTTAAATATAACAAAATTTAGAACTTCATGTCCACATCCAATTTCCAAAGGAAAATGTCGATCATAAACAACATCCGTTCGGACGACGCCACAATGTTTGTCTTTGGTAAATTTCATAGATTATATTCAAAAGCATTTGTCTATTAACGATTTTAAATATCGATAATTTCACTCGTTACTCTATGAAGGGTAGTTTTTTCTCATTGACTTTCAAAACTTTTTAATTTAAAAAAATCAGAATAATATTATGATTTGTGATAGAGACAAGCAAAAAAATGTAAAGATAAAATGAACATGGAATATCAATGGATAGCTCAGTTAAAAGTGGGAACAGGTTACGAATATCAGTAATAAAATTAGCTGCAGATTTTCAAAAATATTTATTAGTTGTTCATATAAAACAGATAATTGTTATCCTAATAAGTATTATTTATTTTTTCTTCGACCTCCTTGTTTAGGTGCTTGAGGTTTACCAAACGTTTTAGTTTTATTCGGACCCTTTCCTTTGGCCGGCCCTTTACCCTTTTTCTGTGGGAATTTAACACCTTTTTGTACACGATTAGCATCATATCGCAGTCTCTTTGCTGCGGCTCTAGAAGTATCTGTCAAATCGTTTGCAAAGTTGCTCTGTTTCTTCTTATTCTTTGGCTTTTGGTTGTTTCTGAATTGCGATCTTTCGTCATCTTCGTCGTCGACAGCTTTTATTCTGCGTTGTTTCTTCTTACGTTTCGCCATCCTTGATTGAAGTAGAGCAACCTAAAGAGGAAAAACAGATTACACATAAAATCTAAAGTTGGTTTGAAAAGTATCTTGCAGGTACGTTTTTCTTGGCTGGAAGTAAAGTAAAGATTTTCTTTTTATGTACATTACCTTCTCCATCTCTTTTTTCACTCTCTCTTCAGCTGTATCCTTAGGTGTATGTTTTGTTGTCTTCTTCTTTTTCTTCTTGCCGTCATCATCGTCCGAATCGTCGTCGCGTTTGCGTTTTTTACCTTTTCCCTTAAGATTCTCTGTAGAAAAAATATAAAATTAACAAAAATATGCTATAATAATATAATGTTGAAGATACGAAACTATTCTTTTACCTTTCCCCGGATGACGAGTTAACGCAAGCCTCTCTTTTTCTTCTCTTTTTTCTTTTGGTGTCTGGAACCAATCGTGCTGCCGTTTGACCTCAACTTGAGGACCTTCTTTCTCTTTCTTCAAGTTTGTTTCCAGTTTCGATGTCTGCTTCTCCATTTTGTTCAGTTGTTTCTCTGCGTATTCTTCATCAAGTATAGCGGCTGTTGAAAAAATATATCTATATATTTGTCATATACGTCACTATACAATAAACCAAATAAGTAAAAAATTCTACTTAATTAAATTTGAAATATAATCATGGATCTGTCATTAACATAACACACAAAAAAAAACAATGTTAACTGTCTAATTCACCTTAAACATCGAATATATCGATTAATCAAAAATAAAATCGATTTTGTATTAATCGGGTATCTTACCGATCTCGGGTTCCAATCTAGTCAATCTGTCGCGGTACTTAGCGACGATGTCAGGTGGCACAGCGCGGGACTTGACAGGACGACGCGCGCGCCGCACTATCGCCTTCACCAGGTTCCTCTCCCCCTCCCCCGCCAGGGACACTGACACCCCCGCGCGACCCGCACGTGCTGTTCTACCCACCTAAGTTAAATGCGGAAATAAAATTGAAGTCAAGCAGATATTCTTCTAAGAATGTTTATAAATATCTCGCGGTCGTAGTCGCGGCTATAAAGAAAATAGTTGCCTATATGTTCTTTTGGACTATATTCTACATCCATATTATATTTTATCAATATAAATTAAGTCGTTCTAGAGATACCTTCATATACATACATACATACATTTAAACTATGCGAATATATAATATTAGTAAGAATGAAAGTAGTGAAGTAAAATAGTAAGTAGAGTAGTGAGTGGCGTTGCAATCGAGTTACCTAATCTTTACTCAAATCCCAACATTAACTAAATAAAAAAAATAACAGTAGATCAATTACTGGTCCATAATTGTTTACTTACCCTATGTATATAATGTTCTAATGTAGCTGGCAATGTGAAATTAAGTACAGTTTTAACACCGGGTATGTCTAAACCTCTTGCCGCTACATCTGTAGCTACCAACACATCGACCTGCTCTTCCTTGAATCTCTTCAATGAATCCAATCTCTGAGGCTGGTTTAATGCACCATGCAATTCTGCTACCTACAAAAATATATCATGGAGAAATAAAAAAAATTGTTCCTAGCCAAAATAATATTGTAATTATCTGTCCGCCCGTGAGTCTGTCCGAACGGAATTAAAAAAGTAACCTATGTACTCTTCCAAATTATGTTCTATATATGTGTTAATCAATCCGTTCAGCTTAACGGAGATTCCTTCAAACATCCATCCATCTAAACTTTTGCATTTATAATATTAGTAAGATAAAATTTTATTTTAAGTTTTAAAGGACTAAAGATGTCAAAACAATATTTTATTTGTTCACCACAAAGTTTCTGTTTTGTTGATTAGTTTACTATTGTTTCTCTGTGAAATGCATAAATATTTTTTTCTTTTAAAAAAGTGACTTATAAACGGAAGAAATTTTCTAATGCACACTAGCGCCATCAAGTTCTCCTAACGGTCATATTTTCTCTTTTTTTGTATCAAATAGTAATAATGCATAATATAACTTACTTTAACTCCAAGCAGGCCTAAAGCTACGTGTAATCTGTGCGCTTGCTTTTTAGTCTGTACGAATATGACAGCTCGGTCGCGGAACGTGCGGCACACTAGCGCCGCCAAGATCGCCTCGCGGTCAGACTCGCGCTCTTTACGTATCCTAGTTAATAGTTTTTTTTAAACATATAGACACAAGTATTTGAATGTTACAGCCACATTTGACATTTGAATAATAGAAATTAATAAAAACACAGTCAATAAAATTATAAAAACACAGTTTTTTTTATGGAATTTCAGAAATATCCAAAACTTTTTTTTTCTTTTTACCTGACAAACTCTTGGCGCAGATTAAACGCCACATCTTTGTTGGAATCCACAAACAATTTGACAGGCTTATTTAATGACACAGCAGCCAAATCTTTGACCTCCTCACTCATAGTCGCTGAGAACAACATCGTCTGTCGCTTAGCGGAACATTGTCTGATGATCTCTTTCATTTGTTCCGCAAAATATTCGTCCAACATCCTAAAAAATAAATAATTTATGAATTGATGCAGAGTGACCGTTGGTTTCTGAACTAAAATTTCTGTATAAAACATATCGTCATCCCTGTCAACTTTGACAATACAAAGATAACAAAATATTTCAAAGGGGTATTTTGGTTTCAGAAACCCACAGTTAATTTGTCAATATGTTCCTGTAACTTAGTTCTTAAAATTATTCATTCTATAAAAGTGAAATAATTTAAAAGTTCCTGTCCATAGACATTAATAATCAACCTTTTTTTGACAGAGACGTAGACAATTAAAAAAAATATAACACTGTTTCAGACTTTCGCGAGCCTGATGTTCAACATGCTGTTATGAGTGTACCAACCTGTCAGCTTCATCAAGTACCAGAACTTCGATGGAATGAAGACTGAATGATGGCGTGTTCCTGATGTGATCAATCAGTCGCCCTGGAGTTGCTATTACTATGTCTGGGTTACGACGGAGCACACTTTCCTAGATAAAGACCAAAAAAAATAGGATATAACATTTTAAATTTTTTTTTCAACAAATTAAAAAATAATTCAACTAAGTTTATTTCAACCAATATTATAAAGAGGAAATATTTAATTGTTTGTTTTCATTGAATAGGCACCGAAACCATTGCACCTAATCGAAAAGTTTTTTCACCGATAGAAAGCTACACTATTCCCAGATGACATAGGCTATATATTGTTTAATTTCGGTCATACGAAATTGCAGGCAGTTTCTATCCTTTCATATAATTTCATGTCATCTAGGACTATCTAAAATTTTTATTATCTGTAAAAAAAAAACAAATCTGTCAAATAACGTAACTCACCTGATATTTGACATCCAATCCACCAACAGACAGACCAATAGTGACCGAAGTGAATTGCGCAAGTTGCCTTGTCACCGCATGTACCTGAATAAAAAAAATAACCTCTCACTGTTTTAAATCACTATATTAAAGTATATTTTTAATAATAAGCAATTCGAATAGCAGAAAATAGTAAAACAATCTTAATTATGTACAATCCAAACAGATAAAGACTACAAAGGTACAATCCAGGAATCTGACAGTGTTATACTTTAAAAACTACAATCGTTTGATAACAGTAACCAGAAGCTTTTAAATGAGTCTGTAAAAAATGTTAATCGGTACACAACTAATTGTTTTTTTTTTATCATGCCGTCTGCTCAACTCACTGCTACCTATTTGGTTATTTCTAAGACGTAGAGTTTGACACATTGCAAGAAACAAAGCAATTCTTCTGTAAGTGCAACACCATGAATTGCCTCGACTGTACTATTAATATTCAAATAAAATAACATAATTCATTAATAGAGACAAAAGAACTATTAAACGATTACTATAAACAAATGAATACCTTACCTGTGCACCTAACTCTCTAGTCGGGACAAGCACCAACACTCTAGTGATCCTGTCTCCTCCTGCCTTGTATAACAATCTCTCCAGTATCGGTAGCATGTATGCTGCAGTCTTACCGGTGCCCGTAGCTGCGCACGCGCATATATCTTTACCTGATGAATGGTGTACAGTTAAAGACTATGAAAATGAGAAATTGGTACAAAATCACAACACATTTACCTTACTAATATTACAAATGTGAATGTTTAGATGGATGGATGTTTGTTAGAAAGTATCTCCAAACGGCTGCATGGATGTCACTGAAATTTAGCATTCATGTAGAACAGTCTTTCCCAAAGTGGGCGATAACGCCCCCTTGTGGGCGCTGCAGGTTTCAAGTTGCGGGTTATAGTAAAAGTTTCGTTTAGAATTCTCCGTTAATATACATATATAGGTCACAAGGGGGCGTTAAAAAATATTTATTCTCAAAGTTGGCAGTAGACTAAATAAAGTTTGGGAACCACTGATGTAGAACATGTAGAGTGACATGAAGGCTTCTAATTAAATTTTCTTATTTTATTTGTGGACAGCATGTACCTTTATAAGTCTGTTATCACTTATTAAAAACACATTTGTATCATCAATTTAACTACTGAAATTAACCAAAACGAATTGATAGACAACAAATGTCATTGTCAGCCAGTGACTTGACTATAAGAAGAAATAGCATAAGATCTCGTTGTCTTACTTAAATTTAAAAACAAAATCACAATTAAAACATACCTAATAACGCAATAGGTATTGTAGCTGCTTGTATGGGTGTAGGATGGACGTAGTTCAAACTGCCAATAGCCTTGAGGAGTGGCCGAGAGAGATTCATCATATAGAAAGATGCCTGCTCATCATATGGTGGTGGTTCCTCAAAGAAATCTGAATCATACTCAATACGAGTACCTTCTTCTTCATCTTCTTTTAATTGCTGTAATGTATCAAGATGTTTTAGTTTGCGTATTTTGATATGACTTGACATGACTTAAAGTCCTATGTCCCCGCAGTGGGGCAGAGGGCGTTCACAGTGCGCCGCCAGTTCGCTCTATCCTGGACTCTGCTTGGTCTCGGGCCATGTTAGCCCAATCGCCTTCATTTCATTTTGATATGCATGATAAATAAAATTTGAGATGGCTTCTACATAAATACAGTTGAATGTAAATAAGCAAGAGTCCAAGGGATTACAATATTTTTCTCAGTTATACAGATTTACAGTGTTGGTGGCTCTGGTATTAAGCTTAACTTGCAATCTGCAGGTCCTGGGTTTGAATCCTGCATGTAGCAATGTACATTTATCCTATCTTCTTATGATGAAGGAAAACATTGTGATGTCACCTTCACATATCTAAGAAGAAATTCTAAGATATGTGAGAAGTCAACCTGCACTGGACCAGCATTAACTATGGCCTAGTCACCCATAACTTAGTGTAGGCTCCGAACCCCTCAATGGGGGACATATTGTGAGCTAATGATGATGACATAGGTTTGTCTCTTAACCCAAGTTTCTTGCTTATCCGAGTTGAACTGTTTGTAGTTAACTATACTAATAATTAAGGTTTTTATTGTGTTTTTTCCTAATATGGTTTAAATAAATTATGTTTTAATATATAACTAATATACTTACATCTTTTAACTTTTGCTTTTTAGTGAGTTTCTTTTCTTTAGTCTTTATTTCATCTTTTTTGAGTTCATCATCAGATATTTCCAATTCATCGACATCTTCATCTATTAAAATTTAAAATATAATTCAATAATGATAAATTAAGGTCTAATTAATTTGCTATGTGCATTGCTTAAATCTTACTAATATTATAAATGCAAATGTTTGGATTTATGGATTGATGTTTCTTAAAAGGTATCTCCAGAACAGCTAAAGGGATCTCAATGAAATTGGCCATAGAAGTAGAATATAGTCTGGAGGAACACATAGGCTACAATTTTTTTTTATTCCACATAGACAGTGTTGCGCTTGACAGCTAGTATTTTTGAAATATAAACTATGGAGAGGTGTTAGGATCATGTTAAGTGAAAATCCATAATCTATGCCTATTTCTATATGTTATGGGTATGTATTATATTTGTAAGGAACATACCTTTTGCTTCAGCTTCGGAATCTGTGTCTACATCACCACTGTTACCATGTATTTTGACTTCGGCTCTCCTTTTAGCTATTTTTTCATCTAATGTATGTTTTACATTTCTTCGGACATACTTTTGTAAATCATCCCAAGGATTCTATAAGGTAAAGTGTTAATTTTTATATTTAATACATATAAGGTATTCTTATCTTTGAATCTACTTTAATTACATATACATAAATGATCTATAAACAATTTTATTGCTAACAAATCTCTGTGTAAGTTCACTTTTGTATATGAACACAGTGGCATAGAATGTGTTAAGTTTATTAATAGTTAATAGCGTAGTAGTGAAAAATTTAAAGATACCTTATTATACTCATCTACGGAACCAACAAATTTAAAAGATGGATCAAAGTCTGCTTTCCTTTTCACTTTTTGTTTTGATGGTTGATACTGAAATAAAAATGTAGTTAATTAAAGTTTTGGGCGCATGACACATTAATAAGTGCGCTAATGTTTTAGTAACAGTATTTATTTTTTAAGTAGTAACATATTACAATAGTAATAGTACATGCCGTTAAAACTTTTACTTACTTCTACTTCGATATCTGATTCCTCGGACAAATCTTCGACTTCTTCGCCATCTTCAATTGTTTTTATTAAACCGGGATATCCCGGTACTTCCATTTTACTAAGCATTTTATATATGAAATTAATATTAATATTAGAACATAATAGTAAACACAAAAGCTTTGAGTTGAGGTTACCTTTCAAAAACACATGCAATTTTAACGTTACGTGTCACGTTCTTGTTTTTGATTAAGGTGGAGGCAGCAAAAGTTAAAACTATAAAAGATGGTACACCATCTTTTATAGTTTTAACAATTCAAATGTTTTGTATCATAATACATTATATTTCATAAAAACATAAAATTATCTATCAGAATTCTTTATGTTTACGTAGTTTGGCATAGAAAGTAAATTTTGAGACTAAAACATTATTTGTAAAACGGAACGCTCTGGACTCGTTCTAAAACGAACTTTAATTCCAATTCGAGAAATGTATCAATCACGAAAAGTGTTGTTTGATAATTTAATATTTTACGCGTTATCGTGAATATTAAACAACCTGAATAATAAAAATTTAGATAAAATACGCAAAAAAACTCTGAAGAATATGAAACCAATAAATTAAAGAATCAAAGACATATAAAGACTGTCAAGCAGAAGTGTCATGAATCTGTTCATTCTTCACAGAAACAAATCATCACTTGTCATTTTGATTTCGTGTACTTGTTCAGTATTTTTCCTATTTTTGCTATGATATAACAAAAATTAGAGAAAAACCAATTGATATCGTTCAAAAATGGCAGATATACTACAAATCTACGATGACATCAAACTGTAAGTATTAGCTATAAGATACACCTTGATAATTCGATAAAACTGCTTCAACATCTGCCGGAAAAAATATTTTCTTAGAAACCATACAAGAAAGTCATAGTATTTATCAGTTTTCTTATATGTAACCTTGTACTCCTTAGTTCGCGAGTTATAATCATTAGTTTATTAGATGTTTTAAAGCAATTCTAAAATAAAAGTAAGAAGTACACGTTTCTGCATTGCTAATAATCAAAGTTGCAATTATTATTTATCTAGTGATTTAGTGATACGCTACACAAACCTAAGTTATACATGAATATTTAATTAAGTATTATTGTTTATTATTTTTATCTTTGTTTAACAATGATTACAAGATAATGTAAATATGGAGTTATTATAGATATTTACTTTTTTGAATTGTCTTCTTTAATAAGTTAATATTTGACCTGAAAAACATAATAAAAAAATATTTTCCATATTGTTTGTTATATTTATATAGTAATAATTATTCTAATTAGTCAAGTCGTTTAAGAGGAGTATGGGAATGAAAATTGTGACACTAGAATTTTTTATTTAAGATATAGATATAAGTATTTTGCTATATATTTTAGGTATACAACATCTGACAAATTCTTTTTGGAACCACATGTGAATCCAACGGAGATCTTAGTGATTGATAGAATTACTGGAGAGGCTTCAGTGAAAGGTAAACTCTTTATCAAAATTGGTATTAAAAGATAAAGTATTGGATTATTCTATTAGATTATTCCATGGGCGTTGGATCAAATAATGTTTCGATTCGTTGCTCGTTTGCCCCCTTCTCCTATAAAAAAAAGACTACTTTTCCACTGTGTGTATGAGAATGGGAAATGCTATTTGTATCTATGGAAACAGTACCTTCTTCAGTAATAGCCATATTACAGTTACAAAAAAAAAACGAAAAGTATATAATGTGAAATGAAAAAGGGCTGGTATTAAGAAAAGACAAGGTTAGGTGACGGGTGCTGCATAAGAAATGCATATAACTCCCCCAAGGAAGGTGAAAAAGACCAGGTCTCCATGGTGTTGTTACAGTTGAAAGCATTATTAGTGGAATACCCCTTTACGAATGTTACAGTACTGAAGACTAATAGCTTAGTGGAAACGGTCTTTATCATAATGCATGTATATTCTTTTCCAGATGTCAAATCAGTAAAAATACCAATTCCATTAGATGCATACAAACCTGTTTGTGGTTTCCTTGGTACAATAAGATTGATATCTGGATTGTACCTTGTCGTAGCAAAATATAGGATTTTGGTAAGATTTTTTCAATACTTTTGTTAGGAATGGAAGCACTATTGAAGTAGTTTCATTAGAAGCTTCATAAGGAAGCATCCACACCATCTCGATGGCTGGCAATCCACAACAGTGCGGTTTGCACGAAACTTCCTGCCTCGCACAGCAGCATTGTGGAATGGTTTGTCCTTGGTGGCATTTCCAAACCGCTACGACTTAGGGTCCTTCAAGAAGCAAGCTTATCACGGCCTCGAAAGGCCGGCAACGCATTTGCAATTCCTCTGCTATTGCTTTGTCTCTATGTAATTTTTTTCAAGATAAAGTCGTATGTTTAACATATTCAGCCAGTGACAACTGTAAATTCACTTTAACATGTAAAATTTTTACAAGTGTGACGAATTTATATCTATTACTAAAGCTGGTAAGCTAAAGTTTACGCCATCAAGTAATTTGTTATGTTATGTTTTTTTTTGCAGATTGGAAAGATAAATGGACATGATATATATCAATTAGCTGGTGCTGAAATATTGCCATATGCTCGATCTACCACACATCTGACAAGTAAACAGGTAAATATATACAAAAAAATATTATTATTTTATTATTAATTAAATGCTCAAATTGAGTCAAGAATAAGCAGCATTAAAATGTCACAATATTGGAAATCTTACTAATATAACAAATGCAAATGTTTGGTTAGATGGATGTAAGAAGGTATCTCTGAAACGGCTTAATGGATGTAGAGTATAGTCTGCAAGAACACTTAGGCAACTTATTAAATCTTTTTTAATATCTTATCCGAGGGTACAGAGTCGCGGGCAATAGCTAGTAATAATACATTATACTTTTAAAAACAGCTTAAATACTTTTTGTTTCAGATTGATGACAACAATACATATGAAAGGCTTATGCGAGCAGCTTTGGAAACCCCAGGCATTTACTTCTCATATGGATATGATCTTACACACACAATGCAACGACTGCATTCCGTTGCTTCGGATTTTCATAAGGTAAGTAAATAATGTATCAAAACGTCGGTGGCTCAGGGGTGGTACTTAACTTGTATCTGTGAAGAAATTCTAAGATATGTGTAAAGTCAACTCGCACTGGGTCAGCATTGATTATGGCTTTGTCACCCCTAACTTAGGGTTGCGAGCCCCTCAGTAGGGACGAAATGAACTTCTGAGACGAGATAGTGGCATGCAATATGTCAACTAATCGACCTACTAATGTACCAACTATTTGACAAACTTTTTCTTTCTTCCAACCTTCCAACACTCCAATGTTCCAACATTCACCTATATTGTACATTTTTTTAAATAATATTTTCAGATGTCCTTAGCAAGTCGTGCTGATGCTCGTTTTCTATGGAACGGCCACTTACTCAAGGACTTTGCCCATCAACAGTTTGAGAGATTTGCTTTACCAGTTATACAAGGCTGTATCCTTTTATTAAAACATAACAAGCAAGAGTAGAAAGTAGAAACTCTACATTTATTTATAGTCTGACCAGAAACAAAATGAGAATAATTTCTTTGCTCATTAGCAAGCTATGTAATAAAGGTGCCAACTGAAGCACCATCAGACCAGGATTTTTATATTCTTGTTTTTTTTTTTTAATAAAATGAATATTGATTTAGATAATACTAGCTTTCGCCTGCAAGTTCTATGCTGAATTACAAAAAAAACTTACTTAGTAGCCTATGTGTTCTTCCAGATTATGTTCTACATCTATGCCAAATTTAATTGAATTCCGTTAAAATGTTTTGATGAGATACCATCTAACAAACATCCACCATACATCCAAACATTAGCATTTATAATATTAGTAAGATGTCCTTGACTATTCATCCAGTTGTAGCAATCAATAATGTGACAGTAAATGGTCACCAGCTGATGTGGTCGCTGGTGTCTCGGCGCTGTGTTGATAGAGCTGGTACCAGGTTCTTCATGAGAGGAGCTGATGCCCAGGTATGTAGAGGAAAATCGAGTTTTCAAATTGCAAATGGATATATGCTAGTGTTTTAAAATCATGTTCGCTTACAAGTACCAAAATTGTTTTGTTCAGCTACAGTTAGTTAATACTTGTCATGTGTAAAGCTTTTGTTAAATAGATAAGATTAGCTATCATTATAAAATATTATATTTTATTTTAATGGACAAAAATAGCTGAAAAAATAAATAGCGTAATGACTCTTATGGTATTTGATATTACGAAGTTCTGACCTCTATAAATGGACTGGCTATAAGACGTAGTAATTTGTGCTTTGTTTGATTCTCCCCATTTTAGCATTGAAATAACATAAATAGAATTAACTGTCAAGTAACATCAAAAGGCGCGATTAAATCTGGACGAAGTAAAAGCTTTCATTTTAAAGCAATCGCCTATCCATTTAAAGAGATTGATGAGTACATAATTGGAGACTACGCGTTGCGATATGGAGGTAAATGGGAGTTTCTGTCTTTCACAGGGTAATGTAGCAAACTTCGTAGAAACGGAACAGATAATAGAACGTGGAGGTGAGAAATCCTCGTTTGTACAAACTCGCGGATCTATCCCGTTGTTCTGGTCGCAATATCCAGATTTGAAATATAAGCCGGCCATGGTATTGTCTGCGGAGGACCACGTGGCGGCCTATACTAGGCACATGAGGGATCAAATGCAGCGGTACGGGAATCAAGTTTTGGTTAATTTGGTAAGTTAATAAATATAAAGATTTAGACTCATTGAAATACTCCGTATTAGTGTAAATAAAAAAATATCTTACTAATATTATAAATGCGAAAGTTTAGATGGATGGATGTTTGTAAGAAGGCCAGAACGGCTGCATGGATCTTACTGTAATTTGGCATAGATGTAGATAGCCTGGAAGAACACGTTGGCTACTAATTATGTTGTTTTTTTTTCTAAATTATAATAAAAGTTATAATATAAAACTTATTTAGTACACGGATGTGCTCTATTTGTATTTTTTTTTGCAAAAAATACATATAAAATATGAACAGAAGTAAATGACATTCTTGAATTTCAAACCTTTTTTTTTAAATGCACAATTTGGACAACTTGGACTCAAAAACAGCAAATAGACTTTCCATCTCATTAAAATATCCAACAGATTGATGTTTTTCGTTAGTGTTTGCCATTCGGGCTCCGTAATCCACTCTAGACATTTCATTTAACAGATCGACCAACATGGTAAAGAGGAATCCTTAGAGCGAGGTTACCGTGCTGCGGTAGCATCAGCCGCTTTGCCCGGCGTGCGATACGAACCTTTTGACTTCCATGCGGAATGTCGTGGTATGCGGTACGACAGGCTGACTGTGCTGATGGACAGGATCGCACATGAACAGGTACAACAAAACATACACAACTTAGAACTTCGGAACATTTTGTGACTTCACATATCTAATTATTAATTGAAGTTCCGTTTGATCGGATTCTAAAGGTGAGTATAGACTAGAGCATTTACTTGTAACAGATCAACGAGACGAACATCACGTGCTTTGGAAATTGTACTTTTACGTGTACCATTCGTAGGAACTTCACGTTCCATAGAAATGCTCGATAAAATGCTCTAGTGTATATTCAACTTAACAGCTCCTAGTTATAATTGTTATTTATTAATTTTAAGTCTATTATGATATTGTGATGAAGAACCTTTTTTGGTTTTTTATCTAAATTAGTCTTTATATGATAACTTTTCCTTAGTCGACTAATCGTAAGACACTATTGTATTATAGATTTTACCTTTTTAAATAAAATTTGTTATTTCAAAGATATGTGTGAATTTTGAAGGGCGAAAAGCGTATTACGGAACTTTATTAGGCCACCCCAAATGAAAGTCCGTAGTCTCTGCCTACCCTCATGGATTACAGGCATGAGTTGTGTTGTTATTTCAGACTGAGTTCGGTTACTTTCTATCACGTGGTGGCACAGTGTTGTTACGTCAGACTGGTGTGTTTCGCACTAATTGTGTTGATTGCCTTGACCGCACTAATGTCGTCCAGTCACTACTCGCGCGCAGACAGATGGAGGCTGCATTACGATTGCTCGCTGTGACAACCAGTGATAACCAGCATCCACATCTGGATAGATTGTTTAGTACGGTAAGTTTTACCGATAAAGCGTAAAGTTTAACAGTGGTAGAGCCCGCATTAACATCTTCGCACGAATTGGCTCGGCTCGCCCGGTGAAATACAACGACCACATAGAAGACAGCCGTCATGTGAAAGCAATTTCGCGTTTCCTAATTTAGCCCTCTTTCCCTTCCCACCATTTTTCTTATAAGGAAAGGATGGGAAGTGGAAGTGGACTTTTCGGATGAGGGGATGGATGGAAAGGGAAGATATTTTCTTTCTGTGCATCCTCTCCTCTGTCGATTAAAGGTAACTCATACGCAATTGCGTATATCTATGGGCATCGGTCACTTCGCTATTTCAGCGATTTCAGGTGGCCGCTCGATCGTTTGCCACCTTTTGATATAAAAAAAACATAGTAGATTCGTGATAAAAGCGTAACAGATATTTATAGAAAAAAAAGAGACCAAAACACAAAGAACTATTCAAAAGATCAAAAATGGATGTGATAATAACTTGTTTGTCACATTATTCCTATACCTTTTTAAACATTTTGAAGGCATCTAGCAACTTTCTTTCCAGATATGGGCAGACCACGCAGATATGATATCCTGTCAGTATTCAGGCACAGGCGCGTTAAAGACAGACTTCACGCGCACAGGCAAGCGCACGCGCATGGGCGCGCTGCGAGATGGAATAAACTCACTAACCAGATATTATAAGAATAATTTCAGTGATGGATTTAGACAGGTACGTTTTCTATAGCAGTAATGGCTTATCTTACTAATATAAATGCGAATGTTTGACTGGATGGATGTTTGTTAGAAGGTATCTCCAACAGCTGTAAGGATCCCGCTGAAATTTGGCATATATGTAGAACATAGCCAAGAACATATAGGCTAGTATTTATTTAGTTTTTTTTTTAATACCGCGCGGGGTGAGTCGCGAGTGACAGCTATATAAAAAAAAATGTTGATACGATGTATGTTCACGATAAACTCCGAAACTACTGAACCAATTTTTATCAAATTTCGTAAGCATCTGTAATTTAGGAGATAGGGTAGTTTTTATCCTAATTATTGATCTTTTTTTTTTAATTTCGCGCGGACAGAGTCGCGTGAAACAGCTCCTAGTGTTAATAAAAAACAATAAAAAATTTACATATACGATTATTTGCGTCGAAAAAGGTTTTACCTGTATATCGAAAATGAACTTTGATTGTATGTATATAAGAGTTTATTTGCAGGACTCAATTGATTTGATCCTCGGCAAGTACACTGTGAGTGAAGGCGAGGGCAACACCGCGCCCTGTCCACTACGTCGTGACAGGGACTGGAAATATGTCACTGTAAGTTTTTAATTTTTATTTAATTTATTTCATAGCCTGACCATTATTAAAACTTATCATATTATCCAAAATATTGTATTGCGTAAGTAACTTAGCAGGAGTTCAAAGATTTACGTTGCCTAGTGACCGAAAGACCAAAGAACTAACTAACCTTATTATATAATATTATTAGTGACACTGAAATGGGTAGTAAATAAATGTCCTCGTCTATGTCAGTTCCCGTCAGTGCTGCTGGTGGCGGTGTCGATGTTCTGCGCGAGCGCGGTGTTGCCACAGCGCTATAGCAATGAGGTTCTTCTCTACCTCATGTTCTGGGGCGCGGCCATTGGTGCCACTGTCTCCTTCATATTCAGGTATAAATAGCTTTCTCTTTTTATCTCATGTACTCTCTTCTCCGGCAAGTTTTAGAATTAAGTAAGTTGGTCCTTCGAAGGACGGATTTATTGACAACAAGTCAAGAATAAATACAGTGTACGATATTAAAAAAATTCTCGAAACTAGATATTATATTTGAAGAAATATTTCTTTATAGTCCTTTAAATAACAGTGAATGTGGTAAATTTTCAGGCATGGCAAGGAGTTTGTGGAGTGGCCCCGCCTGGATGGTGGGGGGCTGGCCATCGCGGGCCCCCGCGGCCCTCCGCCCTCCTTATGATAAATGATCGGCTCGTCCTCGTCGTCTAGACCAAACTCTACACATAGACTAGCCTCAGCCCCCATCCCAAACTCAATCCCAAAGACCCTTTGAATTATAGTACCCATTTCAGTTGTCACGTCGTTAACAAGAGTACTCAATTACCCCACGTGCCAACTCAAATGTACTATACAATATTTACTCCCCTTCAGTGTGATCGCTCGCATTTTTAATTAAGTATGCTGTACGTTTTAAAATTTGTCGATATATTAGTCAATTTAGGTAATTTTATCTTTTTAATAAATCGCTTTTACATATCGATTTTAAATATTGATGAAAGCAATTGTCAAATCGATTTTTATCAAATAATTAATATATTAAATATTGTGAAAGAAAATTAAAAAAAAAAAACTTTTGTAAATCTAATTTCTACTGATCTGCGAATCGATTTGACAATTAAATGCTTCAATATCGATTTTAGTACAAAATAAGATTATTGTCTGTGTTTTTACTAAAGTTTGCAATTTAGGTATGAAACAAATTTGTCTTAAACGTAATATTTCAAATAATTTCTCCTAAATACGATATCCCGCTTCCGAAGGACCAGAAAATTTTAACTATAACAAATCGTAACACACATTGTACTCACTTGTTATGAATACATGAAATAATATAATGTCATATTTTATATGCCCTCTATAAATGGACTGGCTATAAGACGTTATGTTTTGTGCCTATTTGATTTTCGCCATTTTGGCGCTGATGGTAGCGGTGGTTTGGATTCGAACTAATAACATAGATACATTTTACTGTTTGGAACGTGGAAAGACGAGTTTAAATCGAAACGAAGGAATACTATAATTTCCAAGCAATAACCTATCCATTTTTAAAGATCAGCTACATTAAAAAAAAACAAAGTTTGTATGTTTATTATAATGTGTGTAAAAGTGAGATTTTATTGATTCTATGTCCCTAATCCATTTGATTGCTTTGCAGCTAATTACTATGAACATATGTTTGTTTGATATTAAACCTTATAGCATAGATAATAAGTACTATAGTGTTTTGCAGCATAGCACATTCTTACCACAACGAGCGAGCGACGCACGGTACACGTGCATTTAAAGATATTTTATTAATATGTATACTTATAACATTTTTCTAAAATAATATGCATTTATACGAAATTTAAATTTATTTGACTAACAACGATGTGTTGTAATTTTTTTATTTGCTTTTAATTATTTAAAATCATTCCAAAATACGCGGGCTATGGGCGAACAAGAATGAACCTTATTACATTTACAATAGATTTATTATAACAATAGCTAGAATCTTTATTCGGTCTCGAGGGAAGACCTCCGAAAGCGAGAAACTCGAGTTAGCTTCTATAAGCGAGAAAAATGTCGCGATCACATAGACTCTCGTTTTTCCAGGTTCAACTTTATTAAGTTAAGGATTTAAAGGCAACTTCATGTTAATTTACTATTATTTCATCTAAATAAGCATAGCGCTGGTTTATTCATTTTAAAATAATTGTATTAAAATCATAAAGTTATATTAGTAGCCACGATATGTATTTCAATCCTTTGACATGGAATAGAACGACGAACGAGCTGATATTTTGTAGCTTTCAATGGTAATATATTTAATTATTAATTTATAATATTTATGGCCAGTTTTACAATGTTCAAATAAAGTGCTGGATAACTTAAAAATAAATTAACCGTCACTTAATACTAGCCAAAATAGTTTTTTTTAAAGAGCAGGGGCAAAAACACTAAGGTGATCATGTCACCCATGGACATCCTCAACACCAGAGGAACTACAGATGTGTTGCCAGCCGTTAAGGAAATGGTAAGCTTGCTTCTTGAAGGACCCTAAGCTATATTGTTATCGAGATTGTAAAATGCTAATGACTTTAATTGATGAATAAGTTCCAAGTAACTTATTTGGGACTTACTTGGACATTGTAAAACAGACCCTTACTATCAAACTTAAGAAATATATTGTTTGTATCCTAGAATATTTTGTTTTTTTTCCTTTTATACTGTTCCAGAATAACAGAAGTGTTTGTAAGTGAAAATTGTTTTAATGATTTTCTTTGATAAATTAAATTGCAATTTATCACAGGGACCATTTAATTGTGACAATTTTCTTCCCGAAAGTTTTGGTAATTATTATAAATAGCAACACCAAAATAACATTTACATATTACATGGTTCTTTTTACTATTATTTAATAACAATAATTTAATTTATAACTACACAAAAAAAACTAAATATTTAATAGTACAAACAAAAAAGGTTTTTTAAATTTCATCACAACTGTATAGATTGCACTTATTTTAATGTACATATAAACACAGCTTGCGATTTTAATGTAAATTTTACTCGGAAAAAATATTTGTCAGCCATTTTTATAAACACTTTTAGACTATGCGGCACAATTCCATCCGATATAAAGTAATATTAATTTATAAATAATGGGAGTTGGCTTGTGATTGTGTAAGTTTTAATCGTGTGTTGTTTTATGTAAAATTATCGAAATAAAGTTTTAAAACTATTTATTGTTTTAATTGAATTTCGTTACCTAAACTATTTTAGAAAAAAAACAACTCACCCGTTTCTACAGTATGTGTGATACTCAAATAGTTAAGAATGGAGATAAGAATAAATACAAGTCGTTTACCTTGACTTCTCCACCTCTGTAACCGTTGTTCATATCACCTCACTTTTATAAAATGTATAATTATGGGTCTATCTACTGTAGATTTCTAAACACAAGGAGTACGATATAATTAAAATTGTAACAGCTGATGATACTGCTATGAATTCTCTCCATATTATGCATAATTGGTCACGTTTTAAGTTAACAAGGGGAAAATGTGAGAAATACGAATAATATTTCAAATTCCCGCTAAATTGTTCGCACTAGAGTCTGAAGTGTGTAACAAATGGTTTGGTGACGCGTTTGATTGTTCGTTTTTCGTTCTAAAACATTTATATTGATTCTGGCAGAAAGTATTCCTTGCGTTTTTATAAGGAATCAAATTCATTTTATTTAAATAGCGCTTCAGATTAAAAGCATTAAAAAATCTTTTACACAAAATCTTACCTATGTGCCAATTAATAAAATAATTCGAAAGACAGCAAGTAAAAAATTAAACACTACTTTTAAAACGATTCTCTTTGACAAATATTTGGTTTGACCTCTTCAACTTCACTGTGCAAAATTTTTATTTACTCTTGGGTCTTGTGTGATGATGTCGTGCATTTGTTGCGAAATTGTGAATTAAAAACATAAATTCGTGATGAATTATTTCCATTTTTAATTCCTTGGTGATCTGTGGAGTTTGCTTGTCTTAATTATTTCGGGATATTATTCGGAAATGTGTTAAACGATAAATATATAAATAGTACTTTTTGCGATACCTAGGCGGCAGAATGTCTGATGAACCAGAAGCTAGGATGTGGGAAGATGAAGGGACTCGGTATGATACTAGAAGTCGAGGCTCATATTTTGAATCTGCATTTGCATCAACAGAACATCTGGATAGAGCTCCGTTACTGTCAGAAGTAAGTAAAAATTTCTTTCGAGAGGAATTCCTTACGCTCGTAAAATATTTATTTGTATTTTATGCAATTATTTGAATGCTGATCTTAGTGTGTATATTTTATATCAGTATATTTTCATTCATTTTATAATATGCAGTGAATATTTAACATCCCAAAGCAAATAGAAACACTTGAACAAAGTAGTCATTGATAAACATTGGAACACATTTAAATCTCCTGAGATAATAACATAGTTTTTGATTAGATAAATAAAGATTATAAAGCCTCGTTTTTGTCCAAAATTTTATTAATATGTAAATAATTTGGGGACTGATAACCATTTTGTAATAATTTAAAATTTGTTTATTTCATAAATATAATAAAAATCGAGTAATATTAAATTACACATTAATAAATTATATTTAATTCAGACTTAGGTAATTGAAGAAATAATTTTGTAGTCACTTAATAATCAGGTTTATTATAAAGACTTCTCAATAAGCAAGTTCGGTTCAGATTTTCTTCGGAGCCTTACAAGCTTCTTATTTATCAAGTAGTAAGAACTAAATTAACTTAAGTATGTTTTATCAGGAAATTATAATTCATTGCACCTAATTAGTTATGCACATATCAAATAATTATGTTTGACAAGACTGGTAATGAAAGTTTCAAGTTAATGTCATTTTATTGACATATCATGGTATTTTGCGTTAAATATTAATCTGAGTTTCCATTGCTATAATATTAATTATTTTATCTGCATTATCATACTTTATACTTAATATTATAAATGCGAATGTTTAAATGAATGTATGTATGGATGGACGTTTATTTGAAGGTATCTCCGGAACTTATCTCCGGAAATATCTCCATATTTCTTGCTGAAATTTGGCATAGATGTAGAATATAGTCTGGAAGAACACATAGGCTATTTATAAAGTTTATTTTTAAATATGCGCAGACAGCTACTATTAATATAAAGATTCTATGAAACATGTCTTTGCCTTTACATTGTATTGTGACAATATAAAACATATGTCAATATACAGTTTAAAGAAATATGAATAGTAATATAAATTCTTGTTACTAAGTATCCACTGTGTAAACACATTAAGGAAAAGACATTGTTATCTCATTTATTTCAATGGAAATGATAGAGACGGCTAACTTATTTGTTAGAGTGTTACACCAGTGGAATCCTACTGTGTACACTAGACTGTGTCAATAAAGACTGTGGTTACATTGATGCATGTTCTATGTATAATAATATTTTATATTTGTTCAGAATATAAGAAAATATGTACTTGACAAAATCGCGTCATTATATCTTTAAGTAAATATTTTAAAATATTTATGTTCCGTGTCTTGGATCATAGTGATATTAAAGATTATTCTAGTTAGCTACTTGATTTGTTTTTAATAGTGGTATAGCCCGTAATAAGAGGAGGAAAATAGAAAAATAATACCTAATGTAATCTCACCCTAACTATACAGCCAGTAGCACCGTATAGGGCGTTGGGCTACCGCCCAGGGTGAAAGAGAGGGGGAGTCCCAAGTCTGCGTCACAGTCTCACTTACGCCCGTTTCCCCGAGGCAAGAAAAAAAGGGGCGCTAGTAATCTCGCCCAGACACTTATATACAGATATTAATTATCGTAGCTTGTCATATAATATAGGCCACACACGTTAGATTAGATTGTTTTAATCTTGTAGGCATAACCGAATTTCATAGAACATAATTATGTTGTTACACACACGCTCGAGTTTTCTGTATATTATTGCAAAACCTAACGTGTGTCGCTTACATAATACGTCTAGCACAAATCTGTGCAAACGAACCCGCATTCTCTTTGCAGTGCTATTGGTGGAATTGATTTGTATCTTTTGTTTCGTAAGTTTGTATGAGAAAGGAAAGAGATAGCGAAACCTTATTGGTTTTATTGATCGGACGAGTAAATACGAGAGATGAGAATTTTCGTATCCAATTTAACAGATATAATAGTAACATGTATGACAAATAAATGCTTAGGTAAGAGTTGATTTTCTACAAGCTCGAAATTAAAAAAAAAACCTTAATTAGTAGCCTATGTGTTCTAGAGCCGTTCTAGAGATACCTTCAAACAAACATCCATCCATCCCAATATTCGTATTATTAATATTAGTAAGTCTAGACTAATTACAAAGTTTTTTAGAGAATCATCCTTTTCTTAAGCACTTCTGTAGTCTGTCATAAGGTTAATAAACGTATAGTTATTCTTATGTATATGTAAAAGAGAGTAAATATATAACAGGGTGCCAAGTCGCCAGACTAACCGGCGACGTATTTGCGGATCGATTCTCAGTTGGGGCAAATATTTGTGCATTCCCCTTTATTGTATGAGCATTTTGTTTCATGTATCAGGACATGATTTTGCGTCGGTGGCTCAGTGGTCAAGCACTTGAATTGCAATCTGCAGTTCCTGGGTTCGAATACCGCCATGTACCAATGTGTTTTTCTATTTCCGATTTACATTTGTACATTTATCCGACGTTCTTACGGTGAAGGAAAACATCGTGAGGCTGCACATATCTGAGAAGAAATTCAAAGATATGTGTGATATTAACCAACCCGCACTTGGCCAGCGTGGTTGACTATGGCCTAATCACCCTTAACTTAGGGTAGGCTCCGAGCCCCTCGGTGGGGATGTATAGTGAGCTGATGACGATGATGACATGATTTTTACGTTAATTTTAGTGAGTAATTGATATTAATTTTATATCTGAAAACACCAATAGCTCAATAGTTAAAGATACGGATTTCCGATGACTTGGTAGAAGGTTCAAATCTTTTCATTTGTATGTTGTAGTAAAATATATCGTAGCTTAAGTCTAGAACTTAGTAAGGTCCAAGTGTTAAAGTAAATTAAGAATAAATTCCAGCTTGATATCTTCACGCGTTGAGAAAAAGTTTTGACAGAAGGACGGACAACAAAGTGATCTTATAAGGGTTCCGTTTTTCCTATGAGGTACGGAACCCCAAAATGTGCCAATATTAAAAATAGACTGTGTTAATAGTAACCAATGGTCATTAACTTCAGCTGACTAAAGTCTTTCTCTTTAGTTAGAGTATAAAACAACTGTTTAGTTCTAAATGTAGTATTTAAAAGAGTTTTGAAACATTTTATAAAAGGTCTGACTGAAGTACTGAGCTCTTAGAAAAGAATGAAATATTCGGCCAAGTACCTTGATGCTTGAAATGCAAATTATTTTCAAAGTGGAAAATAACCACGACTTAAAAATTAAGTAATTTAGACTTTAGTACTAAGGGATTAAGGTATTTAATCTTTTGAACAAGTTTTTTTTAGTTTAAAGTATGAAGTTAAACTTTCGTATGGTAAAATTATAAAAGTATTTAATGTATATAATGAGTAGCAGTCGACCACGACTCCATACTCGTAGGATGAAAAAAAGAATATCCTATGTGTTCCTCCAGACTATGTTCTTAAGCAGTGTCAAATGACATCAAGATCCGTTCTGTCGTTCTGGAGATACCTTCAAACATGTATCCATCTAAACTTTTGCATTTATAATATTAGTAAGATTTTAATATATCGCATATTTCTATATAATAGTGTTATATTGAAACAAAACATAAATATTGAATGTCGTAAAAACGAGCAGGCGTACTGTTGCGGAAAGGCTTTATCAGCGGAGGCGAGATAAAAACTTTTGACATTTTTATGAAATATATATTCTACACATAAAGATTAATTCTTCCACTTCACGCGTGTCTTCTGTGTGGTCGTGGTGTTTCAACGGACGAGCCGACCCGTTCCCCGTTATCATTGCTTCTAACACTGACAAAAAATCGTTATATTTGACTTCAAACTTTTAACAGCGGTAGAGCCCGTTTTTACATCTTCGCACGAATTGGCCCGGCTCGCTCTGTGAAATACCACGACCACACAGACGCCAGGCGTGAAGTGGAAGCAATTCCGCGTTTTGTCCGATGAGTGTGCGTCCCGGAGGCCTAATTTAGACCTCTTTTCCTTCCCACCCTTTATCTTATAAGCAAAGGATGTGAAGTGGAAGTGGAATTTCCGGATGAGAGGATGCGTGGAAAGGGAAAATATTTTCTTTCTGAGAATCCTCCATCCATTAAAGGTAGGCAGCGCGTATGCAATTGTGTATGTCTATGGTCAACAGTCATTTCGCTATTTCCGCGATTTCAGGTGGCCGCTCGCTCGTTTGCCACCTTATGATATAAAAAAACGTCAAGAGTCAAATAATCTAAATCCCTAACTGGTATAAATGTGACGCATCTAATGAGGGTAGAACAAGTCTTGCGACGTATCATTTACATAATATCTCCAAGTACCCAACTTTATGTTTTATGCATAAAGCTCGCTGTTCACGCCCGTAGATTCTCGCAAATTATTCTGAATAAAATTATAATCGCAAATATGATAATAAATTCAATATAACGTAATCAGAACATGTTTACAAGTACAATAATATTGTTTGTTTATTATCAAAATGTTATTAACACGTGGAATAAAATAGGGGTATGTATTATGTATATGCATGGTATGTACTTTTAGACATTTTTAATTAGAATGCTTTGGCGCTAATGGCGCGATGTCACTACAAAGTCAAGTTTCAGAATGATTAGTGAGGGGACATAAACGTTGACATTTTAGTAAGGCTAGTGTTGCACCAGTACACCTGCACGGTGTCGGATTTTCTTCCTAACAATACCGTGGAATGTTAATCGATGGCGTAAGCCCAGACATATACTACGCACGAGTACTATCTTATCTTACTAATATTATAAATGTGAATGTTTGGTTGGACGGATGTATGTTTCAAATAATCTCCAGAACGGCTGCATGGTCCTCTTTGAAGTATTTTCTGGAAAAACATATAAGCTATAAAGTTTATTTTAATTCCGCGAGAACAGAGTTGCCTGCAACAGCTAGTATAATTACAAAATGGAAATTAAATCAACAAAAAACCCTAGTAAAATTGTGTCGCTATGAATTTTATACCAACATCTTGATATAATACAACAAGGTTCTTGACACAGAAATTATTCATTTCTCAACCCGAACGATTTTGAAGAGCGGCTAACGAGTTGTCAGAGACCACAAGAGTGTTCTCGTCAGCTTTACAATGTTATCGATGAAGCTTTAAACATCTTCAAATCGCTGAGTTTCCACCGTTGAAACATCCTGTATACCATCTTTCTCGTAATCTGTGTAATAAACCAGAGAAAATAATATTTTGTACATGATAGTGAAAACACAATCAGTATAGCTTTTTTAGGTAAGATAAGTAGAGAAGAGAGACTTTAAATACATCCTGTATTTAATACTAATAATGTCCAAAATATGACGCCGTCAAATATGCAATGGAACTTCTATTGACTCGGAGTTAAAAAGAAAAAACTTAATAGTCTATGTGTTCTTCCAGACTATGTTCTACATCTATGCCAAATATCAGCGAGATCCATGCAGCCGTTCTGGAGATACCTTCTAACAAACATACATTAAATCATTCGTATTTATAATATTACTATGATTCTGTGTATCGCAACCGTGTACGGTCCGTGAATGGCCAGCTTTATCTTATGACGTTTGACTTTAGTTTGACATGAAGTGTAGTTGGTTATTGCGTGTTACAATACTTTGTGCTTCAAGATGATACCTTTAAAAGTGAGTTTTAATTTGCTTTTATTAATATCTTATTGTGTTTACGTACGCAAAAACGTAATCTTACTAATATTATAAATGCGAATATTTGATTGGATGTTTGTTAGAAGGTATCTCCTGAACGGCTGCATATATCTCGCTGATATTTGGCATAGATGTAGAACATAGTCTGGAAGAACACATAGGCTACTAATTAAGTTTTTTTATTAATTCCACGCGGACGGAGTCACGAGCGACAGCTTGTCTTACTAATATTATAAATGCGACTGTTTGATTGGATGTTTGTTAGAAGGTATCTTCAGAACGGCTACATGGATCTCGGTGGAATTTGGTATAAATGTAGAACATAATCTGGCAGAACACATAGACTACTTATTAATTTTATTTCTTTAATTCCGTGCACACGGAGTCACGGGCGACCGCTAGTTGTTATACAAGAGTTACGACAGTGTAGACTCGCTTTTAGTATAAAGAAGAAACAATTTGTTTTGAAGAAACGTCTATTTTGAACAAAGGAATACATTACGGTCCGTATTCATTTCATTTTCCCCCGCAAGCTCGGTCCTTTCAATTTACCAAGATAAGATCCCAGACGGGGTCCATTTGTAAGCTTTTATGAATAGACTTTCTGCTTTAACAATATTCCTTTATAAACATACAAAATGTTCTTCGCAACAATTCTTTATTCTATCCATAGAATTAATAAAATTGGATAGTATCGAATCGATGTAATATCGAAAAAATATATATTTCGTAAGCATGATGTATAACGATTTTTTTCGACAATTTTTCGATCGAAATAATCGGATACTTCATGAGTCATACCAAAATTATTAATATAAAAATAAAAGACGACTTGTCTTTGTTCGAAATTCAAAAAATATGTCGAAATTATTTTATCATACGAAAAAGTAGTTAAAAAATACTTTGATGTTAGGGTTTAGGTTATGGATATGTATCAATTAAAAATTAAAACTGTCCATGTTAGAAATGTTTACCATTACGCTCAGATTATAGTTTACATGTCATAAAAAAAAACTTAATTAGTAGCCTATGTGTTCTTCTAGACTACTTAATCATACGTTTTTTGGTCAATACTAAAGTCCAAGTTTTAAAGCTATTTCTAAGAAAATTCTTCAAATAACTGTCAGTATTACCATTTTTTAACAAAGGTTCTATCCAAAGAGGAGATAACACAAAAAATCAGGCTGTTTTTTCTACATGAATATCGGACGTTACACGTAAAAAATAAGACTAACCATAGCTTATGAATCGATTAGAAGCGACGTGAGAATACTTTGGAGGTTATCTTTGATCAGACAATGCCACTTCCCGTATCTCACAATGGCTATTCTCCAAGGCTAACTACGTTAAGATATTTCCGATAGTGCTTTACCATCTTATGTGTTCTTCCATTGTTTTAATATTTTTATGGCCGTCCCTTTCTTTCTCTTACGAAAAACAGAGAGAGAGTAGTACGTTTTATAAAACAAATCTTATCTTAATAATTTTAAATGCGAAGGTATAGATGGATGGATATTGATGAAATTTGGCACAGATGTAAGAATAGTATGGAAGAACACATAGGTTACTTATTATTATTTTTTAATTCCGCGCGGACGGAGTCGCAGGCGACAGCTAGTATATCGGCAGTTTTATATGGCGCAGTTGTAATCTGCGACGTTTTTCATACATTTATATGTTTAATTAACTCACATTTTTTTGCCTCTAATGTAAATTCAATTCCATTCTGTATGATAAATAATGTCAAAATATTTTTTTTAAAACATTGATGTTAAATTTTAGCCCTATTGTAACTATCGGGTTGAAGAACATAGAACGTAATAAAATGTTTGCTTTAATGCCAAGCACGTATTTAATGTTTATTTTTATCTCTCAACCTTCAATGCCAGGTCTGATTGATTTATAGCTCTGTAGATTTTATTGTTGCGGTCATTGACTTGGGAGAGGTAGGACAATAGTATTTGTCTATTCTAGGAAAGGTAGGTGCAGTTTTTTAGTTGTGTTGCATAGATGGGATGAACGAAATTGATGCTATTGCAATCTGCTAGGCGCACTATTTCTACAGTAATTATGGTTGACAAGAAAATTGCGATAAATCGATAGACATCTATATTAAAAAGCCGAAATTGTTTTCTGATTACCTGTATTTTTATATAAAAAAAATTCAGAGCGGTACTAAATAAAAAATAGTTCACTTTTTAACTCCAATTTCAGCTAAATTGTTATAACTAGAGTTACTAAATACAAAAATAAAATGTTAAAACAAATTGTTTTTAACGTATAAAAACTTCAGACTGTACTAATGACTATATACGTCATAAGAATTTCCTCTGGCCATTGGCAAGGCCATGACATTACCTTGCTTAGAAGCCATACAAACTCACCCAAACAAACAAACACATGAACTTTGAAGGCTTCTTAAATAGATTCATCTATAAATAACCATTACACATTTATACGTTATTAAAATTGCAGAATTTTTCTTTTATTTTTGGTGTAATAGAAAGCTAAAAGACTTTAACAAGGACGTGGAATATTGACTTTTGTTTGATGGATTATCTTATAGATGGATCTGGTCAAGTATTTTTGTAGTAATCGAAGAATAAGACGAGTGAACAGACTACGTCTAGTAGTCCAGTAGATCAGATCAAATAAAAGTTTAGCCTTTATAGTGACACTAACTCCGTCTAGGCGGAATTAAATAGAACATAATTTGTAGTCTATGTGTTTTTCCAGACTATGCTCTATATGTTTGCCAAATTTCATCAAGATCCGTTCAGCTGTTCTGGAGATATATTTAAACAAACTTCCATCCATCTAAATATTCGCATTTATGATATTAGTAAGATTTTCGTATATTTTCACGTAACGGCTCGTAGTTTTTTTGTTTTGTTTTTTATGACTGACCTCGATGACCATGGGCGTCGAATAATTTTCATGCTTCAATATGCTGTTTCGTAACTATATTATTGTGAAACTTTGAGTTCAACTCTAGAACTTTATTGGTTCCATAAATAAACTAAAAATAACGCTTAAGCTAAATGACGCTTAAGAATAATTGAAGTTTAGATTTTTTTAACACTAGCAGATTATTGTTAATTTTTGCACCATTTTAACTAAGCTCTATGCTTGTGCTAGGACATGGCTTATGACAATAATCGGATTCAAACTCCCTATCTCGTTATCGGAAATCCGTAACCATTAGGCTGTTGACGCTTCTAATATTTTATATCGTGGTCAAAGATTTATTATCACTATGTATCAAATTTACTTTGATTTTTGAGTTTGTATTGAAATAATTTAAACGTCGGCTCTATAAATTATTTAAATCTATGCTATTCGTATAAACTTTGTTGCACTGTCACGTGCAAAAGTGGAAATCCACTGAAGTGTCACTAGTATTGTTGTTTCTGTTTTTTTCCAAGAGAATGAAAGGGATGACAATATGTATTTAGTACATTATAAAAGTAACATGGCTTTAAATGGTGGTGATTATCCTCATCAATATTAATGTTATCCGTAGCTAATGGCTAACGCGGTCGCCTTTACCGTGACCTATGCCTTAATCAGAAATGATTGAAAATTATACAGGGTGATGCAAAACTAACCAATGTTATACGATACACGTGATTTGTGTAATTGATTCATAAGTAAAAAAGTATTTAGAGGAGTGCTTCCTAAAGTACACCCTGTTAGGAAGATCCAATTGGGATGTACAGTCAGCTGCATAAATATCAAAACATTTCAAAAATTTCAGAAACTTATAAACGCCTTCGATTTAAAAAAAAACATAAACACGTGTTTCCCATTAGTAAATGTTCATCGTCGCAAGCATAAAGGATAGGTGCCTACATAATTTTGAAACCGAAGGTGTAAACAAGTTTCTGAAGCTTTATAAATGTATACATATTTATGCAGCTGACTGTACAATGACGGGAAATTAACTACGAGAAAAACAGTATGGGTATCTTATCTTACAGAGATAACTTATCTAAATACTATGACCAAATCACCCTTAATTGTGTATACTCTGTGCCCTTTTGTGGGGACTTATAATAAACTGACGACAATCTAAATACACGTACAGTTACCAAAGCTTATTTCGACTTTTTATTTTGTAGCTATATAAAAAGTTTGTATGTATTGTCTTTCTCATATAATTGTTGTACTAATTTCCAGGAGACATACAGCGAAGTGCAGACGACATCAACAGAGGACCATCACTGTCATTGGAAGCCGCAAAACCAGCCACCCAGCTCAGTACCACAGCTGCTCGCCGCGTTGTTACTCTGTGCCGTGTTCATGGTAAGTGTTAATGTTGCCATCTCTCTCATTCTCTTTGTAATAAAAAGGGATAGCGATAGTGTTCACGCTACTTGAATTTGACGTTTCATCTTTGGATCTTGTAAGGAATCGATACTTAGGGTAATTTAAGTAACCATTAAAGTACTTTCGAAATAGTAAAAGTAATTGTTTACACGTGTTTTTATATTTATCGTGTTCACGTGATATTCTGACTTTGTTTTTCTAATGTTTAAAGCAAACATGCATATAAAATTATACCGATGTTATTACGTGTTATTATATATGTGTAATAACTATGTTTGTTATGTGATACATATATAATAGTTGTATATAACTTCTGGCATGATTATATTTCCTGTGTTGAGATTTGATTTTGTATTTACAAGTTTATTTTCATATAGGAAAAAAATATTGACATATCACGTTAAAAATTAAAGGTTTATTACAAGTACAGTTTAAAAAATAAAACTTATATATATATATAATTCTCGTATCAGAATGTTAGTTACGAAATTTATGAAATACTACATGAATATTCAGTGAGTCTAAGAAACTGCTACTGTACTTTTTTACCCCGCGCGGATGGAGTCGCGGGCGACAGCTAGTTGTCTATGAAATTTCGATTTGTTGTAGCTATATAACACTGAATGTATTCTACGCTAAATAAAGACAAATAAACAAAATTATTACGTAAATTTTAATCAATGTAAGCCAACTCTAATCTTTTCGTGAAGTAAGCAAGTTTCTCGGAAGTTAATTAGTTCGATTATAAACTAAGCATCGTTAAGTTAACTACTTTATGTACGTGAAAGCTTGAACATAATGAAAATCAATTAAAATACTAAGTTCAGTAAATCAACTAGCTGTCGCCCGCGACTCTGTCTTCGAGTTATTAAAAAAAAACTTAATAAGGAGTCTATGCGTTCTTTCATAGTATGTTCAACATCTAATTAACATTACGGTTAAAAAAAGTCATCGTTAACTTTTTGGTTAACTCAACCGGTATCGAATTTAACACTCCAGTCTTTATTAATAGGTATTTTAACCGATGAGCCTTTATAAATATTTAAAAGCTTCCCGGAATAAACTGTCGATTTAATTTATACGTCCGGACAGTTTTGTATTTCGTAGGAAATTCATTCATGAATCACGAACGAACTTTATCCTGTAGCTTTCAACTTTGCGATTCATTTAATGTACATTCGCGTAGAAAATATAATTGTGGCCTAGTAAGAATATTTGTGACAATTGCCTCCGTATCACCATCGCCAATGATTTCAAAATTAGTATAAGATTATAGTGTATTTCAGGCGCGAGCTATCGCCCGTGATTATGTCCGGGCAAATTAAAAAAAACTTAATTAGTAGCCTATGTGTTCTTCTAGACTATGCTCTTGGTCTATGCCAAATTTCATGGAGATCAGTTGATCCGTTCTGTAGATACCTTCAAACAAATATCTACTACAATATTATTATAGTGATATTAAAATTGAGTGACATAGGTTAGATTTAAATAAAAAATGTCCCTTACGTAATCGCTATTGGCTCTTAATACTATCACAACATAACTTTTTAATATAGCGGAATTACTATGATGCAATTGTTATCAGGCTTGCGTCTTTTGTTTACCTTTGATTTTATACAATTTATAATAATAAAGCAATAGAACAAAGCTTTATTTATATAAACAAAATAATTGTAGAAACATGTAAGTTGTTATTGTGGGAAAAAAAATATGATAGCGTTTTTTTTTATAATAATTTGTTATGAATTTTGTAACATAGACAAACAGACATATATAAACGTTCAATACGAGTAAGGAAATGTCTGTGAAATTAATCATTAATAAAATAAATTTATAGTAGATTTGATATAAGTATTTGACCTTATTATGTTGTGCATTTAATTAAAAATAATTTATGTAAATGTTTTTTGTGCATGACTGTACTACGGCGAATAACCTCGTAATTTTTTGTGTCCATATTTCGAAACTACGTTTATATTGATTGATACAAATATAGTGCTAAGATGAGTAAAATCCGTGGAAACATATAGTTTTTTTATAGACTACTAACTGTCGCCCGCGACTACGTCCGCACGGAAGGAAAGAATACTTAATTAATAACCTATTTGTTCTTCCAGACTATATTCGTCTATGCCAAATTTCAGCAAGATCCATGCAGCCGTTATGGAGATATCTTCAAACATACATCCATCCATCCATAAATTCGCATTTATTAGTAAGAAATAAGATGGAAAAAAGATTTTTATTTTGATAACGAATTTCTTCGAAATTATTGTCTTTATTCGATTTTTTTGTGTGACGGTATATCAATACTATTTATTCATATAGGAAGACGTTTTCTGTAGAATGGAGTAGGCCAAGGTCTTTTAGGAATGTCGCTTTTTATGGACCCTAAATCATTATCATGGTGTTCTACTAGGTGTGCGAATTAGTGGGAGGATATCTCGCAGGCAGTTTATCTGTGATGTCGGATGCGGCGCACATGCTGAGCGACTGTGGAGGCTTTGCCCTCGCACTGTTCGCGTTCAGGTGTGCCCGTCGACCACCCAATGCTACAATGTCGTATGGATATCGACGAGCTGGTAAGTATCCAAAAAAATACTTCTAGAATGTATTATGTGCCCAAAATTTGGTTAGTGATAATTTCGAGAAGATAAGTAGGATTTGTTTAAGTTTATCTTCAACTATGAGAATGATCTTTGACATAAATTGTCACTATGCATTAAGACCTTATCGATAAGTAGCTGTCGCCCGCGACTTCGTTCGTGCGGAATATAAGAAATGACTTAACTATGTGTTCTTCCAGACTATGTTCTATATCTATGACGAATTACAGCGAGATCCATTCAGCAGTTCACGAGATACTTTGAAAAAAACATCCATCCTTCCAAGCATTCTTATTTATAATATTAGTAAGTTTTAAGCAGTCCCTTAGTGTCGATTTTTAATACCCAGAGGTGGCTGACTATTAAGCGACTGAATGCAGGTCTATTAGAAGATATTCGGGACAAGGGATTTTAAAGATTATTTGTTACCAGAGGTGCTGGGTGCGATGGCGTCAGTTCTTCTCATCTGGGCATTGACCGGTATCTTCGTGTATGTAGCGGCACTACGTATCCACACAGGAGAATACAGCATCGAGCCAGACATGATGATGATAGTGTCAGGATGCGGTGTTGCCTTCAATGTTGTGTTGGCGTTAGTTTTGCACGGATGTGCTTCTGATATTGGTGAGATTTGTACATTTTTGACTATTGTATTAATTTGGTAAGGTTATATTTAACTGAAGTGACAGCTGATCGATTTGAAGGTCAAAATGGGATTGTGGGATAACGACATGATCGTGCGTTTCTGAAAACAAAATCTACATTTAAAACTTATTATCTATGTTTTGTCATGACGATATGTCTTATAAAGAGATTTTGAGCTCAGAAATCGACGGTAAGTCCTAATTCTAGTTGTAAATTCACGTTAATAGTGGAGTTGTTTGAGGCAATTCTTAGTGTGTGATGCTTTACTTCTATGAAACACTAAACTGCACTATATTAATCCATCTAGTAATTTTCTTCTTGATTATAACACAGCTCACTATCACTCACACGGGGGCGCTGCGTGCGGGCATGCGCACGCGCAGGAACAACGACCGCGCATCGCTTTTAGAATGTTCCGTCGTTCAAAGCACAATGGTCTTGTGAACGGGGACTACAGTCTGAAGGATATGGCCACTGTTGAGGCTGATGTTAATGCAAGGACCAAGTAAGTGACGTCATTATATGTGCAAATTAAAAAAAAACAACCAATAATTGTATTTTATCTTCCAGAAATATCAATTTGCGAGCGGCTCTCATCCACGTGATTGGAGATCTAATACAAAGTTGTGGTGTGCTGCTTGCCTCTGTACTTATTAAGTTCTATGTAAGTTTAAATAAATTTTGACAGTAAAATCCGCTTTAACATTTTCGCATGAAGTGTCCCGGCTCCGGAAAAAATACTAACGACTACACAGAAGACAGGCGTCAAATGGAAGCAATTCCGCGTACAGTCTGATGAGTGTCCCGGAGGCTTAATTTAGTCCTCTTTCCCTTCCCACCCTTATTCTTATACGGAAAAAATGGGAAATGGAAGTGGACTTTCCGGATGAGAGGATGCATGGAAAGGGAAGATATTTTCTTTCTGTGCATCCTCTTCTCCGTCGATTAAAGGTAGGCAACGCATATGCAATTGCATATGTCTATGGGCTGTCACTTCGCTATTTCAGCGATTTCAGGTGACCGCTCGCTCGTTTGCAACCTTATGATATTAAAAAAAATTGAACATATGTTTTATATTACTTCTGTGTCAATTGTTCGACACACTATAATGTCGTGTATCCTTCGAGTTTGGAAACGTTTGAATATTGATGGACATTTAGATTTTTTTTTTAGTTCTTTTCATTCGTTATTCGTTGTGCGCGAAGGTTCGACACTATGATTTAGTATGACATTAATCTACATTAGTTTTAGTTCTTTTTATTAACAGATACAGAATAAAAGTTTGTTTTTAATTTTTTGTTTTAATTTCTGTCTATTAAATAAGTGAGACTTTGCAGCCGGACGCGAAGGTAGTGGATCCGATCTGCACGTTCGTGTTCAGTGTGCTGGTGTTGCTGACGTCAGCGCGCGTGGTACGTGACGCGCTCGCCATGCTCATGCAGGCAGTGCCAGCTAACTTCAGGTGACTTTACTTAGAAATATCCCAAAAGATGTGTCTTGTAACTCAAATTACTAGCATTTTTTTCTATTAGCAAAGATAGTAAAAATAAATTCCAGCTTGATAAAAAGGGTCTTGACAGACGGACGGACGGACAACAAAGGGTTCCGTTTTTTTCCTTTGAAGTACGGAACCCTAAAAACGTCTAATTTCGCTAAAATAGCGAATTATATTTCGTAGACTACATATACATTACAACAGTACTAGAATTTGACCAAATTTCCAAATTTCCAAATTTCTTATCGTATCGTAACGGATTCGGACTAAAGTGTATAAAATTATATTGTTATCTCTTTCTTCTACTTCGAAAAAAAATAGATAGCAAATTTCAACGTTTTAATACATGTATAGAATAACAGGGATATCTGACCCGGTGGGAAAAAACCAAACTAAATTTTTACAGCTCACTAGCGCCACTGTCAATTTCAAAAAATATCTCAAGATCCTTTTCGCGCTGTAATTTTTCTTTTTTTTCATTTATGTCATTCTTTATGTCTAAATAGGTTTTATATATTTTGTACCGGACCAATAACATCAGCAACGTCTCTTTAACTCAGATTGTTTGACTTTATGCAGTACTACAATGTCGTCAACGACTCCGTTGGTGCGGTATTAAAAAAATAGTAGCCTATGTGTCTTTCACATTTATACCAAATTTCAACGAGATCCATACAGCCGTTCTGGCCTTCCTACCTTCAAACATCTATTTATATATTCTCATTTATATTAATAATTTTAGATTTTAGACATTATTAGTTAAAATCCTTTAGCGCGAATTATTCACTTTCGTTACAAAGTCAAGTGTCAGAATTAGTGAGGGGACATAAACGTCGACATTTTAATAAGGCTAGTGTTGAGTACTCCGGCACAGTGTCGGATTTTCCTAACTGTTTAGGCCAAACACAAGTATTTGGTGTAATGGTTTAATTAGCGAAATACAGAGTTGCAAGATAGACAAATTAATCGTTGCGCGTATGCATCGGCGATCGAAAGCGGAAGTCCAAATGTCGTTTCGTGCCACCGCACGTCAGTTTGCATCGGCAGTGGTGTTGTCCTCACCTCAGGCGCGAACACTAACAGTAAGATATTATTGGGAATAAGGGTAAATTTGTCTTCAGGTACCGTGAGTGCGTGAGCGCGTTGCGCGGCGTGCGCGGTGTACGACACGTGCATTCTTTGCACGTGTGGGCACTGTCTACACACTACCTCGTCCTAACTGCACACATCGCCATCGGTATGTCATACAACATCGTTAATACTTTTTTTCTTTTTTTTAGGGACTTTTCTTCTTTTGAACATGTCAGTCCCATAACATTCAATTTAGGAGCTATTTACAACTATAAGTATATAAGCAAGCGATATATCACAGTGGTAGAGCGAGCTTTAACATGTTCGCACGAACTGTCCAGGCTCGCCCGGTGAAATACCACGACCACACAGAAGACACGCCTCAAGTGGAAGCTATTCCGCGTACAGTCTGATGTGTGTGCGTCCCGGAGGGTTGCAAACTTGAGTAAAATGTTTTTATGATAACTCTTAGACTATGTATATATAGATGATTTGTCCGAGAGCGAGCGCGTGCTGCACGAGTGCCAGGCGGTGGTGCGCGACCAGTTCGTGGTGCAGGCGGCCACGCTGCAGGTGGAGCGGCACTGCGCCCCGCGCCCCGCCTGCCCCGCCTGCCGCCAGCCCGCCGCCGCCCCGTGACCTCCCCCCACCCTCACGCGATAAGCTGGGGTCAGTGCATCTCCATACAGACATCTACATACACATCGCCATACACACATACATACATACATCCAATTTAGTCATCTTACCATCCTTTTACCATGAGCAAAAAAGGATGATGGAGATGGTGAGGTATAGGAAAGGAAAATATTCCCTTTCTGTGCATCTCTTTCTCTGTCGATTAAAAGTCGCTTCGCCATTTCGGCGAATACAAGTGGCATGTTCGTTTGCCACTTTATGATATAAAAATGTAGGAAAAACACGGTTTAAAGGCCTTTCTTGTATTGCGTTTTTAATAATCATCATAAAATGTCCCTGAACTCTATACAAGCTGTCGCTCGCAACTCCTTCCGCGTGGAATTAAAAAAAAGCTTAATTAGTAGTATGTGTTCTTTCAGACTATGTTCTATATATGTGTCAAATTTCATCAAGATCTATGTGTTCAAAATAAAAGCAACACGCTCTTCGAATAAATGTTTATTATAGAGTTATAATTAAAACTTAACACAATATATACAACACACTACGATTTAACAAATATAAGTAAATTAAGACAACACTATTCTCTCCTCATAGTTACAACTCGCTCGTTTACACACTGTAAAAATAACAAAACACACTCGATAAAATAAAGAAATAAAATATGACGGCGCCACTGTGTGCCAGTAACTTTTTACTTTTTTAGTGGCGCCCTCTGACGTAATATATTCGAATTACGCTTAGACACTATGTAACCGTTCTGGAGATAACTTCTAACAAACTTCCATCTAAACATATGCATTTATAATATTAGTAAGATATTTATTTATTTTTCAGGTGAATAAATATTGAAATATGTATGAGAAACGCCAAAAGTGTATGGACTTAAGTGTATGGCTATGGACATTAAAACCAAAAATAATATTAAGTCGAATTCTATTTATAAGAATATGTAACATTATAATTATTGACTCCAAAAATTATTATTTTTAATTGTTAAGCTCATTGTTAATATAATATAAAAATTATTTAAATTAATCTTAAATTATAGATTGTAGGAAAAAAGTGTTGTAAATTGTAGATTAAAAAATACAAAAAAAAATATCGCTTGAAATCTATGAAGTATTAGAAAGGTATTTTTTGGCTAGAATTTTTTTTATTTTTATTATTAAATTAAAGTTCTCATAAAATAAAAAAATTAAAATGCGAAGATTTAATTATGCTAATCGGTTTTTTTTCTTACATTATACGTATTGTTGATAAAAAATAATCAAAAGAAAATTAGTAAAATTGTAAATTAAAAAAATCTTCGTTGAAAATTTAAATCTGGTCTGAAATATTGTAAAATGAACCTTCAAGATTATAAAAGATATTAGAGGCTTTAGAAATAGATACAGGATGTAATAAATATACGGACCATGTGTGATACAGGTTGTTACATTTTTCCATAAAAAAAATAATTTTGAATTTTAAATACTCTTTATGATTTAAATGTTGCTCAAAATAATTTCATTAACAGCATAATAATTTATAATATTAATAGCATAGATTAAAAACAAAACTTTTAAATGTGCAATTTTTTTTTTTCTTAAAATAGTGTGGATATGGCTATATTTGTTTGTTGTACCAAAATGTTGTTAGTTTTAATTTTCTATATATTTCTTGTTTGTTGTAGGGTTTATCCATATTAATTTAAATTGTGTTTTTTGTCATCTGCTCAAAGTTAAATAAAGTGTAGAAAATAGTATAATATTAGTGCCAATTGTTGATTCAATGTAATTTAATTAAGAATTCATATTAACTTATTTATTATATACAGGGTGTTTTATTTGTTACAAATCTAAATGTTTGTTTGAAGTTTTTTTTTCATTTCTATAATTTTCTACTTGTGGGTTATTTAGGCGACCTATAGTAAATTTATATTTGATCTCAAATTATTGCAAAGTGCTGTACTATTTTTTTGTCCTTCTTTAATTTTCTATCTTCTTACTATTTTTATTTGTTTATTTCAAAATGTATTAATGACAAAACAATTATATAAAGATATATATATTTTTATAATTAAGATATTTTTAATGATTATAAAAATTGCTCCATAGATTATGTAGAATGTAATTAATTTGTGATATTTTCTTTGACTGTTATTTATATATTAAGATAAAATACATGTAGTTGTTATGTAAATAGATTCAAATGATATTCCATAATTGACTTGATATGTTTATAATTACTATCCGTTCACAATAACATGAGACTATGTTTACATGACGTCATGAACATATATGTCAAATTATTAGAAAAAAAATAAAGAAACTTGCTGAAGCCAATGTATTAATATAGTTGTTAAAATTGTATTTATTCATGCATAATATAAGATTCGTTGAAAAATATATTTAGAAGAAACATGTTGTATATTTAATAGGAAATAGTGCTGACTAGAATCAAGATTATAGTGAAATAGTTTGCATTAGACTAGACATTTTTTTTAAATATAGCACTACATCTATAGTACTAGAAGACAAAGTAATTTAAATCAAATTTTAATTTATTTGAAATTGATTTAAAATATTAAAGAGTTTCAAAGGAAAAAAAACATCCTGTATTGGAGTTTTTTTTTATTGCAACGACTTGATAACGAATAGGGGGAAGAACTGCGCAGTGCGCAGATTTCTTTAGGCTACTAAATAGCTTGAAATTATCCAATCGTTGTCAGAGTCTAAAGATTTTTCGAGCTTTAGATGTGTTACTATATTTAGTGAAAAAAATATTCTGTTTGTGTCATTTTTTTCGGTAATCTGTAACAAAATTAATAGTACTTATTAAAATCTAAGAATTCCGATGCAGATTTTTTTTGCTTGTATCAATGAGCAGTATTTGTGGGAATATTTATGTTTTTTTTTTTTAATTTTTTGCAAATTTTTCAAAAGTATTTTTTCAGTTTTAGAGTAATTTATGAAATCTATTATTCCCATCATATTTGAATGCAGTATTCTATTTGCCAAATTTGTAACCAAAAAATATATATATATATATATATATATATATCTTATTTATTAATTACTTTCTTGTTTGCGATTTTGTTTATGTAAATATCTGCCGTCCCCAGTTGGAACTCTTATAGACTAAGAACTGAACATTAAAAAAATATTTAAATGTAATTTTTTTTTATTAAATTTCAACCACTGTTAATGAGATGTCACAACGTAATTAAATATATTAAAACACACTCTTAATTGCTACATAACTAGTACTTAGTGTAATAAGAGCGTTAGTGGCTCAGGGGTTAAGCACTTGATTTGTAATCAGTAGGTCCTGGGTTCGAATCCCGCCATGTACCAATGTGTTCGATTTACATATGCACATCTGTCCGATGTTCTTACGATGATGGAAAACATCGTGATGCTTTGCCCATATCTGGCGAAGAAATTCAAAGATATGTGTGAAGTCAACTCACACTGGGTTGACTATTGACTATGGCCTAGGCACTTACTTAGGGTAGGCTCCGAGTCCCTTAGTGGGGATGTATCAATTTACTGTAGATAAAAAAATATTTCGGTATATGGAATTGTACAGATAATAAAATGAAAAACATTTTCAACTACTTAAAATTATTTATTCTGAAGGCAAGTTTGTCGACAGTCCGCTAGAGGGTGCTCCCTCCATACAAACTACAATATGTATGGCTAACCTTTGTACACAACAATATCACAAATGCGAACATATTATTAATTTAAAGCTACAATATATCATAATTTATATAAATATCCACAAAAAAAGGGTACAGATTGTTTTTCACCAAAAAAAAAAATGTACCACACGTACAGACTGTAGTTTGTGTAAAATTTTACTTAATTCGTTAAAAAAAAATTAAACACCAATTTCTGATCTTTTTGCTATATTGACAGATTTTTAAATTTGAACATGATGTAGGTAATTTTTAAATATATCAAAATTTCGACAAATTGCAAATAACAAATTAAAGAAATTAAAAAGTAACACCCTATATCACATACTATTAAAATTTCCCTATACCATAATTATAGACAAACTGACCCGGTGACCAGTAGTAAAATAAATTACTATAACACACTAGCGCCCCTCACGAAAGTCAAAAAAAATTCAATAACCTCATGTCATTTTTATACTGTCATGTCTTTTATGTCATTTTCTACGTCTATGTAAATTTTACGTGTTTTCTCACAAAACTAAAGCCTTTCTCACCGAGCCAGATAAATTTGTCATACTACAATTTATGTATTCCTATTTACTTCCTACAGTCAATCGTAGCCAGTGCAGTTCAAGCCTAGTAACAAACGCCTACAAACTACAATTATTAATAATTCTATTATTAATCCTTATTTAATAAATAACAATGTATTCTGTAGCTTATTTAATATGACAAACGTATTATTTTGTACTTTATTATTATTAAAAACTTTCTGGATGGAAACTATTGCTTAGGATTTGTTTTACCAGATAACTATTGCATTGTTTAGCGTTTAATTTTAATAATTTTATAGTATTTATTTCGACTTAATACAGATTAAAAATGAGTTACAATTTTTTTTGCATATATTATATAACTATAGATAGATTTAAAAAAGAACTTTTATCTCTATAAATGAAAAAGGGATATTATAAAAGGAATGGAAATTAAAAAAGTAAAAAAAAGTTTCACGACTCAACATCCTAGATTAATATAAAATAAAGTCGTATACTAATATTATTAAATTTAAATGCAATATAATTTTTTTGGTGTAAACTAAGTCATAATTATTGCTAGATTTGTCCAATTTTGATATGAATTTATTTATTGTTCTTAAATACAATTTATTCCTACAAAAATTTTATACTAATCTCCAACACTATTCCTGGGTAACGAAAAAGAAAGAAATACATCGACAGTATCTCGCACTCGCTCGCACCTATGGCTCTTATGCACGTAAGTAGTGATGTGCACGCGATCTTATCGATATATCGATCTTTTGGCTAATCATTTGTAGCGTTGGTGACTAGTATCAAATATCAACATATAATTTACAGATAATGGAGATGTCATCATGAATGAAGAAATATAGATTTTATTAGATAACAATAATAGAATAATTTTGGAAGACAAAAAAAGTATTATCATGAATTATGTTCTAGTTAAAATAAATCGTGGAATGTATCAGTAATCGTAAGTTTCCACTGCCAATAAACTAGTAAACACATAAATTGATTAATGTTATTGTACGAGGCTTATGACAGTGAAAACCGACGGCAAGAATAAGGTTTTCTTTAGCTGCTTATTTTCTAGAGATGAGGTGGACTCTGGATTGTTGAAATAATAAAAACAAGTGTTTAATTTGGGTCACCCTTTATGGTTCGAAAAAATTGAAAAGGTTAATCTAATTTTGACTTTATTATTATATATAAGAGTAGCTTATAACAGTTAAAATTTAAAGTAATAAAAAAGAGAATTTATTAAAAAACAGAAATAAACATTAAAAAAATATGAGATTCAATTTAATAAAAAATTTAAATAACATAAATAATACTGATATTAATAATTAACTTAAAAAATAATACTTTGAGTCAAATTTGAGTAATATTAAAAGTTGAAATTAAACTAAATCTCGCTAAGTAGTTTTTTTTAGTTAATGCTTAGACCAATTTAAATTATTAATATAAAAGTTTAATATTAAGTTAAAGGGCAATGATAGCTTAGGCCATGTTTTTTTCTGCAAAACCACTAAAAGTCCGACCGAAAATTATATATTGCTCAAGATTCGACACTTGTTAACAAACTTTACTGCGATTATAGAATTTGACAAGTTATATTTTAATTCGTAAAAATCAAAATATAGGTTAGTTTAACTGATATCGGTAACCTTATAAAATATAAAATAATAATTAAATTAATCGAATATTGAAAAAATTTAATATCGATACTCGCTTTCAAAATATTATTCGATCGAACATCACTACTTGCATTTCAAATTATTACGTATCAAGTGAACTCTTATACCCTAGTACTTAAAGTTCAATTTCTAACGCTAGTAATATCACGTGGTATTTATTGTGAGTCTTATGCCGTTGTGTTAAAGTACAAAATTACGAAGCTTTTCACGCTACGTAATTGCGACTATTTTTTTTTCTTCAAATTCAATAACAATAATAAACCTACATAATTATTATTTTTAATTTAGACGTCATATAAAACTGAATAATAATAATAAAAAAAAACATATTTAAATTTAGAATTTTTTCTATTTCCAAATATAATTGCGTATTCTAAACAACTATTCTCGTATAGAATGTACTAGAATTATCACGCTTTATTCAAAATTCAACCTTATTCCATACAAATAGGAAACAAATTCGCTCTACTGTGCAAATTCAACATTACGTTCGTCGTACTGACAAATAAAATAGTCGCATTAGCAAATTTTAATCTTCATAACGCATGGCAAGTGAAAATCTACCTTAACTCTATTCAAATAAAGTTAAATATCTCATTTTATAACAAAACGTTCCGTTTTATTCCAAACTGAAAACAACAATCAATTTTGTCTTTGGAATTTACGCGTCATTTAAAATCCTACTTTAAAACCAATGCAATAAGATTCAATATCGCAATTCTGTTGTATAAATATATCAAATGTTATTGAAAATTAAACTTTAAGACATATAACTTAAGACTCAATATCTCGCTTCTCTTGCATCTATAACTTTTCAATCGAAATCCGATCTTAACACTATAGTTATATGGTACTTCTATAGTATAGTAGCATGTCAATCAAAATCGTACCTTGGTATAATAATTTTAAGGTTCATTATAGAGTTCCTATAACGTGTTATTCAAATTTATACCTTACCGTTAAGAAATAAGGTTCAATATCGTGCTTCAGGTGAATGTGGTGACCTTGGCTGTCGTACGGCGACTCCCGCCAACCGTTCGCACACTGCTTCTAATTGTGCGTCCAACATTAATGATGCTATTTGGTCGTCTGTTAACATTTCCACACTGGAATATAAATAAATAAATCTGTTAACACGTTAAACGCCAAAGTAGAAATATAAAAAAATATATTAATTAATAAAACTTTTTGCTGGAAATAGGCCTAATTTTGTCCTCTTTCCCTTCCCACCCTTTTTCTTACAACGAAGGGATGTGAAGTGGAAGTGTACTTTCCGGATGAGAGGATGCATAGGAAGGGAAAATATTTTCTACCTGTGCATCCTCTCCTCCGTGGATTAAATGTAGGCAACGCATATGCAATTGCGTATGTCTATGGGCAACGGTCACTTCGCTATTTCAGCGATTTCAGGTGGCCGCTCGCTCGTTTGCCACCTTATGTTATAAAAAAATATTCTTCAAAAATATATCTAGTTTACGGTTCAATCAGAAGCTGGGTTCCGCTGATATAAAAACATCAAGTGGTCAAAGGTGCCCTAAGCAGCGCCAAATTGCGGCAGGGATCCGTCCACCGGTGACCGGAGTGGCATTTAACGTGTTAAGTAACGATGGTTTCTGAGACCAGTCTCTGTATAAAACAGTCATCTGTTATAATCTGTGCCCAAACATGTTTTAAACGTGTATATTGTTTCAGAAACCCACAGTAAGTAAGCTTATTTAATACTTTTATTAACGTTTTAAAACACTAAGAAGGATTGAAGTTTTTCGTTGTTAGCGAAGTCGATTGAGATGTGATAATCACGGGAAGGCTAGTGTTAATTATCAATAATAAAAAAGACCATTTTTTATGAGAAACTGACGAGTAATTTTTCGTTTTATTGTATTGTAGTGGAGCTGTTTCCCCTTGTTATCCCCCCCATGTTAGTGTTAGACCTACCTAGGCAGGCTATCCGTGTCTGAATGTCTATCAGATGACGCCGAGGAGGTTGTGGGCGAGCGTCGACGCGGAGTGCGCGGCGCAGATCCAGACCCACGACGTTCTCCGAACAACGACAGACCTGAATTTTAGTTTACATTAAAACTACACAACAGTGGTAGACGCTAGCAATAATTCCAAAATGGGTTATGGAAGACAGGCATCAAGTGTAATTTCCTAGCAACTACAGTATTATGTGCCCGAGATTCAAAGTTCACTTTCCTTTCCCACCCTTTTCTTATAAGGATGGGAAAGGGAATATGAATTTGTGTTGAAGTGGACACGTATAAAGTATCAAAGCTAAACTTCGCTATTTCGGCGAATGGTGGCCGCTTACTCGTTTGCTACCTTAAAAACGTAGAGATAGAAAACTAGCTTTAAGCATTTTACTTATATTATAAATGCGAATGTTTAAATGGATGGATGTTTGTTTAAAGGTATCTCTAGGACGGCTCAACAGATCTTGTTGAAATGTTACATAAATGTAGAACATAGTCTGGAAAAACACATAGGCTACTTATTAAGTTTTTTTAATTCCGCACGGACGGAGTTGCGTGCGACAACTGGTCCAGTTATAAAGGAAATTTAACCTTGAAACATCTCCTTGACTCGTTCTCCTGTATCATGAAGTAAGGCATCAAGACTTTGTCGTCGTGCGTTCTGTAGTTCCTGTCTCAATTCTTGTCTAAGTTCGTTCCTGAGAGCAGTACGTTCAGCTCGTATGATACGTCGCGGGGATGCTGCGGACACCTTGGATTCTAAAGGACTAGGTGGTGACGGAGTCTTCTCAGGAGTAGACCGCGGTCGGAGAGAACATTTCTCGAAGCTTATCTATATAAACATCATAAATACTTTGAACCATTATTAGTTAAAATCATTTAGCGTGATGACGTGCTTTCGTTACAAAGTCAAGTGTCGGAATGATTAGTGAGGTTAAACGTTGACATTTTAGTAAGGCTAGTGTTGCGCCAGTACACCGGCACGGTGTCGGATTTTCTTCCTAACAATACATAGCAAGATTATGTATCATTCTGTGGTAACAAAGGAAAACATATACTATGAAAATCAATAAAATAATCTCAAAAAAGACATTAAAATTAGTCGAAACTGCATGTATATCAAAGCGTGAATAGCCTAATGGTTAAGGATACGGATTTTCGATCACGAGGTCGGGGGTTCGAATCCCGCCATTCGACTATTGCCGTAAACCATATCCTAGCACAAGCATACAGCTTAGTTAGAATGGTAAAAGAAATATTAGTAAATTTAGTCTACAAAAAATCTAATAACATTTAAAAAAAAAAGAAGCAAAAGAGATGAATCAAGGGCTAAATGGAGATCTGTGGTCTCTGCCTACCTCTCTAGGTTACGAGCGTGAGTTATATTGTTGTAGACTTATAGCTTAAGTAACTCTAAATGAGACAGTTAACATTTTAATACTGAAAAAAGATTATTTAAATTTACTTTTTCTCACTTTCTACAAACATAATATGTAAATATATTTCTATGTTAAAAAATGAAATAAAAAATCGACTTATTTTAATTTTCTTTTTGCAAAATGTAGACTTACTTCCTCAGGACTGGAGTAGTCTAGGTCTATCTCAGTCCATGTGTCGGAGTCAGGTAGACGCGGGCGCTGCGCGTCAGCCGCACGACGCAGCCACTCGCGCACGCTCGCATCAGTACTGTTCTCGCAAAGTTCCTCCAGATTCTCACTCGTGTTAGACTCACTCGCCGTGTCCGTGAATGTTGAACGATCTATATCTGTTGTTAAATATGATTTTCTTCCAATAGCTTAGGGTAGGGCGAGGTGGGGCGATCGCCCAGGGCGCCGGGAATAAATGGGCGCCGCACATGCAAGACATATAAAGCGGCGCCTTCGTCGTCTCCTAATTCACTCTATCTTTGAAGAATTTCCTTCGGACATCGAAAAAAGGCGCCGCAAAAATCTCGCCCAGGGCGCCAGAAATACTAAAACCGGCCCTATTTTCTTCTGATGTGATAAATATCGAAATATTTCTAATAATATCTAGATTACAGTGCTAATATAATTTAAAGATTTTTAAGTGGAATATGATGAGAATTGAACAAAATTGCGTTATAAATCAAGACATCGTCTTTTTTTTATTTCAAGACTCTATACTTATAGGATCACTCTGTCCGTCCATCTGTCTAGACCCTTTTTCTCAAAAACGCGTGAAGGTATCAAGCTGGATTTTTTTTAGCTACGAAACAAGTATTATTTTCTTACCATTTCTCGTAGACTGTCGCCTTGATCGATGACGATGTATTTCATCAGATATTCTTTCAAGATTTCTTAAAGCTGAAGAGTATTGCTGTTTCGCTTCAGTAACTTGCTCCTCTAATGTTTGGATACGAGCCTTTTGAGCCTCCAGTGCAGCGTTAATGCGCGCCTTCTCTTCAAAGTATGGCCTGAAAATAAAAAAAATCCTGCTCGAAGGACCAAACAATATGACAAAACTTTAAACCATAATCATATGAATTTAAGCCGTGTTTGGCTATTTTCCCAAAAATATAGAACAAAAAATAACCCATAAAAACCAACAATAAAAAAAACTACTGAAAAAAACGCTATAAAAAGTACATTATTCTGTTAAATTAAGAAGACTACATGCGAAATTTATTTACAAGCATAGACAATACTTTACTAGATTAAAAAAGCATGCAGATTATAAAAAGAAATAAAAAAGTTGTACCAAAGTGTGCATTGCCAGTCTGGCGACGTCGAATTGCCTGTGGAAGAAAAAAAAAACATTCTGTGCAAACTAAAATCTATGAAAGCTTAGATAATGCAAGCTAGTGTACAAAAGATATTCCATTTTGTTAGTTAGGCAGGCATTTAAGAAATTAGCTTTATCTTTATTTTGGTAGGAAATTAAATTTTTATTTATGGCAATACTTTATGTGCAGGCATTTGGTAGCATTCATTACTTAATTGCGTTTTTAGTACTACATTTATTTATGAAGGTGAAATGAAATGTAATTTTTACATTAGAGCCCAGTTTATAATAATTAATATGACTTCCATAGACAAGCAAATCAAAATAAATTATTTTCCTTTACTATGCTACATTGCCTAAGATACCAATGCAGTGGTAAGAAAAAATAATATTTATAAGACATGTCAGACTGGTCAGAGTTGAATTATTGTCGGGAGCCAAGTCTCTTATATTCTCCTTTATTTATTAACTGTCCTATATAATAGTTATATACCTAGACTTAGCAATATGTCTCTTTAGTCCGTTCTGCAGTTGCTGTACGAGGGTTGCGGCGGCGCGGTGTGCCGCAGCTTTAGTGCGCTGTGTCACCGTAGCCACTGCTCGGTCTGCCTCAGCCTTAAACATATTATGATTGATTTATTTAAAGTCAATAGCACTGAATGAGTTAAATTAATCTATTTTATGTCATCATCATCATCATCATAATCAGCCTAAATTTATCCACTACTGGACATAGGCCTCCCCCATCGATTACCACAATGCCCAGTCTTGTGCCACCCGCATCTAGTGTATGTGTGTTATAATTTCTTCCTACTTTCACATACCTGGTTAACCCTATGTGTAGCATGGTTGAGCATTTCTTGCCATGCTGGGTCCAAGGTAAGTCCACCTTCGGAGCCTTCAGCAAGCCTAGCAAGACCCTGTTCCGCGAGGTACACCATTTCTCTTGCTGCTGCATGCGCACTGTTAGCCTTGTCATAAGCCAGTGTTGCTGTTTGTAACTCTTGAGATGTCTATGAATTTAAAAAGAAAAAATACATAAAGACGAAGAAGAAGAAGAATTTTGAATGTAAGGTCCTTGAATTACTGTCTGGTGACAAATTATTTATTTTGATTGATGTATTGGTGGAGAAAGAGCAAGAGAGATGTGTCAAGACCTTGTTCACATGTTCAATGACATACCAATTTTCATGTAAAATTAAACTAATGTGAATCAGTGCTAAATGTGTTAAATGCATTTTAATTTGCAGTTTCCTCAATTTGTTAGAAGTATTTATAATACTTACAATATTTGCTCTAAACCTGGCTTCATAATAAGGTCTTGCTTTATGTACACTGGTGCCAAGTTTTTTTGTTAACTGCTGTATACGTAGATGGCCTTCAGCAAGAAGACGACGGAAGGCCAGTCTTGCCTCATCCAATTCAACTTCCAAACGGTTGATCTCATCTGTGGCTGTGTTTAAACGCTCAAGTTCAATCTAAAAATTAAAAAATATATGTGAGGCAAGAGACATGTGCTTGTTATGCCGTCATTTTTAATGTTTAGCAATACTACAGTACATATTTTTGTTTGCAAAAAAATATTTGATTTCTATTTCATATTAACTTGACAGTTCTTACATAATAACTTTTAAGTACATAATTTGTAAATTATTTAATGATTTTAAAAAATAAAACGATTACGACTTTACGTAAAATAAAATAATATGAAAAAAAAAATATTTACATCTTTATTGTCTTTTAAATATAAAACTTATAGAACACTTCCGTGATCTGTTTACAGACTTAAATGAAAAGTAAAGTTTTTTTGACCTTCTACGGATATGTCCTTGAAACTATCGATTAAATTTACCTGCACTCGAGGATCTAAGGCTTCGGAGCATTCGGCACCGCTATCGTTCATTGTTACATCAATTTAAAAACATCTTATCAGAAGTTTAAATGTTGAAAACAGATATTTTCATACATATTATTGGGTCAGATATATTAAACATCACAAAGCCATCGCTAAAAAGCGAATTTCGGCATTTAATTTAGGAATATTCAAGCTATCCGCACCGCCCGTTCGATATCTTCTGTTTATTGTATTAATTTATTATCTGTGATTGTGACAGCGGAAATGTCATTTCAGGTGAATTGATCAGATAATAAATTTTATTTTATTTTATTTTTTCATTTCTTAATAACGTTATTTTTAAATAATACCTAATCGATTAAAAAATATAACTTGAACTACTGAACTACCTGCAATATTGAAAAATAAAATCTTTGAAAATTGTATTTGAAAACATTTCCCCGTTACACTTTCTACATTTTGGCAAATGTCTTCGTCAGTCTTCGCTTTTGTCAAACTCAAACTATTTGACTTTGACAGTTAACATATTTGTACACTCGGCTGTGCTTCTGCTTTGCACTTTCTATTGCGTTTAGTGAATAAAACAAAAATCATGGTATTCAACTCTACTTAATACAATTGTATTTTTATCTTATTCTTATAATATACAGTATTAAAATAATTTTGCAGGCAACCGAAGTAGAAGAAACGATTAAAAGGATTCAAGCTCATAAAGGTGTCATGGGAGTGATCATTGTGAATCACGAAGGTTTGATCAATTTTGTTTACAGCCATGGCAACAGAAAAAAATACATGACTTCTTAAAATCAATAACCATAATTGTAAATCTATTTACCATGGATTAAAGCAATCTTATAAGAAAACAAATGTCAAACAATATTTTCATACCATCAAATTCTTATATTTGCACATTTTATATACTATTACGTTTTTTTTTCAGGCATACCCATTAAAAGCTCTTTGGACAATGCTACATCAGTATTATATTCTGGTTTAATTGGTCAGTTAACAGAGAAAGCTAAGAATGTTGTACGAGAAATGGTAATAATATTTATCTATTTACTAGTGCCTGTGACTTTCTATATGTAATTATAAAAAAAAAAATATTTCATTCCCATTAGGTCACTCTTGTTTTGTCACTTTTGAACAATTTTCTTAAATTTTGTATTTTTTTCCAGGATTCAACAAATGAATTAACATTCCTCCGAGTCAGAAGCAGAAGGCATGAGATATTGATTGCTCCTGATCGGGAATTCATTCTGATTGTTATACAAAATACAGCAGACTAGTCATATGTACTACATAAACCAACATACTTATCAAAATCTATGAGTATGAAACTAATTTACGATAGTTTTGAGCACCACCTTTTAAAGTAAAAGTGTTTGTCAAGCTGTAACTGTCTGGTCTGGAGTCATTGTCTTTACCTATGAAGGTTTTACAAGATTTCTGACAAATTAATCACAATAATTGCACCCTCTTTTGCGGAGTGAGAAAAGTTTGCTAGACTATAATTTGATATTCAGTTCTTTCCCTGCACAGATTAAATAATTATATGTCAAATGCCAGTTATTAATAAGGCATATCTCTTTAGAAATGAAGCAATCAATTTTTATAATTCTTTAAATTCAGAGGAGTGAGGAGAGATTATGAATGTTTTTGTTAAAACCAAATGGCTTATTCACTATTGTCTCTTTTTTAGTAGTAAATAATATTGTCAATCTGGTAACACTATAACACCAATAGCAACAAACGAAATAAATTATTTTAAGACAATACTTTAAAAGGATAAGGTTAATTGATGTAAAAAAGCCTTTGCGATTTTTTATGCTACTGAAAAAGCTTCACAAGTATATCTAATATTTTGCGTTTTTTTATTTATAGGCATATATTTGTTCTAAAAACGGTATGATGATTTATTTACGTTTATTTATAGGACTAAAGTAGGCTTTTAACTATATTAGTGTGTAAGAAAAGGTATTGTTATATGTTTAACAGATATATACTTCGCGCATCTATTTTGGTATATATTAAAATAATAACTAGCTTGACACTTCAAAATATTTCTTATATACTAATTTAAATTGTCAAAATGCTATTAATATGATTTCTGATATGTGATTAATTTTCATGCAGTTAAAGAATTGCTTTCAATTTTTTTTTGTATATTTGCTCTTAAGCTATGGTAACAATATATTTATTACAATTTGAACTTGTAAACTTTTGTTTTTTTTTCCTCAACTCCATCTAAATAGTAAACAATATATCTATATAAATAGAGGTTTTTACTAAAATTATGCAAACGAGTAAGCGGCTATTCGAATTCGCTAAAATAGCGATTTTTTTTAAATAAATTTCTTGTTGCTTTAACAAGAAGTTAGATTCGTAGGTTTGTATAAATATAGCTAGGAATTGTATTTTTCTGGACAGCTTAATGGGTTCTGTATGATAATTTTATTCATTGGTTTTGGTAGATGTTGGTAGTTTGCTACTCATTGGTAGTTTATAATTTGGCAATGGCAACACTCAGAGCTTGGTAGCGACTGCTCCGGTTGTTATGTAGTGTAATATTTTGTGGAAATAATTTCAATAGCGAATGATTTAACTCAATTTATGTACTAACAACATTTAGCGTTAATCATGTCTGAGAAATACGATAAAAATGGGTACAATAGCAGTGATTTTAAACGTAATTCTAACCAAGAGCCAAACGCTGAAAATCTCGGAGATCAAGATGGCGAAAACAACCCCGTTAACGAAAAAGCCGGTGAATATATGCGCGAGTTGTTGAGTGAAAAGATTAAATTAAATAATGGAAAGTTTCCATTATCGACAAAGCTCCTCGATCAAGGTAAATATTATTTATTATGAATAACATCGTTTAATATTATTCCCTAAACATGGTTATAAAAATAATGCGTATTCTATTTGAGTCCCAAGTTGGTACAACTTGGGTAGTGGTAGTAACCAATTTCCATCATAATTGATGGAAATTGGTTACTATTTCAACATATAGTTAATTTATGGTATTTCACGAGGACTCAATTACCTAGCCATGAAAACTTTATAAAACAAAAATTTGACTTGGATTTTTTTTACAGAGGTGGTCAGAGTGCAAGCTAATGGTAGAGTGCCCCAAAATGACTCCAAATACGTTGATGTATACAGAGACAAGGCGGTGAAAGTGACTGTCAAAGTGTTGGTACCTGTTAAGGATCATCCAAAGGTGAGTTTTGTAGAAAATGATATATTGTAAATAGTACCCGATGTTTGATTTGGCACATCAGCTAGTAGAATACGCTTGTTCTCTATGTGCCAACGTAAATTCCGACTAATTTGAATTATCATTAAGCTCCTAACACATACGAAGTGTTGAATCTGCATGCAATGAAATGTCCCATTCACTTGTCATATTCTTAAAGATATTGTATTTTAGGTAACTTAGGGTAGGCTTCAGTATCTTGGTGGGGCATATTAGCTTTGGGGAGAAGTTTATTTTGTAGGCGATAAATATGTTTGCATGTAATGTTATTTTCCATTGCAGTTCAACTTTGTTGGCAAGCTACTAGGACCAAAAGGCAACACAATGAAACAACTCCAAGAAGAGACAATGTGCAAAATGGCTGTATTAGGCAGGGGATCAGTTAGAGACAGGTAATAATACCATAGTCTAGTTGAACTAGCTGTTGTCTGCAACTCTGTCCGGTATTTAAAAAAAACTTCATTGCCTATGTGTGCCTTTTGAGATTATGTTCTACATCTATGCCAAATTTCAGCGAGATACAGCCATTCTCAAGAGATTTTCAAGAAAACATCCATCTTTCCAAACATTCGCATTTATAATATTTGTAAGTTATTGCCACAGTTATTAATTGGTCATTAAAGTAGTCTGTTAATACTGATTTAGTTTGAGAAATGTACAAAAAATAATTTATGTATTTTAAAATGACAGTAATCAATTAACAATTTACACTTTTAGGCAAAAGGAAGAGGAGCTACGTAACTCACTAGACCCTAAATACGCACATCTGTTGGACGAGCTACACGTAGAGATATCTGCACTAGCACCACCTGCGGAAGCACATGCAAGGATCGCATATGCTTTAGCCGAAGTCAAGAAATATCTGATACCAGATACAAATGATTTTATAAGACAGAATCAAATGCGTGATATGACAGAACGAGGTGAGTTGTTCTATTATAGAAATTTAATTATTGTTAGATTCTTCATGTTTTATCTAGAATTTTGTACATGAGTTTTGAGAGAAACATACTTGGATGTCATTGTTTATGTATATTTGTTTACTAGAAGGTTTAGTTTCTATGATTCAATTCATTAAGTACTTGTCTTATTTAAAGGGTAGTTCAGAATATTTAAGGTTTTTTTTATTGCTGTACTTTAGACGATATCTAACTAGCCTAACTAATACTACTACTACTAACTAATAGTGTTGTTTGATTTTTCAAAACTAATTATTAGTGTTTTTTTTATCAATTTTAATATTTTTCATGTATATTCTTTTTTTTGAATACATCCTTATTTATACTAGGTTTTATATGATAATGGTGCAAATTAACAATTCAATTTGTTTTTTTTTTAATGTTTACAATTAAAATCTTTAGAAATGTTGCCCGATAAAATCTGCAACAATCAAATTTTCTAACTACTATGGTTTGATGTTGTAGATGTTGGGCCCGGTATAGGTCCAGGGCCAGGGCCTGGGCCGGGACGTCGGGCCTTGCTTGAGGGCCCAGAAGTAAGGCCAAAGAATGTCATGTACAGCGCGTGCACCGTCACAAAGCGGTCTTTCTCCTACAGAGATCCAATTCTTAATAACCAATCTGAAGGTATGTTTTATATTTCGAAACATTTTTTTTTAGTTGTTACCAATATTGGTTATAGTCAATGGCCAGTATATTGTCTTCAACCCATAATATATTTCAAATTATTAAAGTATGAAAAATAGTTATTACATACTATGTTCTATATTTATTGTGTAATCTCAAAGTAGTGAGTTCTAATTCTAATTCTAATATTCTAAAAATCTTCTAATTCAAAAAATTTGGAGTGATTAGTTTTTTTTTATTTTTTATATACTTTTTTCACATTTAATTCAGACATGTATTTATTATTTAATAATTATTTCGATACATTTAAATTAATAAAAGAAGAATGTATTCATTCTAAAAAAAAAATATTTTTTTATTTTATAGTAGTTTATTTTTAGTTGATTTTTTAATTCTCCAATAATTGCTTCAGAAGAATGATTAATTCTTTATTATGTTATTTAATAATGATAAGAGATGGTATGTTAAAGTCAATAAACTTAAGTTATTGAACTCTGGCCAAGGTTAATAGTCATTACATCAGAAGTATAAAGAACATATTATATGATAAAAGGGCAGTGGAAAACAATCTATTACTTATCTTTATGTTTCTCACCTTTGTCTTTTTAATATCAAAGTATTATATTTTGCTGACAAAAAAACACAATATTTTTTATTTTTTTATTTATTATACAAAAACTTCACATAACAAATTTAGGTGTACTTACTGGTCGCTTATTAATTTATAAGATCAGCAAATTAACAAATACAGACGTTATTAAGCATTTCACAATTATAATATATTAAACAAAAAGAACAGAGATTAAACGGTTTTTTCAGACTATAGTAGAAAGACAAGAAAGCAAAACAAAAGAAAAATAGATATATAAAACAATTGATTGTTAAGTTACAATAAATATAAGTTATTTATTTAGAAGTGCCGTTTTCAAAATTACGAGTTTGGTCTTAATTTTTTTTTATTTAATTTAGCACAATGGCATCCAAGTATTCTGTAGGTCAGAGGTCAGTAACCTTTTAACTGCCGCAGACCATAATTGACCCAAAGGAATGTCAGATGTTTGTCTTACCTTTTTTTAATTCACCTTATGACCTAGTTATAGGTTGCGACTTGTATATATTTGGTTATATTATATAAAATGTTACTTATAAGATTTTATCAAAGAAATATTTAAGTTAAAGTTGAGTTATTCTTTTTTAACTGTGAGTTTTTTATGATTTCTAGTACCTGGTGGACGTCCTCTGCTACAGAATCGCGGAGCGCCTGGCAAGACTAAAGTGCTGAGTATTTTGGATAGAGCGCGCACTGCTATGGAGACATCGTACCCTTATGAGGATCCTTATGCAGTACCAGAACAACAGGTTAGTGTGAAACAGTACTTTGTACTGGTCCAAAAGCGGTTGAGGTCTACATACTCAGAAAATCACAATTTTAAGAAATTTTACTACTGTTGGTTCAATAGAGTACAATTTGGACAGGAATTTATAAGTAAAAAGTTTGGGTATTTCTGCTTTATAGTCAAAATAGTATTACTTTTTAAATATCCTGGTAGTTCAAGGTCATTGGCGTTACGTAGTGCCACCCCTCTGCATCCCAATAAGCCTCAACACATCTAATATTGTGTTGTGCGCAGCAATACGCGTAAAGTGCTAGTCACTAGTCAAAGGGTTAACATTATGTTCTGTTCTGGATTTACATTATTATATTTAAAAATATTTTCTTTACAGCGATTCGCAAGAATTTGAGCTCCGTATAGCAGTTAAAGTTAAAGTTGGAGCGTCGGTGGCTCAGTGGTCAAGCACTTGACTTGCAATCTACCGGTCCTGGGTTCGACTCCCGCCATGTACCAATGTGTTTTTTCGATTTCCGATTTACATATGTACATTTATCCGACGTTCTTACGATGAAGGAAAACATCGTGATGCTGCACATATCTGAGAAGAAATTCAAAGATATGTGGGAAGTCAACCAACCCGCACTGGGCCAGCGTGGTTGACTATGGCCTAATCACCCTTAACTTAGGGTAGGCTCCGAGCCCCTCGGTGGGGATGTATAGTGAGCTGATGATGAATAGCAGTTAAAGGGTCAAGATTTTTTCTTATTTTTTTAATTTGTCTCTAGGTTCGTGGTGTGCCACGCGGTGTGCCGCCACCTGATGATTTCTACTACGAACGTGGTCAGGATCGGTTCTACGAGGAGCCGTATTACAAGGAGGAGAGGGAGTACAAGCCGGCGCGTGACGTGGGCAGCCGCCGCGCGCCCCGCTACCCGCGCGCCGCACCCTACGCACGTCCACCCAAGTAGATCGTATGTTTGATAATATAGGCACCACCAAGGTTTTAATATTTTTTTAATTCTATACAGGCTGAACGTGCCTATTATAACAAAAATTCTTAGAGAACAGATTTTCTTTTATATTGCTTCTCTTCTATATTGTGCAAACTATATTGTTACAGGTGGTAGAAAAACTAGCTAATAATCTTACTTCTTGCTTTTTACTAATATTATAAATGCAATTGTTTCTATGGATGGGATGTTTGTTAGTTATCTCTAGAATGCATGGATCTTGATGATTTGGCATATATATATAGAACTAGGCTTCTATGTTTTTTTTCTTAATTCCGCGCAGACGGTGTCGCAGGCAGCAGCTAGTAAAATAAATAATACTATAATTGTAATTGACTATGTGTGAAGTTCTAGAGGAAAATATGGTTTGAAGGACAAATAATTTTACTGAAAATTTGTGATAAATTCATAACCTTGGTCGTGTCTATAAAACTTTTTATTTTTATTTAATTGCTTATTAACTTCAATTAGTTAGATAACAATAGAATTTAATTTTAGTTGCAGATTATTTGCTTTTTAAATTTATTTTTTGCTTTTTTTTTTGCAAGAGGAAAATACAAAAAATAAAAAATTATTTCACAGGAGCTCAGGTAAGAAACATGAACACTACACGAGCGGTGAGTAAGAAACAATGGACGCATAATATAAAAATCCAGTAAAAAAAAGAAGCAAAAAAGAAGACTTTAAAAAAATTATGAAAAAAAATTGCTAATAAAAAAAATCACCGCCGACAAAGTGTTTCAAATTTTTTCATTAATACGAACAAGTATAATTTTTCTTTTAAAAAAAATTAAAACGTGATGTTTTAAATATTTACACATCAAAAAAAAAAAATAACATTATGTAATAGGCTAATGCCGATATTTCGCTAAAAACTTTTTTTTTTTAATTATTATGAATGAAATTATTACAAATTTAAATTGTAGATTATAAAATTTATATCCTTAAGTTATATATTTTTTTCATTTCTTTAAATTTTTCATTAAAAGCACTCTTAAAATTTAAACTTTAAAAAAAAATAGCTTGTATTTTCTCGTTCAAACTATCAAAGTTTGTAGAATTTAATGTGTGACTAGATTTAAATAATAAAAACATTTTAAAAACAGAAAACCGTGATTTTTAATTCAAAATTAGCACCAGAAAATGATTGAAGACGAAAGAAAATTAATATACAAGTATTTTATTAAATTGTTTATGGAATTCATTTATAAAAAAAAAGAAAAAATCGTACACTGAAAAAATATTGACAAATACAGAAACCTCTAAATTTTGTTCTTCTTTGCAAAAACATATTTTTTTTTAAATCTTTAAAAAATAAGATACCACTGTGATAATATACAGAAAACTAGATAAATACAATGAAATTTTCAAGGGGAGAAAAACAATATTTTTTTGGATGGAAAATATATTCAAGTATAGTGTTCATAGAACATAAAATTGCACAGATGTAGTGGCGAATTCTGAATATGATTTTCTCCTCCGTCGTAACTATACAGGATCAAAAATATAGGGGTATAGAAAAATAGATGCCATGACGTAACCTCAATTTGTAAAAAAAAATCAGATATTTTAAAAACATAAAATATTTAAAAGTATTAGCCCTCTTTTTCAAACATGTGGGCTTATAAAAATCTAGCTTTTGCTACTCAGTGATAATTTACTAAAAAAAAAAAATATTTTTGAAATCGGTCTTGTAGTTTTTGAGTTTACTAACATACTAAAAATATAAAATATTTCCACTTTATAATATTAGTGTAGGTGTAATTTTTTTTTAATCAGTAAAGATTTTAAAATTAAAATTAATTCAGGTCAAGGTCACATTAAAATATAGACGAAAATAATATCTTAATTATTCTCTTTTTATTTTTTGGAGCTATTTTTACACACGAACTTAATTAAGGCAAATTTTGAACTGATTTTTTTTTATTTATTAAAAATCTGAAAGAAACTGAACAATGCCGTCAAGAATAAAATGAACACAAATACATAAATAAAATACTCACATCAAAAGAAAATACACGGTAAGTGGTAAATTTATAAAGTGTTAGTTTATAAGGCGGAGAAAAATAAAAAAAAATATCGTAAACATTTTTGAAAAGTTAATTTTTTTTTTTGCAAATTGTGTATACAAGGTGTTACAATTTTCCATATAAGTCAAGATTTAGGACTTTTTCAAGGAGTTGCCAATTTATTTGTTAATCTATTTTCTATATAATATTAGTAAAAAAGTAAATATTGAAAATTTAATTTCTGACATAAAAAGCATTTCTTTCAAATTAATACGATTTAAATGCATACCGTTAATCTAAATTATTTCGTTTATATTATATAATTTGACAGGTTCTAAAAAAATCTCTGAAAGGGATAAAAAGTCATGACATGAGACAAAAAGGAGACATGAACGCAAAGCTAAGCATCATGGTAAGTGATTTATTACTCAAAACATTGTAAATAAGGGTTCACACTGTCGAAATACTTGTTTAAAACATAGCTCTCACCTGACTCCGTCCGCAGTATTAAAATAAAACTTAGTAAGTAACCTATATGTTCTTCAGAATATGTTCTACATTTGTGCCAAATTTTAGCGAGATCCATACAGCCGTTCTAAAGATACGTTCTAACAAACGTCCATCCATTCATTTATACATCAAAACTTTTGCAAATTTTGAAACAATTTAACGGTTACTCTGAGTTTTTTTATACTGTTTTGACAGTTTAAACTCAAGGATAGACAAGTCTTGCAGTTTTTTGATAGGAAGATAAATGTTTTAGGTTCAAATTTAACCAAATTAACATGTTTCATTTTATTGTTGTGCAATAAATGTTTTTTTTTTGTGTTTATAGACACTAGTCTTGGAAAAGAAATTACGCAGTCCGAAGCTCAGGCTAACAAAGAAAAAAGGTTGGTATAATCTGTGGGAATTAGCGAGTTTTTAATATTTATCTGTTGATAGCTATTCAACGCATCTGAAAATGCCAATGTCTATGAGCAGTGGTCATTTCGCTATTTTGGTGAATTACATTGGCCATTGCTCTTTTTAGTATTAAATAAATATTTCGAAAGTTTGAAGATTGCATTTCTCGATCACATAATAATATTTTTTATAAACAGGTCACCACCATGTGAGGAAGGTTAATATATACAATGACGTCAAATAAATATAAAGTAAATAAACTGTATATAATATAATGTTTCACAAATGTAGTTTTATTTACAAAGCCCTAAATACTTTAGGATACACTAAGAATAAGGATGGAGATGGACTTGTAATTACACCTTAAGGCGTAAGAAAACTTTTTGGTGTATAGCTTGCAGTGGAACATATCTGCCTGAGAAACAATACACTAAAACTGTGCTAAATAGCAAGCTATAAGGCTATAACCTACAAAGGTTTACTAGCTGTCGCCCGGGAGGAATTAAAAATAAACTTAATAAGTAGTCTATGTGTTCTTCTAGACTATGTTCTACATCTCTGCCAAATATCAGCGAGATATATGCAGCCGTTCTGGAGATGCTTTCTAACATTCTTGCATCTAAATAATCGCATTTATAATATTAGTAAGATAAAAATAACGAAGGTAGACAAATATTTTTATTGTGTATCATTCTACTCAAGCGATCGCTTCATTGATTAGTGACTTACGCAAATGTATTCGAAATATCTGAAGCTGATTCGAGATATTTGAAACTCAACCGTGGTAAGTTTCTTTCAACTTTTAGTAATAACCTCAAAATGTACTAGACTTGTAAGTTTAAAAATTAATAAAAAATGGGATATGTAAGCAAAACCTTTCGATTATTTTTTTTCTAAATCGGAGCAATAGGGGCGGAGTTACGCGGTAACGCATAGACTACAGACGAATTGATAACCTCCTTCTTTTTAAAGTCAACAAAAATCTGTAGTCTCTGTTTACCTCTTTTGGTTATATGTTTGAAGATAAACAATGATGTTACATTTTAGTACAAAAGTGTTAAAACTTATTTACCTAATTACTTTGGGTAAGTAATAAAAAAGTGTTTTTAACTTTGTTTTGAGATAAACGATACCTCTGATGCCAGAAGTTAAAGTTGTTTTAAGTAATTAGATACTTTGAGAGTGTTTTTGCTTCTTAAACGGATTAAAAACTCCGCTAGACTATTATAAATCTTTTCCTTGTCGTTTCAATAACAAATTAGTGGACAGTTTTGAAGTTTCTTTTATGCTTTATTTTAAATTGTCTAAAACCACGAAATGTTACGCATTCAAGGCATATATTTTAAAAAGGGATGTAGAGAATTTATATTTAAGGCTACGTTAATGTCTTAACAAATTAATTACAAATGAGTAACTAAGATTTTTCTCATAACGACCTCTTTTGAACTTTCATCTTTTTTGATAGGAATAATGTAAAAGAAATCATTAAAACCATTGAATCGAAAAATTGAACTTTGATATTAGAATTACAGTTGAGAATCTGAAAGGAAATGGAAATGCGAGGAAACATAATTAATTTTTTCTCATCGAATAAAGGTGTACGGAAAATTTGACAAAAAAAATCGCAAATTATCATAATGAAATCTTTGCTATTGATTATTGAAAGGAGTATTGAAATGTTTATTCAATATATTATACGGGCCTAAAATCCATTGTGTGTTTTGCAATTTGTGTTATATGATTAAAAAAAGCAATCTGAAATTAATTTTGTTATTAAACTAGAGCCTAACATCAACAAATCCAAGTGATTTTATCAGATCAAGTAAATAAAAATAATATTACGATGTATCGATTTTGGTTAGAACTTTAGAGCAGTCGGATTAATCTTAATCCTTACAAAGCTTTATTCTGATTGAATTCTATTGAATTTTCAACTTGGCGGGAAACCGTTTCGACCATATACATTTACAGGAGAGCCCTCTATTGACAACGTACGCCAATTCGGGAACTCACCCAATATGTACGGACCGTGCTATTGCTGAATTTGTAATAGGAACGTCCATTTATATGAATGTTGAATTTCAGACAAGCATTTTTAGGACGTAGTTTCATTAGTTGTTAGCGACGCATGTGGGAATACTAGACCATACTTTCCTTATCGCGCATTGTACTCGGCAACTGAGTCCTCCCAATCGAAAACGGTCGAATCTTAAACTTAAATTGTCGATTAGTGTTTTGCATAAATAAAAAAATAGCAAAAATTTATATTTGTATAAATGCTCGTCTATTCCAATAAGTATGCTGTATTACTAGCTGTCGTCCTCGACTCTGCCTGGGCGGAATCAAAAAAATACTTTATAAGTAGCCTATGTGTTCTTGCAGATTATTTCTTTATGTATGCTAAATTTAAGCGTAATCCGTTCAGCCGTTCTGGGGATACCTTCAAACATCCATCCATCCATCTAAACATTCGCATTTATAATATTAGTATGACTGATAAATAAATTTAATGTTAATATTAATCGAGTTGACATTTAACATAGGAAATCCATTTGTTACCCCTATACTAATTAAATAGTAGGAAATGATAATGGAATTAGTGGCGGGAAATTATAGTATGATTAATTAATTATTTTGATGTGCACGTTTGTTTAATTATTTGATTAATAAATATAGGCACAGTAGTCGATTACTCTTGGTATATTGTCGCCGACGCCACCATAATGAAAACTTAATTAGTCTATGTGTTATTCCAGACTATGCTCTTAGGTCTTTTTTTAAATCCGCGCAGAGAGAGTCGCGGGCTACAACTTGTATTCCATTATTGTTGGAAAGACATGCGGAAATAAGAGAATATAATAAATGTAAAACAGATTAACTAATGTAAAATATTTAATTTGAAACACAAAAAGGTTTTATATAACGAAAGTTTAACAAACCTAACCTAAACACAAAGGATGTATGTTGATTTGTTTGTAACTATTTTGATTGTATCAAATTCATGTTAACGAATAGTTTTGATGAGGAATGTTACCAATAGATGTTTAGGTTTTAATTTACGTTAGGAAATAAATGGAATATCCGAATGTTATTTGTTAAATTTTACTTTCGTACGTTACAAATTGTGATACTACTGACACAAACTAATCGTCCAAAATTTCGTCGTTATAGTTACAGTTAAATATGACGTCAATTTGACGTTCGTTAAAATTGTGCAACGAATTTTTGCGCAACCGTAGATTTAACCGATATCAAGGTGCTGATTATAGTTATAGTTAGTTGATGCAACTCACCCTAACTGGATTGTTTTTTAGCGTCACTTCACAACTTCCCGACTTTTTCTTTCCTTCGTTTGTGTTTTATTTAAGAAGTTTCTTTGAAATTAAATTTAAACGCAATACTGGGGACAAACTTGAATTTATTGCACTGCTAACTTTCTGATTTAATTTTTACTTGATCTACGATTTACAAATATTACAAAACGCGATTAATTTTTGATTTATGAGAAAAAAAACTAAAATTGTTTTTTTTTTAATTTATTTAATATTTGGATGATATTAAGGTTTAAATATTATAATATAGATTGGAAAGTTCACAATCTGGAATTATAATAGCAAATTTGGAATGAAGAAAAATTGCCGTATCAAAAATAGTATTTTGAGGTTTTATGATAAAACTAGCTGTCGCCCGCGACTCCGTCCGCGCGGAATTAAATAAAAATTAATTAGTAGACTATATTCTACATCTGTGCCAAATTTCAGCGTGATCCATGCAGCAGTTTTGGAGATATATTCAAACAAACAACCATACATGCATTGAAATCTTCGCCTTTATAATATTACTAAGAAGGAAGATATTCTATTGCTTTTGTGAAAGGTATTATTCATAAAATTATATTATTTTTTTAATATACGTCACGTTTATTTAGTAAATAAAAGATTATTATATTTCAACTACTTATATAATCTATAATAGATTTTGATTTTTGTCTATGACGTTTATATTTTTGGTTATTAGCTTCCCGCGTCCTACTGTTATAAAAAGGATAAGGCATGAAATAAAACACTATAAATATCCAACCTATTAGGTACATATATATTTATTCTTAATTAATTTGTTGTTTCTTTTCTCATATTGTGTATTTCCATAACCTAACTTTAACGATATTGTGGAGTTTCTTAAATAGTTGACATATTAATCTACCAATTTTATGCATTGTAAATAATAAAGTAAAAAAATAATCGCACAACTATTACTCAGTCTTAATGTTTTTACAATCTGTTATAATACGGTCGAATTCAATGGAAATGGAAAGTGACCTTCATTTATTGTCTACTAGCTGCCCGCGACTGCATCTGCGCGGTATTATTAAAATCTAGTAGCCTATGTGTTCTTCCAGACTATGTTTCACATCTATACCAAATTTCAATGAGATCCATGCATCTAAACTATCGCATTTTTAAAATTAGTAAGATTTGTTTTGTAACGTTTCAGAGTTTAAATTAATGTTACAATCGTATCTGTTTCTTATAAGTCTATGATTACAGACTTATAAAGATAAAATTATTTAGAAAGGCTTATTAAAAATTCTCCTTTCCATTGAATTCGTTTACGTAAATCTATAGGCTACCTAATTTGCTTTCCAGTCTACTCAGAAAATGTTTAATTTCTTCAATATCTAAAGACATTTGATCTATTTTTACGTTTAATTTATCTACTGACGACTCTGAATTTTCTATAGATGTATTAATTTGTTCTTTGACCAACTTTATGTCATGATCTACAGAATGTAAGCGTTTCAGTACATTATCATGTTTCATTTTAAATTTATCTGCTATATATTCAGATTTATCTATTTCTGTTTGCTTTTTTTGTTCTCGATCTTGTTTTGTTATTATTTCATACATTGCATTTAATTTATCATTAAACATTTGCAATCCTAATTCGTCTTCTCTTTGCTTTTGCTGTATTTGGGCTTTGTTCATTATTGCGTCACGGATTCGAGTTGGCATTACCTTGTTGTGCCGCCATCTTGGTTTCCCCGGACACAACATAATAGTACCTATAACTCTCCGTTTTGTTTTGATCTGATTATTTATTCTGTTCGGTAGAATTTTATTAAAGAATTTATTATATACTAAATTATCTAGTGTACTTAGAAATTCTACTTGTTTAGCTAATCTTCTGATATTTCCTAGTACTTCTAAATCATTAATATCGTTTACAGCAACACCTACTAGTAGATTCATTAGTACTATTGCTGCTAGAATTAGGAATATAAGAAACACAACTCTTACTATTATTAGTGAAGTGGCAAGATCTTTAGAATGCTCCTCATCAAATAATGCAACGTAATCAAATTCAGATGTCATCATGACCATAGTTTTAACGAAAGCTGCCCATGGACCTTCGAAGGGTATTTGAGCGTGGAATTGTATCATGAAACTTAATGCAAATCCTATTATTAAGAACGCGAATGTCAGTATTATCTGAAAAGAAAATAGTCCACTTCAACGACATTAAATTTCTCATGAAGCTTTTACTACATAATCATCGTCATCATCGCCATCATTGTTAATAGTTAAAAATGACAGTCACAATTAATTAATGCTTTCCTTTGTTTTATAATCATTTATCTAAATTTATCATTAAAATATCTATAAAAAAACTTACCCTTATAACATTCGAAGCTACTTTCCCAAACATTAATACATAATAGCCTCCATTTGGGAACCTTGATAGTAAAAACATTAGTTCCAACCACGACAACAGTAGCGCTAGTGTCGCGACATGACGTAACCATTCCGCAGTCAACCATGGTGTTATCATAATAGCTGCTGGTAATATCATTGCCAATCCTATAGATCCGAATTTAACCCATGTTTCTAATTGAAAAAAGTATCTACTACTTTTAATATTCATATAAAGAAGTTCCTGAAATAGATATAAGTGTTAAATTATTCAAACTTTCGTGAGACATTTTACTAAACTGATATATAAACACGGCTAAACACTCACGTATATTCGTCCGGTGGCGGCACCGACTAGTTTCGAGCCCATCGGAGGCCCTGTAGTCGGTGCCGCCACCGGACGAATATACGTGAGTGTTTAGCTGTGTTTATATATCAGTTTAGATAGTGTTATAATAATATTAAGATTTGTAAGTTTAAAAATCAAAACGTGACTAACCTGAACGAGAATTAGAAAGATCGTTGAGTAAACGATGTATCCCCAGATATTCTGGTTCAACCATATCGGAGCTGTTTCCTTTGTATCCATGTAAAAGAATACAGACACAATAAATATAGTCAAAGATGTAACAAATAGAGAATAAACAGCGATTATTGTGTAGAAAAATGGCAAAAGTGCCTTCCATTTTAAGTATAGAAAACTTTCAACTAATGGATGTACTAATAATCTTTTCTGTCCATATCTATTGCCAGTTTTAAGAAGAGCTTCGATTACTTTCATCTGTTCCATTTCACAAATAGTCGGCATTAATATTCTATAGTCGACTGTGATCTCACAATTGGAATCTTTGAAGTTCTGACAATTCGATGAAATATAAGAATCGAATACGTCTTCTAAGAAATCTGTTGGCTTTGATATATTGTTGACTATCATGTCTATCGCTGTTCTTCTATATTTCTTTGGACCATCTGTATAACCAGATAAATCACCACCTTCTTGGAGTAACAGTGTTATAACATCGCGACTGCCATGGTGACTTGCAGTGTGTAAGGGAAACCATCCCATACCATTAACTTCGTGAATGGTTGTCTTATCAAATTTCAATATAACATTTGCTATTTCTATATGATTGTAGACAGCAGCTATGTGTAAAGGAGTTGAACTACCATGAGGACTGCTAGTTGTTCGAAGTCTTATATCAGCATTTTTCGATAATAGAAGTTGTACGCATTTCGAGTGGTTATTGGCGACTGCAAAATGTATAGGTCCGAAGCCTCTTCTATCCCCTGCTGTTAGAGAATTAATCATAGTACGTGTAACATCATCGTCGTATTCTAAAAGAATTTTTAGTATATCTAAACATCCATTTTCTGCTGCCACATGGAATACGTTGACATCTCCAGGCATTGTAAGCTTTATGGAAGCACCTTCTTGGAGTATAGCTTGAACACAATCAAGGTTCTCATTTATAATAGCTTTAATCAAAGGCGTCTCGCCTTCTTCATTTTGACAATCAATGAAATTAGTTTGTTTTGCTAAGCTAAGAATTTCTGTTAAAACATCTAAATTGCCTAAAGCTGCTGCAGAGTGGATTGGTGTTTCTCCGTCGTTTGCCTAAAATTGATACAGTTTCAGACACCAACAAATCAGCTGTCGTTGTTTTTGTAGAAGTTAAAAAAGCATGAGTGATTAAACTGGAAGGGTGTGTCTTATGGGCTGATAAAGACGTTAGTTTCACAGACGTCTCCTTTCAGCGAATAGGGAAAGAGTGAAACTTTAAGTATAATAACGTGTTAACCTTTAATGTGACGTCAGCACCAGCTTCAAGAGCTACGCACACTCCAGGAACCCACGCAGCTTCCACTGCTGCTTGGAGTACTGTATGACCTTCTTTGTCCTTCACATCAACCATAGCCATTAATGGATCAGGATCTTTATAATTGTGATTTGCTAAAATCTAAAAAAAAGAGATACAGTTATTTCTATGGGTCATCTTTATGTATGATTATAGATGACTATGATGAATAGAAGCAGACCTGTAAAGGTTCCTCTAATTCCTTCTTAACACACACATGTAGAGGTGTTTGTCCCGAAGAGTTTAAACACTTAACAGAAGCTCCAGCTCTAAGCAATTCGTTAATACTATCAATATCATCTAGTTCGACTGCTGTGTGTAATGGCGTGTCTAAATTATTGAGACCTTTAGTCTTCATCGTATTGTGTGTCCCACCAGCATTATGTAACATTTGCAACACAGATAGGAAACTGAAAGCAGAAAGAACAACGATAAGAGGGTAACGAGTGACCATAAAAAAGATAGTAATCATCACTATTTTTTGTGACATTTTACTTTGTAAAACTTGGTACAATGTACAAGGCTCTATGGAGTAGAATGTATCCAAATCATTCTCAGATTCTATATTAAGAGTTTATTTGTTTCTTACTTTTTTTTGTTAATATTCCGGTTAAAGTAATGTCCATAACCGGCAACATCAAGGGCGGTTCTGCCGGCCTCGTCGCAGATGTTAGGGTCAGCGCCCGCAGCCAGTAACAGCCGCGTGCAGTGCATCCGAGCGCAAGCCGCTGCCACGTGAAGTGGTGTCCAGCCTGGTTGCAGGAGAGGTAACTGAAAAAGAGTTGATACCAGCGTATTCACAGTCTACTTATGAATTTAGTTTAGTAAGGAAGGAATTCACGGCCCTTTTTTCTTTTGTTTCTGATTGACCAAGAATAATAACGCATCTTTAACTATTGTACTTGTTTGCATTGAGCAGGCTCCTAAATTAGTGAATCAAATCGATTCTTTTGCTGTTCGGAAGCTATAACTAGATATTTTAATTCCAAGTGAATGAAGTGCGGGTAAGGCTAGTAATAAATATTTTCACTGAACGTCTAATTCGTGAGTCATCCTTTGATGAGCGGTCTCAAATATTTTGGTTTGTCAGTTGCAGTGTTATGTTAAATAATTGTAACTTACAGATCCTTCAATATTCTTGCAATTGTGATCAATGTTATCCTTCCATGTCTTAGGTAGTAATGTCCTCACATCACCTAAGTCACAGCGTATGTTCACCATGTCTCTGGTTCTTGGACACATCTTTCTTACGTCTTCTTCGGCATCAGAAGACATATCGCTTTCAACACGATCTTGCATTTCTGGAATATGTTTATACTTTTTAAAAGGTTACATGAGATGTTTTATGGATATATAAAAAAACTTAATTAGTGTAGCCCACCTATCCATACATTCACATCACATCCATCTAAACATTCGCATTTATATTACTAGTAAGTTAAATAAAATATAAAAATACCACGTGACCGGAAAAGACCGCTTCAAAATAGCGTTATAGTATAGGTTTGTGTTGCAAATGGGATAGGTAGTCTCTCCTCCGTCGATTAAAGGTAGGCAACGCATATGCAATTGCGTATGTCTATGGGGAACGGTCACTTCGCTATTTCAGCGATTTCAGGTGACCGGTCGCTTGTTTGCCACCTTATGATATAAAAAAAAACATTCCTATGAATAGGAAGTTAAGGAAAAACTTAATTTTTCTTGTGGTAAAATACGTTACCATTAAGTAAGCGTGAAGTTACAACTACGAAGTTGTAAGAAATTATAAAGTTCCGTTTAATCCCCTAAAGCAGAAATATCAAAGAACTTGGAATGGAAACTTTTTTGCAATCTTATATTTTTCTTTTTCAAATGAATCTGTCTTGTTTAAAGTTGTCAATTGAGCAAAACTAGGAAGAGAACTTGCTAATTTTATATCTTGTATTTCAAATTGTTTTGATGATAAAATGGAAATTGCGCAGAATTATATGGTAACTACATTTTAAATTGATTCAAATAAAATTAGAATAAAATAATCTTTAGCCATGAATCATATATTTAAAACCAGAAATACGGAACATAATTTTGCATAAACGCTCGATATAAGGAAATTGGTTTTTTATGCCTTTTTAAATGTAACTACCGCTTGACCACGATCTTACGGGGCCTAACACGAATATTTGCGATAAGCGCCTACGTATCGTCATCGTCAATTATATCAAAATTAGTATGAGATGTCATCAGTCAGATGTTTGGTGTCCTTTAATCCTGATAGGGACAGTGCTTGCCACAAATGCTGGCCCACAGGTGTTAAGCAGTGATGTGGTCAAAAGATGGGGCATGCTAGCCTTTTGCCCTTCTTCTCATCCTGTATGTGAAACTTTCTATTAAAGGGTCCTGGAGCAACAAACACAATGGCTCGGATCAATGAAAATGGAAATGTAGTGGGCACAATCATCGTTAATTGTGAAGGTTTTCCTGAGACTACCACATTGGACAGTTTGACTGCGGCTACCTATTCTACGCATATGAGAAATCTATCTCACTTCGCTAACAACGCTCTAAAAGAAATTGTAAGATGTTTATATAAATACTTATAAGATATATAGCAAATTGTTTGAATTATAGTAGGGTTTTTTTCATTATCTAATAACTTTCGTAGGATATTTCTAGAAGATTTTTTGCTTTAATTCCTAAAGGATTTTTCTACCGACTGCTACCTTTTTGGTTTTAAAAAAATCATGATGGTAATTTCATGTCTTTATTATTTAACGCAATATTAATTGTAACAGGACGTAATAGACGAGCTGATGGTCCTGAGAATGGTCTCCAAAAAGACGGAAGCAGTAGTTGTGCCCGATGATGAGTTTCATTTGATTGTGCTTATGAGAAGACGTTAAATATAATATTGACAGAATACTTGGTTTTTCCTTTTACATTCTTTTTCTATGAGAAACTTTTACATTCCTTCATGATGGGTAACAACTAAGGACACTCTTACCTTCTGGAAAGTTCAGCAGTATCGCAACTTGTCTCGCATTGCCCGCGAATGCAGCCAAATGTAAAGGTGTCCGTCCCAGTCTGTCTAACCGATGTTTCTCAGCTCCGAACTTGATGAGTAGACCGAGTGCATCTCCACCAGCTATAGCAGCTATGTGACAAGCTGATACAAGGTCGAGACGACATGTTGCGTTTGGATTTGCACCGGAATGGAGCAACCTGGTAAATGTTAGAATCAAAAACAAAAGAATAGTGTTTATTGTTTGAAGAAGGAACAAAAGTTTCTTAATCCAGATGAAAACGTCGATTCTTTAAGTAAAAGGACTTTAAGACTGTTTGATATGAATTTAAAATACATTCTATGTTTTGTTTTATGGTCTATGAGTTTACGTTGTGTTGATTCTATGCTTGTATTCCTTGCCATATTAGATTAGGTACGTTAGGAATAAGAATACTCTTCTTCCCTGCCAATTCAATATACCTTTCAACTTCTTCCACGTCATGGCCCTCTATCGCCTCTAGTAGTTCTGTGTTAAGTCTTCTGAGACGTCGGTCGCTCCGTCGCCATTTTCTAGGCCATGTATCTTCTATTTCTGGTGCCGGGGTTACATCTGGCGTGGACATGACTGATGGTGTCGAATCGTAGAAGTGCATCTTTTGGATTTCAGGCCTGGAATAAATTGATTCATATCTTTAGTCGTGGATTTCTGGGACCAAAATCCTTGTAGGAAACATATTATCTCCCTTTTGTCAAAGATGATGACAGTGATGACGATATCTAACTAATATTATAAATGCGAATATTTGGATGGATTTGAATAGAACAGGTGGATGGTATTTGGCATAGAAGTAGAGCATAGTCTCGAAGAATACATACATAGGCAACTTATTAAGTTTTTTTTAACCGTGCGGAGAGAGTCGCGGGCGACTATGGAGGGATTTTAGTGTTAGAAACCAACAATAAGAAGTTATGTATTGACTAACATCGTATCTGTGAATCCCAGCTGTTGTGGCCTGTTGGGTCGAGGGCGGTTATGTGGATTGTTTATGTTGATCAGTGGCTGCAGGTTGTCTTGGTCCTCATTGTAACCTTCCTCTACGTCTGTAATGGAAATAATATTACTATCAACCAATAACATAGTTCTTTTATTATGATTAATTTATGAGTGAAGGGAAAGAGATTGAAAGAAAAGGTTATTTTTTTAACATGAACTTGTTAATGTCTATTTAAAAAAAAAGTCAAAATAAAAAAAAATTGTAGAGTTTAGAGATTGCGAAATCTTATATGAAAAGAAAAGAAAAGCATTCTCAAAGCCGATCCTAGGGCTATCAAGCGCCCTGGGCGGGATATCTAAGACGCCCCCTTTTATCATTCCTTTTTTAACATGGTTCCTTGTGACTGTGTAATTCTTAGATCAGTGGCGCCCTGGGCGGTGGATCAACCGCTCTCTACCCTAACGCCGGCCCTGTATATTTCATATATTTAAATTTTACTGACTGAACTAAACTGAATTTTGCATTAATATTTTCCCAACATATAAACATTATGACAGATATTAATGGTATGACATCATCTCAAGGACTTTTCTCGCTCGACACAAAGCCGTGAATATAAATGCAAATATTGTCTGCATTTATCGCGGGTATGTAGAAATATTGTTTTAACAATATATAGTCGTCTCTTTAATTCTCTTTGATAAAACAGAGATAACAATATTTTTGTACGTACGACCCTTACAATTTTTTTTAAATTATTTCTAATCAATAACTAAATTAACAGATTGTTTTGATTTGAAATGATCGAGATCCTCTTAAAAAAGTAACGGTTCATTGACCTTTATAATATGTCAAAATAAATTATCTTTGTGGAATTTTTTACCTGGAAAATATTTAAATGCAGTTAGGTAAAAAAAAAGTGACTATTTTTTTCTGTTTACCCTTAATTCGATGGTGTCCAGTGTGACGAACAACTAATTAAAAAAATGTACTGAACTAGTTTAGAGAAAATTACGTAAGTATGGCTTTACTAAAAAAAACAGTTTTATGCTACAAAAAATTTCGTCGAATTAAGTATTAACTAAAATATTTATTTAACATTTTACACGTTAAAAAAAATATGTAAATTAAATACTTATTAAAAAAACACAAACGCACAACAATATAACAACTTGCCTTTATTGAATAACGAAAAAACTCCTTTCGTGCACATTTTTAACTATTTATAATACTGATTTGTTATAGTTATTACATTTAACCTTGTATTTAACTGTACAGAATAATTATTTTTAACTCACAAATACCAAACAAGGAAAACCACCAATGAATAGATTTAAAAAATACTGACACTCTAAAAACACTTTAAAAAAACAACAGAAAATTTGAATCACTAACTCAAAAAAAACTGGCTGGTTACAGAAAAAAAAACAACTGTCAGTTTGACATGTGCCTTTCTTGGAATTAAAAAGAAATATATAACGCTGTCCTATCGTGTATCGTGTGTGTCGTAACGTTTTTAAATGACGTATATTGTGATAACAAACAGATCATTCTTGGTTATGCTAACGGCGATTCAAGGTCGGATATATAACGGTAAGGTATTACCTAAAGCAACTATATAAAGATAACCTTTAGAATATAAGATATATAGGTTTTTTTTATATCATAAGGTGGCAAAGGAGCGAGAGGCCACCTAAAATCGCTGAAATAGCGAAGTGACCGTTGCCCATAGACATACGCAAGTGCATACGCGTTGCCTACCTTTGATCGACGGAGGAGAGGATGCACAAAGAAAAAATATTTTCCCTTTCCATGCATCCTCTCATCCGGAAAGTCCACTTTCACTTCCCATCTTTTCCTTATAAGAAAAAGAGGTGCTTCCACTTCACGCCTGTATTCTGTGTGGTCGTGGTATTTCACCGAGCGAGCCGGGCCAATTCGTGAGAAGATGTTAAAGCGGGCTCTACCACTGTTAGAATTTCATTGCATTTTCAAAGATTATCGTATTATTTCTCACCAATAACAAAACGAATTTAAAAGCAATTAATAAATGGTTTAACAAATTTAAATTTATACATCATCATCATTAGCTCATTATTTGTCCCCACTGAGGGGCTCGGAGCCTTCCCCTAAGTTAAGATCAGGTCATAGTCAACCAAGCTGGCCAAGTGCGGCTTGGTTGACTTCACACATATCTTTGAATTTCTTCTCAGATATGTGCAGGTTGCATCACGATGTTATCCTTCACCGTAAGAACGTCGGATAAATGTATATATGTAAATCGGAAATCGAAAAACACATTGGTAGATGTCGGGATTCGAACCCAGGACCTGCAGATTGCAAGTCAAGTGCTTGACCCCTGAGACACTTACGCTCTTTTTAATACCTATATTTATATTTTAATAGTAAGAAATACTAGTTCAATACTCTTGAGATAAAATAAATGTGAAAACATAATTAAATTTGTGCAACAAATTCTTGGTATTTCCCCAGTGCAAGATTTAATGAGTAATACTGAATTTATTCATGCGTTAGTGTTAACTAGCTGTTGCCGGTGACTCTGTACTTTTGTAATTAAATTTAATCACTAACCTATATGTGTTTTGAAGACTATTCTACAGCAGTTGTGGTGATACCTTCTAATAATCCATCAAAACATTCGCATTTATAATATTAATAAGTTTTAGAATATTTTGATGTACGTATTAATAACGTATACACTGAAAGTATTCCATTTTTTTTATTACTTATTTTTTATGGCAAAAAGTAGACAATCAACAGACTGATGACAAAATCTATGCGTCATATGACTGTTATTATTTCGTGCTTACAGATTATTGTGTTAATAGAGTATAAAATAATTTAATTATTATTTTTCAATTTTAATTTCTATCTTACTAATCCTACTAATATTATGAACTAGCTGTCGCCTGCGACTCTGTCCACGCGGAATTAACAAAAAAACTATTGGTCGTAGCGTAATGTTATATAGCCTAAAGCCTTCCTCTACAAATGGACTATCCAACAAAAAAAGAATTTTTAAAATCGGATCAGTAGTTCCTGATATTAGCGCGTTTAAACAAACTCTTCCGCTTTATAATATTAGTATAGATGTAAATGTTTGGATGTATAGATGAATAGATGTTTGTTAAAAGGTATCTCCAAATAAGCAGAACAGCTTTGAAGAACACATAGGCTACTAATTAAGTTTTTTAGGGTACCTCATAGGAAAAGAACGGAACACTCATAAGACCACTTTGTTGTCCGTCCGTCTGTCAAGACCCTTTTTCTCAAAAACGCGTGAAGGTATCAAGCTGGAATTTATATCAAATACTCAGGTCTGCGGTTGCTATATGCTGTGAAAAAATAAAACTTCTAAACCGACGCAATCAAAAGATACAACCGTTTATTTAATTTCGCAAGGACGGAGTCTTGGCGACAAATAGTTATTATATACACGTGTTATTTTCAAATTATAAGAACTGTACTAACTTGCGCGTGATTCATCATTTGGTGTACATTGGATCTTGGACTTGATAAGATTATGTTCAAAACAGGAAATACGTTGGAAGTACATGTTGATAAAATTATTATAGTATTTTCTTGAAAGACAGCACAGTTCATTCGTATCGAAAAAAAAGTTGTGAAAAAAATATATATATTTTTTAATTTGTTATATGACTGTGTGAAAAAGTTATGTTCTAAATTTTTTTATCAACCTTTGGTTTTATATTGTACTTATGCATACTTCTCGAAGTACATAATTATAGCTCTTGGACAACAAGGATAAATGCATTCCATACAATGTGTTCAGCCTTAATCAACGTTAAATTCAATATCTATAAGCTAATTGTTACAGTGGGTTTTCACTACCAAAGCGCCAATAAAATCATATACTTTATGTTTCTAAAGAGAATTAAAAACATTTGTGCTTCGGCATTGAAAAATGTAGTTGTTGAGTAAGTGGAAAGAAAGGCGGTTTGGCAAAACAACAATTGTAATGCAAAGATTTAAAAATACATATTTTTTTAATAAGAGAAGGGGGCAAACGAGCGGTAAGAACACCGAGGTGATCAACGACACCCATGGACATCTGCAACACCAGAGGAACTGTAGATGCGTTGTCGGCCTTTAAGGATATGGTATGCTCGCTACTTGACATAAATGCTTTAACATGTATGTCGTCTGGCGGAATGGCGTGGCGCAACTGGTAGATGCAGAGTGTAGGGCGTGCGGGGCGGCGGGTGGGGTCTGTAAGGGACCCCGCACTGCTGCCTCGCCGTCGGTGCAGTAGTACCAAACAGTAGTTCAAATAGATAGTATATTAAAAATGATAAAGATTAAAACAATAATATTATACAGACAAACCTCGAATATCTGACATTTTGTCGTTGAACACAATTTCAAAACATATACCACTGATTTCGACACAACACTTGCATACTGCCTGTCTCTGCGAAAATACACATTTATACAACTGTTATCAATATCTTGAATTTGTTCGTTTGGTGTAGATATAGGAATGGATAGATATACCTTATCCTTTGACTTTTAAGAGACAGGACCTTTCAAGCGCACGCATTCCCCTGATTCAGGCTGTGTCAAATAAAAAAAGTTATTTTTTTTTTCTACTCTCTTGGCTTTTACAACAAGTGTAAGTCACTTTACAATTAGTTCTAAGGTTACTCAGATGTGTTTCTTTGTGTGTGTAACTTTTTG